ACATTCCTTTTGCTTTTCTAGCATGTATAGTTCCAGCTTTTTTTTCCCCTTCAGTGAAGATTTCCTTGCTGTTAATATTGCATGTTCGCCAGCCCAATGGAGTTGCCCGTCAAATGTATAAAATGTTCTTAAACTTTGTAGCATTTTTACTGGACCAACTCGGTGACCGAGTCAAGGTGGGAGAGAATGTTTTCGTTTCGTTTTCTTTTCGGAAGGGGATTCTGGGACGGTGATTTGTCATTGCTTGGGGGATTGTCGTTGGCTGATTTATTCACTCTCCGATTGTATAATTATTAAGGCGGTCTTGGCAATCGTCTCTGTAGAGTTAGTGGCGGACCCATAAATTTTATATAAGGAGGTGTTCTTTTTTCAGAAATTAAATTAATTATTATCAAATAAGAAAATATATAATTAGTGCAAGTTCCATCAAAAGTTCACGACATGTTTTCATATTCTGAAAAAAGTTAAAAATATATTTGGTGGCTACACGGCTCAACAAATCTCTCTATCTTACAATACAATCATTCACGAACTAATCGTTTATTCAATTTCGAAACTTGTTTTTAGAATATCTCAAAGCTGAAAACGTTATTTCAACACTTGCAGTTGCAATCGGTAAAGTCAATACTTTTTGAGAAGCAAATAAACCAATGGATATTATAGAATGGAGGGAAAATAATAGAGGAAATAGAATAACATTTTTACTATTAGACTTGTGTTTAAAATGCAACAACAAATGAGTTATAGCCTAATGGAAAACATGTTTACCAATAATAGTAGTGTTCTAGGTTCAAATTATCTAATCTATCACTTATATATATATATATGGTGGCTACTTCGGCGCACTCACTTTTTTGGGTGCACTCAGTGCACCCACTCTAAAAGTGTCCATATTACATCAAATTTTGAACTTTAATTAGTACTCTCAATCTAATATGATGATATGACATAGAATCATAACAAATCAATCTATTACCCTAACCCCTTAACCTTCAATTTTGAATCCCAATCCAAAATCCCAAATTTTAAACCTAATCCCTAACCCTAAATCCCTAAATCCTAAATCCTTTAAATTAAAGTAAATTTTGAATGAATTTTTTTCAAATTCATGTGCTTCTTGTTCATAATATCATAAGCAACAATTGATACCGTTTTGACGTGAATCACATGCTCAGAATGACAATTATGAGGCGGGTGCACTGAGTGCACCCAAAAAAGTGGGTGCACTGAATACGCCACCATATATATATATATACCCATACACAAACTACTACCGGGATCGGATAATCGATTTTTCCAAAAATCAGGAGTGTCCTGGGATACTCCCAAACCCCCTTGGCTCCGCCACTGCATAGAGTCTCGCGTAAATTCATGTTAATTTCCTTTCAATAATCGCAGACTGATATTGCATACGGAGGGTTCTCTTGTTAAATCTCGGGCAAAATTTTTCTTTTCTTTAAAAACACTGAAAAGTGTTAGCACCGTGCGCTGTTAAACCACGTTCTTAAATAAAACCACAAACTTTGTCCTACAAAAATGTTGCAGTTTATTTAGCAGTATGCAGAGAGGACCCATCATCATCATCATCATTCATCAGATAAGTAATTTAAGCAGTTCACATTGTATTGCCAACAGTCTTCTTCTGTTCCTTGGCTGCTCATCACAGTGGGCTAAGCTAGGGTAGGCTAGGCCCGGCCCGGCCCGGCCCAACTCCAGGACCGACCAGAGACTCAACAAGACCACCACAACAACAACATCAAACCAGGTAGTACTGGTAAAACTGCATCGTATCGGCGGGTCCGATCGAACAAAAAAACTCTTATCAGAAGCCAAAACTAGTAAGCGAATTTTAACGACGTGTGAGACGGTAGTTTTACGCTCTCTCCTGTACTCTACTCCATGTATAGTTATGCATTATCGCGAAAACTGAACTTCAAATTAACAGCTTCTTCAACTAACCCAAGAAATTAATGTCTCTCAATTACCACATGTACCTGAAGCTAGCCACATCTTCGTCTAGGTTTGGGTCATGTTGACTGATAGACAGGGATGGCCACCTGCCTGCCCTTATGAACAAAAGGCGTGCTCAGTTTCCACATTTTGTCATCAATGCAACCGCTGTTATTGTAATGTTCAACGTGGAAGCATATAATACTACAGAGAGAGGACATCAATGCTGCAGGCCATAGAATTAATAATCAATGCCAAATTGTTGTACTAGCTAGCTAGGGTAGAGTATGTTTAACGGCAGTAGTACTAAACCTGGATTCTTGTTTCAGGCTATTGATTTAGAACACAGACAACTTGTCTGCAAATAGTTTTACCTTAAACAAGTACACAACACAAACAACGTCGAAATACCCACGAGCCCAAATTTCATGCAGCACAATCAAAGGAGAAACTACACAGTTTCAGAGGAAATGCACTGAAATGTGAAACCCTTTTTGACAGAGGGAGATCGGAATCGTGGCGGCAGCTGTTTGTTATTTTTTTTCTCTTGGAGGCTGGGAACGCACATGGTACTGCTGCTGCAAATGAAGGAAGAGGAAGAGGAAGAGAGAATAAACGCACACATGCAGCCATTAAGATGTCTTCAGTAAGCTTGAACACTTTGGTCACGAGGGGTGGGACTCTCTGCTCTGCCCAATAGAACCGGAAACCCACTCGATCCAATCAATCAAATCAATCAATGGCTGCCTTAATGCAAAAGATCCCTAGCTCTCTCTCCCTCTTTCTCGCTGAGTTTGGAAATTGGATCACTCAACTGTCTGTCGGTTTCCACTCTGCGGTTGCCACATACGCAAGCCATAATACTTTCATTATTCAACCAACCAGACTGCCACTTCCCCCCCACAGCTCACTCACTCAGCCGCATGTATTGAATAATGATGATCACTAATTAACTATAGATCCAGGACCAGAAGAAGAACTGAGTCACATTATTATAACATTACTACTGTACTAATATTATAATTCATCCCAGTGAGTGTGACTGAACTCTGGCTTCAGCCCTGTTCTAATGGTCCAGAACTCTGTTAGCTGCAGAGAGCTATAGCTGATATCTGCAGCAGCAGCAGCAGCAGCAGCAGCTAACTTTCACCCTAAAAAACGGGCTGGATCGTAGTCGAGAGGGCGAAATTTGTTGTCGGCGAATGTATGGTTTTTCGTCGACGGTTTTGATGGATTTGAATGCAATTACGGTTTTACGATCAACTTCAATCGCCGCGCGATGTAATCTGAATCACTTGTGGGTAGAAAAGTTAAGTGAAAACTCACTGTTAGAATTGAAGGGTGGGTGAGTGGGTGGAAGGGAGGAAAAAAAAAAGCCAACTTTAATATCACCTCCAAGAAAGAAACCCAACCCAATTCACTACTCATCTACCAACAAGCTAGTAACAAACAGCAAAACAGCAACAACTCATTCAAACCACATATCCCTTTCACTTTCAAAAGGTAGAAAGAAAGGAAGAAGAAGAAGAAGAAAAAAAGAGAGAAATTTTAGTTCATCATTTCTATTGCCCAAAGAGAGACATATGACCCCATAACTCATCATCTCAAAAACACTCTTTCACTCCCTCCACCCCACAATCCACCATTTTCAAAGGTCCCCCCATTCTGTTTACATCCTTTTAGCCAGGCACCCCTCACATGCCCCCTCTTCCCCACCCTCAACCCTCTGCCTCCTTCATCCCACTTCCTTCTCATCTACCCATATTCAATTTACCAATTTCACCACGAATCAAGATCGATACGGTGTTACCAATACCACCTAAAATTATCAACATGTGAATCAACTGATCGTATTTAAGATTATCAACATGTGAATCAACTAGTCGTGGAACACGACATAGGTAATTCATCGATCGTGAATCATGCTAAGACATGCTAACGTCAATGAGCATTAGAACCATATCAGATTGCTACTACAAGAGAATGGTGGTCACTTATCATGCCAAGATATTCTAACGTCAATAGACAATAGAATCATATCATATTGTTTTTCTACTTGAGAGTGGTTGTTACAGTTCACCTCAAAGCATTTCACCGAGTAGGGGTGGCTATACGGTCCGGTCCGGTTAAATTGACCCAAATTGATCTGGTCCAGTCCAGTTTTTTTGAAAATATAAGGACCGAAGATTGGATTGGATACAGTCCTGTCTTGATCCGGTCCGGTCCCAATTCGGTCTTGATTTTATATTGAGATTGTGGGAATTTGAGTGGCATAAGGCCTAAAAGGGTGAGGAGTTGGTTAAGTTTTGTACTAAGGGGTCGTTTGGAGGTTGAGATTTGAAGTGAGGTATTTAGCAAATACATGTAATGATAAGATTAAGTCGTTTTTTTGGTTCACTTTGAGTTAGAATGCATGCATTACCTTTTTGTTGGGCCCACCTACAATCACTCAAAATGAATGATTATAAATCTCTACTAAAAGGTGAAATTGTTAATGAGGGATTGTCTACCCTACTTTTTGTTTCATCATTGCTCTTCCAAACAAAGTATTTTCCTAATACATGCATTGAATCAATACATCAAATGATAATACACTAATTGACCTAATACATCAATTTGAAGAATCTCAATTTCCAAACGACCCCTAAGTGCAAAGGTTTGTGACCGTTTATGCAAATTACCCTTAAGTTTTGCGTGTTGAGCTCTCTTATCCGGTCTTTATCCGGTTTTTTACCTCAAATCTAAGCCCAAAGATTGGATTGGATTGTTTACTATCCGGTCCCGGTCCGGTTTCCGGTTTTTAATCCGGTCCCTGTCCAAATAGCCAGCCCTATCACCGAGTATCATTAATCAGCACTAGAACGATATCATATTGTTCTACTATAGAGAATGGTTCACTTTTTAACTCGACACATTATCTTCTGCAGGCAAAGCGACAAGCTAGTCTGATGATACTCTGAAGAGAATAGCTGATTTGAATGGAAAGTTCTGTAACGTGAATTAAACATCTTAACCACTTTGAACTACACCTATAATAGCATAGTTAATCACTAATCTTAAAGTCAATCATATTTATACTCTCTTAAATATCACATCAAAATTCCAAATCAATCAAATCTCATAAGGTGTGCCATCAAAGCTCACAACTACGCTCTCCAAAACCTAAGAATAGATTCCACCAACGTAGGCAAAGCAGCTATTGACTAACACCCACCACCAGAAAATACACACATTAAACATAATCAAGATTAGGACATTTTAATCATCAATACTCTTTCATTGATGATCATAATTACATTAGATAACGTATTGCTGTATCTAATCTCCTTCAACACAAGCATCTGGATCGGCTTCGTCTCCCCAGATCTAGTTCCCTCTCTCTTCCCTTCTTAACGTATATATTATATTCACTCAGTCTCCTACCGTTTTCTTTTTACTAATTACCGTTGACTAATACCATCTGCTTAATATGTATAATTTAAAGCCAATTTTTTTTTAAATAATAACAATCAAAGCATTAATTAATCACTTGATTGAAAAATCTCCAGTCGAGTCGGACCTCACCCATACCCGGAATCGGCTGCTGACTCGGCTTCCTGAACGAAACGATGTGGCTGCTAACCATAAACGCCGTGACCCGCTCCGAGACCCGAATGTCCTCCATCTTCAGCTCCTGCAGCCGCCGAACGTACTCCGGCACGTGCACCAGGTCCCACACCACGCCCATCCCGCCGGGTTTCAGGACCCGAACCATCTCCCCAAGGACCCGCATCCTCTCCGCCGCCGCCTCCACCGTCCGGTGACCGTACTCCTTCCCCACCGTGTGGAGGAACACCGCCGATACAACCACGTCGAAGTAGTTGTCCCCGAACGGCAGGCTCCTCACGTCTCCTTCCCTGCAAGTCACGTATTCCCCCACACCTGCAAAATTAACCAATTCCACAATCAAACCCAAAATTTCCCGATCTCAATTTGACCTAATTAAGTAATAATTGATAATGAAAGATGGGGAAAGAATGGAGATTTTTAGTTACCTTCCATGTTGGCGGTACGGAGGGTGGAGAGGGTGGTCCGTTTGGACCGGTCCAACCCGACGACCCGGCCGGAGCTGCCGGTTTTTTTCAGCTGGGTGGCGACGGAGTTGAGCAGAATCCCGCGGCCGCAGCCGATGTCGAGGGCGAGCTTCACCGACGACCAGTCGTTGACGTGGCCGACGATCCTCTGGGCCATCTCGTGCTGCAATGCCACCGAGCTGTAGAAGAAGTTGCCGGCGGCGACGAAGAGGCAGACGGAGGAGAGGGCGGCGACGCAGCCGGTGAACCCGGCGGCGAAGCGGGCGGCGCCGCCGCCGGCTGCGAAGAGGAGAGGGAAGGCCCATTCGAGGAAGCTGCAGAAGGGGTCGAAGTAGAGGAGGAAGAGGACGGACAGTAAGGAGAAGAGGAAGGCGTTGAACAGGAGGAAGAGCAGAGTGTGCCATTGATCCATTCCGTAGATTGCGTAGATCTGCGTCCAGTCTCGGTTCGGCGGGCTGGTTTTCCCCATTTTCGGAGCGGAATGGAGGGCGTGAGCTCGCATTGCTAGCGACATTTCGACCTGAGATGGATAATGAGCTTAAAATGAAATCACAGATCCGCCACAAAAAAAATCTTCTGAAAGTAACAATGAAAATGACTGTAGAAACCAATCTAAGTGAAGATTTTTCAGAGCAAATGACAAAAGAAGATCAATCCGGAGAGAAGGGTTAGAAAAGAAAAGCAGTGAATCGGAATCAGAGGCTAGGAAACAGAAAATCTCAACATGGGGCCTTACCAGAATAGGGAAAAGCTCCAAAGAATTCTTCTTTACTGAACGGGAGATGGAACAAAGGGAATGACAAACAGAGTACCGAATGAATCAAAATCTCCTTGTTTCCACCTTTTCCCCCAACTTTTTTTTCTTCTGGGCAACCAAACAGAGTACCCAAGAGAGCAGACAGTAAAAAAGAAAGCAGGGCACTGTACTGATTCTTCAGCAATCAATCTCCCAGCCGTACCAAAAAAAAGATCCTAACTTGTAGCAGCCACTTCAAACTTCAAATCACACACCAACGTCGGCAGATCCATTTTGAGCCAAGAAACAGAGAACAATTTGCACAACCCAAGAAGCAAAAGGCAGCAACGAATTGTCACGCTACCGAAACAAAACAAGCAACAAAAGGAAGAGTGGGGAAAAGAGCAAACCCCCTCTGCAGCAGCAAATCGCCGCCCACTCGCTTCCCCAAATCAAAAGGGCGGACTGGCAACAAAAGCCTAGCCTACAACAGGGGTAGTAGTAGTAGTGTGTGGTGATTCGGTTACTGAAATGGATAGAAGGTGTGAGAAGAAAGAGACAAGAATACAGCCAGAGCTTGTTTTTTTCGAATACGGTTTAGTTTTCTTGCTGCAGAGAGTGTCAGAAGGAACAGAATGATAGCAGTAGCGCTAATCTCAAACAACAGCAACAGAGTGGGGAGGAGTGCTGTTGTTGAATGATGATGGATGGAGGGTTTGTAGTCGTACTAGTGGATCGCCATTTCACGCGTTTTTCTGAGCAAGCAGGGAGGCGGATGGTTTCGTCGTTTTGCGGGGGTTTTCAAAATGCCTGCTGGAGAAAAAGGTGGGAACTTTTGGAGCTTTTGATGGGTTTTCTTCTCCCCTCTTTTTCTCACTGCTTTACAGGGGAATGAGATTAATAAGGCGGAGAAGGAAGAAAAGAAAAGAAGGCTATTGGGAGGGAGCTGCGGAATTTGGGAATTTGGTGGGTGGAGAAATCGGTATCCTGGTCGGTAAGTCTTGTTTATGTGAAAAAGTCGCGAGGAAAGGACAGAGAAGAGAGAAATTTTGAAAGGGTAAACTGGGAATAATAATAATAATAAACGAAATCTGAAATCGGATTCAGTCAGAAATCAAAATCTGAAAAGATAAAGACCCGACGGACCTTTTCTGGCCACCGTCACCGGCTCCGTACTATTGCCACGATTGGGACTGAAGAAGACGACTAGTGGAGTGGAGGTGCGACTGGGTTGATGACGGTGCTGAAGTTATTGGGCTATTTTTTATGGGCTTTAGTTCACAACAAAAGGAAGTTATGGGCTTTAATTCATGCTATCTCCACTTTCTTTAACGAGTAGGAGTTAAAGAGTAATTTCACAAATAGCATGGATATGGAATTGTAATGATAAATTTGATCAGAATGTCTCGTTGAGTAAATTGGATAAAATTAACTCATTTGTTAGTACAATTTTTTTTGGGAAGTAGTTAGTAAATTTTCTGGATGTACTGATTTGGCTTGTATTATTTCAAATTCATATTCGTTTCGATGCAATTTCAATTGTCCGAAGCGGATGTAAATAATTTGGATTGATTCGTAGTACATGACTCGTTTGTGAATTGATCCATCCAAATGATACCAAAACCTCCTCAGAAAATTGTGACATAGTCACTTGGTGATTGATTGTCCAGTCTTTTAGTGGGAACCCCTAAGGTGAGAGGGTGACGTACATATGGATGGGATGGTTATTCATGATTGACAAGCCTTTAACTCCTGCAATTAACACAATTCAAATCGTAGTTTAGATCTTTAATTCTCCTTGTTCAGTGATTTTTTATTCCACCATTGGTCGTACTATTGACTAACCTTTGGATTATCATTATAGACCAATTCATACAAGTTCATAATAGCGTAGTACATATAGTAGTTGTTGAGTTTGTCAACAATGGAAGCTAGGTCGTGAATCGTGTAGTCATGTACAACACTAAATAATTTGCACCATGTCAACAAGGCGTACGAATGCATTCTCTCTCATTGGTGGTTTGAAACGAATTTTTTTCTTTCTTTCTTCAATCCTAGTCTTTGACAAGAGAGAATGGAGAAGGAAGGGAATGCTTCTTCCTACCATCATGGCCGGCCGAGCAACGGAGTCCAAACTCTTTTAATTAATGTTAAATGCAGCGATCAAGATTCGACTCGTCACCTCTATAGGTAATCCGTAAATGTTAAATTATTAATAGAATGTAGATGGTCGAAGTAAGAGTACTATTATTATGCGATTTGTTATGAGCGATTACGTAACAATACTGTTACGTGAACATAAAACCCAGCTTGCAAGGTCGTCCTCCAGAGGTCAATCGATGATAATAGACTTTTCGGATGCGTGAATCCAACCACTGCACCGAACTCATTACGATGCTTGTCGGGTTTGGAAAAAAACTTACATAAAATTAATTTCGGCGAAATTTTGTCGATAAGATTAATTCAGACTCAGTTGGATACCCATGATCAGACAAGCTAGCAGGGCGTTTTGCAAAGACGCAATCTCCAAATCTAACATGAGACAGACGACCATCAACTGAGTTGCTATAAACTTGAGCTTGTAAAAGGAAAAGGAAGAGCCGACAAAGGAATCGCAATTTCCGCCCGTCAATCAAGGAGTTATTCAAAGACGACTAGGAACAGCCAACAAGACATTATTCTCTATTCCATCACCATGCATCCTAATTGACTTCCCCGTTGACACTAACAATGCGTGACGAGACACGATTATAAGTAGGGATGGCAATTTTGCCCATACCCATGGGTATTTTACTATCCAACCCAATTAGGTTGGGTATGAAATCCAAATATATGGATATGGGTAAAGTTTGATGGGTTTGTACCCATACCCATTTACTTTGGGTTGGGTTGGGTTTATAACAAATGGATTTGGGTTTGTACCCATGCCCAAATACAAATTACTGTTTGGTACCTAAACTTAATAGATATGCATATTTAGTACCTAAATTTAATTTTTTTTGCATATAAGTCTTCAAAATATCGATGGAAAATTACGTTTTGGTACCTAAATTTTTTTGGTCTTACATTTTGGTACCTAAAATTTTCAAGTTTTACAAATAAGTCCAATTTTTGCATGTGTAATTAAAACACCCTCAAGTAAATGGATATCCATATCCAACCCATACCCATTTAGATAATATCCATATCTAACCCAAACCCATATACAAACCCCAAACCCATACACACATCACCCAAACCCTACCCATAATAAATGGGTCTACTTGGGTTTGGGCAAAATTACCCATGGGTGGGTAAATTGCCATCCCTAATTATAAGAAAAAGGGGATCATGCATGAGAAAAGAATAATCATGTGAATTGACTTTCTTCCTTTTATATATAAAACTATTGTTTATGAATAATCATAATTCGATTAGTGAGCTTGGTAGGGTCGTTTATTCGAGGCCGACGTCACTAAATTCGAGAAAATGTTTCGTTACGAAGGAACTCAGAGGGGTCATTAAGGGTCTTCAACTAGCTTTGATGGTACAGAAGGACGGCCTTGCAAGGACTGGTTTGTTCGTCTCTCCCATGTGCCTAACAGTTCATCTTAGAATTCATTACGTGTCTCCTTATTGTTAGAGAGTGGTATAAGATACAGTATAATCTTCTATCAACAACTCGAGTTATTAGAACCAACTTGTTTATGACATGATATCAGAGCTGGTTTGACCAAATGGTCGTGTGTTCGAATCTCCACAACCCTCCATATTAACAGCTGATTAAAGCACAAGGTATGATAGACCTGTACGAACTTCAAACTCATGAGTTGGCTTTCGTTTGAGTTTGAGGGAGCGTGTTCCCAAAGTACTAATGTTATGAAGTAGTTATATTTTGCACCCCTTTTCGATGGGAAGTAGTTTGATTACCGTCAACCCGTCTAGTTCAATATAAAGACGGCTTATTTTTGGTCTCCCAACACATATGATACGCATATTAACAAAAACATACTAGCAGTGACTGAAAATAAAGATGGCGCAGATGGATCGATCTTACCTGGTTTCGCCTAACGAGACAGAAAACAGAGATGGCGCTGGCAGGAGGATGTCTCGGTGGCAGAATCAGGCTCTCCATGACTTCCAAGTCAAATTTTCATATTTGACTCAATCTGAAGATGACCACAGTACAAAGCTATCCTGATCATCTCCCAACCCAAAGACAAACACAAAATGGGGGAAATGGATAGCAGCAGCCAAGTACTGCATCTGCTCTGCTCGTTCCTCCTCATCACCATCATCTTTCTAATCCTCAAACCATTGAAGAAAGCCAAACCCTCGAAGTCGAAGCAACAGCAGCAGCCACCACTACTTCCCCCTGGTCCAAGGAAGCTTCCGATCATCGGAAACCTGCACCAACTATCCAGCTCCAAGCTGCTTCCCCATCGCCGGCTGCTGGAGCTAGCAAACTTATACGGCCCTCTGATGCACCTCCAGCTCGGTCAGCTCCAAACCATCGTAGTCTCCTCGGCGGAGATGGCTAAACAAGTCATGAAGACGCACGACCTCACCTTCTCCAGCCGGCCATTCAACCTCGCAATCAGCACCATCTTCCACAACCTCGACCTTGTTTTGGCACCCTATGGTGAGTACTGGCGCCAGCTCAAGAAACTGTGTGTGTTGGAGCTGCTTAGTGCCAAGAGAGTTGCTTCTTTCCTACCCATCAGGGAACAAGAAGTGGCCCGTTTAATAGCTGATATTTGCGGCAAACAAGGCACGGCGACCAATGTTAGTAGGATGATTCACTCTCTGACATACAGGACAATTTCAAGGTCTGCATTTGGGAAGCTGTACGCGGTTGAGTCATCGTTCGTACCGGTGGCCATGGATATCCTTACTGTAGGGAGTGGGTTTCGTGTTCATGATGTCTTCCCATCTTTCAAATTCCTTCCGCTGATTACTGGGGTTAGATCCAGACTGCAGAAATTGAAGCGAGAATCTGACCAGATAATCAGTAGCATAATCGATGAACACATAACAGCAGCAAAAGCAGGGGAAGGTGAAAAGGAGGAAGGCGTAGATGATCTTGTGGATGTTATGTTGAAGCTTCAAGAAAATGCAGACCTTGGTTTCACATTAACAACTAACAGTGTCAAAGCAATCCTCCTGGTAAGTCAACCACCCAGCATTGCATTTTGATGGAAATCATTGGTGTAGTAATACGGTCTGTTTTAAGACTGTGATACATACATAGTAAGCACTTAGGGACTGTGATCATCAAATCTGAAATCTTAACCGTGACCATTTTGTCTAGTATAACGATATAGTCTGGAATTTACAACTCATCATGCATTTTTACTCATAAAATTTGACCGCCTAATTGTCTTTAGGTGAATTTATGAATGCATACCTGGTGGAGTTTAGAATATTAACCTCTTAAATCAAACGTTACTGTTTGCAGGACATGTTCGTTGCAGGAAGCGAGACTTCATCGACACTACTGGAATGGACGATGTCAGAGCTGATTAGAGAGGAAAGAGTGATGAAGAAGGCACAAGCAGAGGTTAGGGCAGTGTTTGGGAAGCGAGGGAAGGTTGAGGAAACAGGGATTCACGAATTGAATTACCTGAAGATGGTTATCAAAGAAAGCATGAGGGTGCACCCTCCTCTGCCTCTCCTTGTACCAAGAGAGTCCCTGAATCAATGCGAGATGGAAGGCTTTCAAATACCAGAGAAGACGCAGGTGATAGTGAATGCATGGGCTATTGGAAGGGATCCAAAGTGCTGGAGTGAACCCGAGAGATTCTACCCGGAGTCTTTGGACACACAAAAGAAAAGTCAGTACGACGATCAGTTATATGAAATATAATAAGTAGGCCTAGTTTAAGCAAATCCATCATCACCACCGAGCTAGGAATGCAGTTGCTAATTGGCATGGTGAGGCTAACTGCTTGAGAGGAGTCAATGATATGATCCCAAATAGCCAATTCTACACGTTTTTATTACTTGACAAAGAAGCTATCGAAGTTGGGAAGAAGAAGGGCAGAATTTGGCTAAGTCAAAATCCGTGTTCAGGGTACATACTTTGGAGGCATGGTTCTCTCAATTGGCTTGGTGGAAATTCAATCTTAAAGACATCATCTGGATCAAAAAGCATACCATTGGAAACATGGTAACTTTATCTGTAAAAAAAAATCTTTAAACTTGAATTTCCACCAAGCCAATTGAGAGAACCATGCCTCCAAAGTATGTACCCTGAACACGGATTTTGACTTAGCCAAATTCTGCCCTTCTTCTTCCCAACTTCGATAGCTTCTTTGTCAAGTAATAAAAACGTGTAGAATTGGCTATTTGGGATCATATCAGTCAACGCTGCACCCAATGAAACTCTAGCTAGGCATTGTGCACCTATGTGGCTGAGAATTGGAAACCATAATCCAAAGTTCTTGGTTAACAATAACCTAATTTACCCATAAACAGCCAACCAAAAGAACAAAGGAACTCTAGATAGGCATTGCACCACTTCGAATATATCCCATTTGGGACGTGGAGAAGGATGTGTCCTGGAATAACATTTCGACATCGAACTTCCTCTTGCTAATCTATTGTTCTATTCCACCTTGGTACTCCCTGGTGAGGCCAACCCAGAATCGTTCCGGGCAACTGTAAGAAGGAAAAATCAACTGCAACTCGTCCTACCGTGTGGCATGCCTTGCTTGCAGAGCAGCTGCATCAATGATGCCATTATCAATCTTAATGTCTAAGTTAGTGAAGTCCTAACTCTGATCAACGGAATTTCCCTATCCGACCTAAAGCAAACCACTAGAACGCTGCCTCATAGGATCGTAAGTTTGAACTATCAATGCGTAGCAATGACATCGAAAATTCTGGCTAAAATTCGTCACAATTAAACGAACTTTGGAGGGAAATGGTGGAGTCAATTAGCTTACGTGCATTCGAGAGATCATCAGATTATATTTCCCCAATACCGCAATTAGGACACAGCTGGATTCGATAGATCATCAGATGGATTGGCCATGTGTTTTCTCCATCGCCGGCCTCCGTGAACTGCTTCCAGCGACCATGCCACCGGGAAGAGGTCCGGCGCCGTTTCCATAATAAGAACCGGCAAGCTCCATTGTTTTTTTCTTCATGATCGTACGAGAGAAGCACGAGCTCTAGCCTGGGAGAATTTCAGTATGCCCAACGAGCTACAGGAACTGGTAGGAGACCCTCGAGTCTGTCGTTGGGGTGGACGATCTCAATCTGACCGACCCAGGTTTCCTTCCCGGGCCCAATTACAAGTAACCGGTCACTGAATTTTGGGGTGACAAACAAATTAACTACCCAATTTTTATTTTTAATAAATTTCATATAAGTTTAGAGTAACTAGAGGTTAATTTACTTCTTTTATTATTAATTAATAATGTGGTGATTTTCACTAATTAAACACCAATGAAAAGCTAGACCATCCAATTAGCAATCGAGAAAATTATAAAGAAATGGGGTGGTTTAGGTGATTTGAATTGAAATTTGTAGAGTAGTAGCTTTGGTTTTAATAGGTATTTGCTCCAATAGGTAGATTTGAATTGGAATACCAATGGAGGTTAATTGGAATTTTGTGAGTTATAGCTTTGGTTTTAATAGGTATTTGCTCGAATAGGTAGATTTAAATTGGAATTCCCAATAGTTGGAGGTTAATTCACTTCTTTCATTATTAATTAACATGACGGCTCTCAATAATTAACACCAACGAAAAGCTAGACCATCGAATCAACAATTGAGAGAATTAGAAAGAAATGAGGTGGTTTAGGTGATTTGAATAGGAATTTTGTGAGTACTTATTTGCTCTGATAGGTAGTTCATATAATATACTTTGTACTAGTAACTTGTGTAATAGTTCGAAGTGACTTGTGTAATAGTTCGAAGTTCACACTTATTTGATTAGGTTTAGAGCTGGCAATGGGTCGGGTCTGGCGCGGATAGTGCATATCCGTTACCTTACCCATAGTAGTTCAGGTTTTACCCATATCATACCCACATGTGAAACGGGTAGAAAATGAAAATCATGTCCATACCCGTTCGGATTTCGGGTATCCACGGTTATCCATGGGTAATAATTTCTCCTCATAACTACAACAAATATGTTAACATTCACACGTATTCTCACATTACATTACGTAAGAGGAAAAGTACGACAATTATTCACTAGAATGAAGAAAATTAATTAAAACTACACAATTCCAAGAAAATATTATATTTATATGCTAAATATAAAATATGTTAGAGAAAAATAATGATTATTTCTAGACAAAATACATATGCATGTGTATAATCGGGCGGGTTCAGGTTGGATAGTGAGAAACTCATGCCCACCCATTACCCGCAATATTCGGGTTCAGATTTTACCCGTACCCACTAAATGTCCTTCGAGTTCGAGTTTTACCCTACCCGATTAGGCCGAATTCGGACGAAATCCACGACTACGGATAGTTTTGTCATCCCTAATTAGGTTCTCTGCGTCTCAGTTTGCATAGCTTGGTTTCATTTCTTAAATGGTAAACTTAACAAGATTACTACGTTGATTAATTTTATTCGAATTTTCACAAGTTATATGTAAAATGAGTATTTCCATCGAGCCACCACCATAAAGATTAATGAAAATAATAACGCAGTACTTAAATCTAGTCTCTAAAATTGGTTATCATTCAAAGTTAAGGTCGTGAAGCTTTCAAGTGGCCTTTGAAGAAGCATATGGCACTAACTTGATGGCCTCAACTGAAGCGTTAAAGTTCGATGCTGTTCCACCCAACCGACTGAACTCTGTTCCATTGTACAAAAGGTTGTGGATCACTATAATCTGGCAAACTTAAGATTCCACAACGTAACCCTTTAAACAGAGTCAACCTCCAGCTCGAGCACCAGCAGATTCTTTCGAGTAATCATCTCTCCTTCTGTGATACTCAACCACCTGCAAAACACAAACGAAACCAGAACACATGAACAAAAAATGAAATGGCTGGCGATCAATCAACCATCTAGCTCAAAGTTCATAATCACAAATCATTGTCCATATGACGGATTCTATGACGATGCAAATATTAGGCATCAGAGTAAGGATGAGCAAAATGGGAAGCTAGTTATAGATAATCTTACCAGCTTAGTGTATTTAGATATGATGTTTCGGAGATATATATTGTGAATTATAAAAGCCCCTTCAAAGGTTGGAAGAATCCCAACTAGCATAAACAGCTCCAATGAATCCTTCATGTAGTTTGGCACTGCAGCAAGCAACTATCCCCCGGTCAAGGCCTTCCAAGTAAGTTCCTCTCGAGAAGTCCAGAGGGCGCCCTCCAGCATCAGTTACTACCCCACCAGCTTCCTCTACAATGACCACTCCTGCAGCATGATCCCATATCTTCTCTTTGTAGCCACACCTTGCGAATTTCATGAATATTTCTGCATCTCCTCGAGCAATGGCTGCATATTTTACCATGCTATGAACTCGCAACGGTTGGTTTCTGCCATCATAAGATGATCAAATGAGGCATGCAAATCAAGAGGAAGGTGATGAAGATCAAAGACAATAAACTATATAGAAGAGCAAGATTATATTGGACTCTAAGAAAGCAAGCATGCAGGAAGTTAGATAACTAAATCATACCCTTCCAAACTGCAACGTACCTATATGCACTCAAATTCTAAATTCTTCTCCTAAGACTTCAATAAGATGTATCACTTATAAAGGGGGAAAAAAAGGATCGCATAAAAAATAAAAATGAGAATAAACATTACGTACTTGAAACCCATACTATGAGCAACTCCAGCAGTAAACGAGTGGTTTGAATTAGCCTTCTCTACTGGTTCACAGAATGTAGCTAGTCCCGGGTCATCAATTGATGAAACCTTGATCTGCCTTGCGGAGTTTGGCCATTCAAGCATCTTGTTCTGCTGTACCAACGGCTGCATCCATGCCTTTCCACTGCCCTTCTGTGCATATATCACACATCCTTTCTCCCATGTGTCAGTAGCTGAGGAAGACATGCTTTCATCATACTGATGATGATGATGGTTTAGCCAACCATTCTTCATAGGGTAATTGGGACAACCAAGAACTCCCATTATGACTTTTCCATCCTCAATCAAAGCTAGAGCTATAGCATACTGATCCCCCCGAACAAACCCTAATGTTCCATCCACAGGGTCAAGGACCCAGTGTCTTCCAGTAGGGCCACCTGTTGAGTTGCATCTGCTGATAGCCTCGAGAACTTGGGTGGCTCCCAGGGCCTTCTTGGGACTTTGAAGACCATATTTTGGTGCCTCGGCCAAGCTTTCGTTAACAGTCTTTGTGACTGATGCCAGCAAGTCGGCTAATTCAGCCTTTGAAAGGGTTTGAACATCTTCTTCGGCTACTATGGAGACATTTTGATCCTGGAATGATTCTGCCAGTATCCAACTAACTATTGCTTGAACACTCCAATCTGTTCAATGCTTTGACAGGACAGAAATCAGTGGATAACTTATCGTGTGATACCCATTTTCGATTCAGAATTACCGGAAAGAGTGGTGATAGTCATTCATTAGCGCTAGAGAGTCTTCCAAAGGATAGAAATAGAGCAGAAAGAATGTCAATACCATAGTCCATAGATATCGTCTCTTAAAATAATAGGCACTTGTGAAATTTCCATCATTTCATGATTAGAACAGCTTTTTCTTGAAAATTCCACTAAAATCGAAAGTTGAAGAAACAATTAACAACAATGCAATTGATCTTTACCCTTCATTTCACCGACTCATACCTTCATACTCCACATAAAGTTTCTTGATATCAAGTAATGAACTTTCTTGGCAACCAAACACTACGAAACCTAAAAAGCACTAGAAATGGAACCACCCCGGAAATGGGAATTCCCCCCATAGCCCAGAAAACCGCATGAATCAATCAACCAACCAACAACCTCACCTAGTCAACCACTCGATTCAGAAAGACAAACCCCAAAAGAAACAGGAACCAATTACAGCAAAGTACCTGCAACAGTAACGGGAGAATCATCATCCTTGGACTTGACCTGCCCGGTGCCGTGTGAAACCAACCCTGCTTGAACTCTCTGGCAAAGGGCGCAGGCCATATGAACAGCGCGAACCGCCACGTCCAATTCCCTCTCGTAATTAGCGTCTCCCATTGATTCCGAGACGCTTTCCCTTTCAGATTGTAAACCAATTCAGTACCGCAGAGCTCCAATGGAGTTTTTTCAGTTTCTGGCGGTGAGGTGCCGCGAAGTCATGAAGGCACTTTGCAGCATTGGGAAAGTCGGGAAAGGGCAAAAAAAGTGATTCATGAGATCACACTGTGTGTATATGCGGAATAAATTTCTGTTTGGTTCCCGAGAAAAACAAAGAGGTTAGAGGAGACCCGTGCTGCGAATTGCGCAGTTTAGGAGCACCAAATGAAGAAGCCAGTGGTCGCTTGTGTTTGCCGTCTAGTGGTTTATAATAGTTTTTTTTTTTTTTTGGGAATGAATTTTCCCCACGAATATTCAGTTTTGAGTTCTGTGGATCGATCAGTGGAGAGTGAGGTGAGCAGATCTGTCTGATGGTGCTAGGTTGCTGTATTTTTTTGCCATGGTCCTTTATAGGTTAGGTGTGTAACGATTTGGTTGAGATCGGATCGCGTCGAACCAAAAGGATATGTGGATTGGAATCTCACTGGAACCAATACAATGTGATCAGATTTTTCGTCTCATGAATTTTATAAAAAAAAGTAATTGAATTGATGTTTGGATTGAATCATATCGGACCTGATTCAAATATGGTTAGATTCCTAGTCAAAATAATTAATCTCTCTTTTATTATTGAATCGCGCTTCTCGTGATTTGGTATGATCCGGTCCGAAACCACACCTTTGCACACCCTTTTATCCCAAACTTACCCCCTAAATACATATCTCTTTTTTTTAGTAAAAAAATTACATGTCTCTTTTTTCTTTTATTTTACCAATTTTTTTTATCGCAAATATCAACTTTACTCTGTCAACGAAAAATAAGTAACAAGAAATTATCAATACCAGAAATGCTAAAAATGAGATTAAGAATACTAATCCAATCAAGAGGAAGTAGAGCTAGCCAAAAAAATAATGTTGTCTAGTACGCTCTTATATCGAGGGAATAAAATACAACTTGTACCTGAATGTTGGGGTTTGCCCTAAGGATGACTACCATTTAGGAGTGACAATCGGTCGGTAATCGGTAAATCAGTTACCGACCGACCCGGTAAACGGTATGCCGAGCATGGAGGGGGAGAGATCGAATACCGGTTTACCGGTTACCAAATACCCGATAAACGGTTATAAATCGATTTTACCGATTTACCGCGAGGAGAGATCACAATACGTTTTCGGTTCGGTTTATCGGGAAATGGTTGATTTCATGGGGATGCCAAAGCACCATATCCAGTCAGGAATATGCAGTAATGGAGTGTTGGTGACGGTTCCCATGAAGTTAACTGTTTGTGCCACGTATGCCTTGCGCCCTGCTAGTCTCTCGAGCTCCTTCGGCTCCCTCTGCGCCTTGACCACACGCACACCCCCTGCACACAGCAGCGCGCACCGAGCCCCTTTGCAAGGGCTCGTTAGCACTCCGACGCCCAAGTTAGAACAAATTCTAGAGAGAGAAGTGGGATGTAAGTTTTAGAGAGAAGTTGGAACCCGAGTAAATGAACTTCACCCACTTCACTATTTATACTCGAGGTAGGGCCGACCATTGCCCCTCAAATCCGCCCTACATCATCACCTCATTAAATGCACTGTACCTCACTCCCCCCTGGCGCCCCGACACTCTGACACCGGCCGGCGTCACGGAGGCGCACGGCCCTACCCCTTGTCTCCTTCGTACGCTTCTGACCGTTACCCCCCCCCCTTTTGTCGTCATGCGCCCCACCTTAGGTCCGGTCCCACTGCTTGGGCCATGGCCTCTGGCCCTCTCTTGGGCCACGTCTCCTCCTTGCCAGGCCCACACATCAGGCCCACGGTCACAGCGTGGCAGACTTCAGCCGCCTGCCTTCTTCCAACTTCTGCCTTAGGTCGACCGTGTCAGTAATTGCCTCGATCGTCAACCTTACCCGGGCAGGGTTAGTCTCTGGCTCAACATCAAAGGGAGGGGGCGGCAGCTCCACGCCCCCGCCCAGAGCTCCGATCCGGACACATTCCGTCCCCACTTCGTCCCCGCGTCTCTGAGGCGCCGCCACCTTCTCTTCTTGCGCCATGAAGGTTCGCTGCGCCTTGTCCTCAACCTTCTTTACAAAGTCGTTCAACATCCCCTTATCCACTAGCCCTTGAATCTCCGACTTGAGTTGATAGCATTCGGCCGTGTGATGCCCCCTTTCGCGATGGAACTCGCAAAATCTGTCCAAGTTTTGCTCGTTCGGGCGTCCCCGCATGGGACCCGGCCAGCGAAGGTGGTATCCCTTATCTCTCGCGTATTGCAGTACATTCCTCAGGGTGTCGTTGAGCTCGGTGAAGTTCGTTGCGCTCCTGGGTGGAAAGCGCGGTGGCTCGGGCCGGCGGGCACTATGAGGATAGCCCGGCGGGGCGGAGAGCGGTCGGGTTGTCCTGGCCGCCTCCGCCTCGTCGAGACGCGCCTCCCTTCGCTCCAACCTCCTTGCCGCTAACGTCTCCTCCAGCATGATGACTTTCTGCACCCGGCGGTCCAAGTCTTCCGTGGACACCACGTCGCGCTTCGAAAGCGCACGACAAAGCTCCTCGCTACTGGTACACTCGTTCAAGCAACACCCCAGGACCGGGGGCTTGACATCCTTGACCGCCATTGCAACTGACATCCATCGCTCGTAGAAATCTCGAAGCGCTTCGCCCTTTCGCTGCCTGACCTTAAACAACGCGCTGATCGTCAAACTCCTGCGCTTCCGGCTGGCAAATTTTGAGAGAAACATGGCCGCGAATTGCTCAAAGTTGTCGATCCTCCCCTCTTCGATCTGGTGATACCAGTCTAGCACCACGCCGACAAAGGTCGAGGGGAAGGCGCGACAGAGCGTGGCGTCCGAGCTGTTGTACAACTGCATCTTGGTGAAATAGTTGTTCAGGTGGTCCTCCGGGTCGGACGTGCCGTCGTAGCTGGGAAGCGCCGGTATGACTGAGTTTGCCTGTTCCGCCAAGATACTTCTCGCCAGCGGCTGCCTTACTCCCCACGGGCGCCCACGTATTGCGCTTCTCGAGGTCCGGCGCCTCGTGCCGTTCCTGATGACCCGCATCTTCTGTGCGTCTCAACGCGCTGGACATCCCCTCTTCCTCTTCCTCTCGGTCCCTCTTCCTTTCGTCGTGAGGAGGCGCAGCGCCCCCTCCTTTCTTTAGGACCTCCACCTCCTTCCTCAGAGCTTCGAGCGTCTGGGCCTGTTCCTCTATGATGCTGATCAGGTGTTCCTTGGTCAGCGTGTCTCCCTCCGAATGTGCCATTCCCTGCGCCTCCTCTTCTCCCCCTTGCGCCTCTTCGGAGGCATGGGGCGCCTCCTCCGAGCCAGCTTCATTCAGGGCGCGGTTCCCCTCGCCTTCCACCTGGGCCGCTTCTTCCATCATCGTGATGCTTGCGGTGGTTATACTCCCCCTACATGGCGCGCCAATTGTTTGTGCCACGTACGCCTTGCGCCCTGCTAGTCCCTCGAGCTCCTTCGGCTCCCTCTGCGCCTTGACCACACGCACACCCCCTGCACACAGCAGCGCGCACCGAGCCCCTTTGCAAGGGCTCGTTAGCACTCCGACGCCCAAGTTAGAACAAATTCTAGAGAGAGAAGTGGGATGTAAGTTTTAGAGAGAAGTTGGAACCCGAGTAAATGAGCTTCACCCACTTCACTATTTATACTTGAGGTAGGGCCGACCATTGCCCCCCAAATCCGCCCTACGTCATCACCTCATTAAATGCACTGTACCTCACTCCCCCCTGGCGCCCCGACACTCTGACACCGGCCGGCGCCACGGAGGCGCACGGCCCTACCCCTTGTCTCCTCTGTACGCTTCTGACCGTTACCCCCCTTTTGTCGTCATGCGCCCCACCTTAGGTCCGGTCCCACTGCTTGGGCCATGGCCTCTGGCCCTCTCTTGGGCCACGTCTCCTCCTTGCCAGGCCCACACATCAGGCCCACGGTCACATTGACCCTCTACTTGGGCCTTTCCTTGTATGCCCCCAACATTAACTAGAGGGAGATGAAAGTAACACTTTCTCTCTTTCCATAAACAACAAGATCAAATAATTAGTTTGAATTTGTTAAAGATAACAATATGCAGTACATAATGAACCAAGTTCTAAACACACATGTAACAATGTAAGATCTTTCCACGTCTCTTTGACTGTTTACGTACATAAATGTGCAAGAAAAATCGTACTCTAGTACAATACTGAGTTTTGGTAGTTCGGATTTGAAAATTTGATCGTTAGTTTTTTACCTAAAATAATAGCTAGAAGGATGATGAAAATCAAGAAGGAGAAGTTTGGGACCAGACCGCCCAGGTATAAAAAATTTAATACCGTGTTTACAATAGAGGAAACTTATAGGTGTTGAATAAGTAGTTTTCCATCGCATTAGCATACCGATTACCGACTGAAGCAAAACCTATAAATAACTGTGTCCATTATTACACTTTGCAGTGATTATTTCATAAAACCTAACCTCCCCTGTTTTCCCGCTCGCTGATCTTCTCCCCCAGAGAAACTCTACAGCGAGAGAGCACCGAACCTCCAGAGCCAGGGTTTTCTCCGATCATGGATTCCAGCTCCGATTTCCTTGCCCAGTGTTTCTACAACAGTTTATCCCCAGATGCGAAGCCCCGCAAGGCCGCCGAGGACGGACTGAACGAAGCCGCCAACGCGCCCAATTTCGCCCTCGCCGTCCTCCGCTTGGTCGGGACGCCGACCTACCACGAGGTCATCCGTCGCGCCGCGGCCGTCAATTTCAAGAACCACATCCGGCAGCGTTGGGCGCCCGATCGGGATTCGGAATTCAACCCGATCCCGGCCGACGAGAAGAACCAGATCAAAACCCTAATCGTCACTCTCATGGTTTCCTCTTCTCCCCGCGTCCAGTCCCAACTCAGCGAAGCTCTTTCCCTCATCGGTAAGCACGAATTCCCCAGAGCGTGGACCTCTTTGCTTCCTGAGCTCGTCGACAATCTCCGCCAGCTTGCCTCGCAGGGAAACTACAACTATGCTGCCATCAATGGTATACTCGGCACGGCCAACTCAATCTTCAAGAAGTTCCGGTATGAGTACGCGGATAATGATCTTTGCATTGATTTGAAGTACTGTCTCGACATTTTTGCTGCTCCATTGCTCGAAATTTTCCTCAAGACTGCTGTTTTGATAGACTCAGCGGCAGCAGCAGGTGCTTCCGCTGAGACTTTGAAACCCTTGTTCGAGTCGCAGAGGCTATGTTGTAGGATCTTTTACTCTTTGAATTTCCAGGGAATGCCGGAGTTCTTTGAGGATCACATCAAGGAATGGATGACAGAGTTTGGAAAGTATTTGACATCCACTGATCCAGCTGTTCCCGATGACCTTAGAGCTGCTGTGTGTGAGAATATTATTCTTTATATGGAGAAGGGTGAAGAAGCCTTCTACCCCTACTTGAATGGATTTGCAGGTGCTGTTGGGAATCTGCTGTTTAATGTGTCTCGGGATCATACCTGTGATAGGTTGGCTGTTACTGCCATTAAGTTCTTAACTGCAGTGAGTACCAGTGTCCACCATGATTTTTTCGGAGACAACGAGGTGGTACGACGAATTTGTGCGGAAATTGTGATCCCGAATGCTCGTTTGAGGGAGGATGACGAAGAAATGTTTGGTATGAATTATATAGAATATGTCAGGAGAGATATGGAGGGGGACGATCTCGACACAAGGAGGAGAATCGCGTGTGATTTGCTGAAAGGGATTGCAACTAAACACAAGCAGCAGGTAACAGATATAGTTTCTGCTCTGATACAAAATTTGATGAGTTCTTATGATGCTAATCCAACTGAGAATTGGAAGGACAAGCACTGTGCAATGTATTTAGTTGTGTCTCTAGCGAGCAAGAAATTGAGGGGCATAGATGTTTTAACTAACGAAATTGTTAACGTCGAGAACTTCTTTGGCCGAGTCATAGTGCCTGAGTTACAGAGCCAGGATGTTAATGCATATCCAATGCTCAAAGCTGGTGCTCTTAAATTCTTCACAATGTCTAGAACTCAGTTACCAAAGGATACTGTGATTAATTTGCTGCCAGATTTGGCTCGGTTCCTTGGCGCGAAGTCGAATGTAGTTCACTCTTATGCTGCCTGTTGTATAGAGAAACTACTACAGGTCAAGGATGGAGTGGGGGCAAGGTATACTGCAGTGGATTTGGGTAGTCTATTCATTAAATTGCTGATGAATAACCTTTTTAATGCACTGACACTCGAAGAATCTGAGGAGAATCAGTATATCATGAAGTGTATCATGAGAGTGATTGGTGTGGCAGAAATAAGTAGAGACATTGCTGATCCTTGCTGCATTGGGTTGACCTCAATCCTGAATCAAGTTTGTAAAAATCCCAAAAATCCCATCTTCAACCACTATCTCTTTGAGTCAGTGGCTGTTCTTGTGAGGCGAGCATGTGACCGGGACGTGTCCCTCATACCAGATTTTGAAGCAATGTTATTCCCCTGCTTTGAAATGATCTTGGCCAAGAGTGTCGCTGAATTCTTCCCCTATGCGTTTCAACTCTTGGCCCAACTGGTTGAGTTGAACCAGCCTCCTATTTCTCCTAGTTACATGCCGGTCTTCATGCTCCTTCTCGAACCTAAACTATGGAATGCAAATTCAAATGTTCCTGCCCTTGTGCGTCTACTTCAGGCTTTCCTTCTGAAAGCACCACAGGAGCTCAACCAAGAGGGGAGGCTGAGCCAGGTGCTTGGAATTTTCGCACAGCTCGTTTCATCCCCAAGCACTGAGGAACGGGGCTTCCATCTTCTGAATAGCGTTATCGAGAATCTCGAATTTCCCATCATTGCCCCGTACATGCGTCACATCTGGGCTGTCCTATTCACCCGCCTGAAGAAGAAGGAGACAGTAAGGTTTACCAAGTCCCTCGTGATCTTCATGTCGCTGTTTCTGATCAAGCATGGTCCTGCAAACCTCATCGACACGATGAATTCAGTTAAAGAAGAAGCAGACATATTCAAGGATATTTTGAACAAGTTCTGGATACCGAAACTCAAGCTGATCACGGGACACATTGAAGTCAAGTTAGTTGCTGTTGCATCGTGCAGACTCATCTGCGAATCTCCTGTTCTCTTGGATCCTGCAGCTCCTCGCCCTTGGGGCAAAATGCTGGACGGAATCGTCACCCTACTCTCAAAGCCAGAGGAGCACAGGGTTGAAGAGGAACCTGAAATGCCAGATGTTGCTGAAAACGTGGGCTACACTGCAACATTTGTCAACCTTTACAATGCTGGGAAGCAGGAGGAAGATCCTCTGAAGTGCATAAAGGATCCCAAGCAATTCTTAGCGGCTTCATTGTCGAAGCTTTCGGCCGCATCTCCTGGGAGGTTTCCACAGATAATCAATCAGAACCTGGATGCAGCAAATCAAAGTGCAGTGATGCAGCTCTGCAGAACTTACAACTGCCCAGTTGTTTGACAAGGTATCCAGAGACACATATACAGGTTTTGATAATCTTTGCAGAAAAATGTTCCCTTTCCATGCATTTCTCCTAATTTTTTTGAAGAAATTTATTTTCACAGTTATATTGTTCAGGTTTGATTAGGGGATTGAGTCCTTTCTCCTTTGATGTCTTTCCAAATTTGTATTTCTGTTATGATAGGGATTCCGAGACTTTACATTCGAAATAACTTGATTTCGTAGTTACTCTGCAAACGTACGAGAGCGAGCGATTAAATTTTTGTTTCGCCTTGTTATTCTGTTAGCGGTTAACCGATTATTTTGAAATTATGGTAAAGAGAAAAAAAAACATTTCCTTTTTTTTCCCTCTGTTTTTGCAGACGCCAGCCATTTCGTATAGATATGAAGAATATGGAAGAGATTAGAGAGAGAGTTGAGATAGGGATTACCACGGTGGCCATGTGCCCACCGCCAGCAGACTGACAGGGCAGCCGGTTTCCTGTTGACGTCAACGGCGGCATCAATGAACGTAAGGGTTTGCTATTATAGTTCATCGTTTTTATGTCTTTCCTGTTTAAAACGACCGTTGGAGTTGGACATGGATAAGTCACCATGTCGTCGTCGTCGTCTTCTAGGGCACATATGTCATCAGAGGCACAGTTTTAGGTGTTTAGGTTCCATCTTTTTCAAATTCGTGTTTTGAGAATTACAGGTACAACAAGACCATACGTCAACGGGGTGTAGTTTGGTATTTATGATTCCTACTTTTTAAGCGTTTTGATTAAAAACTTTGGTTGCGATTTTCTTATTACAAATTCAATTTTTTTTCCGTAAGTCTTAATATAACTCATCATTCTTTGGATTCCCGTAAACATTTGCGAGTGTTTATTTATATACTCCGAAAAATTAAGTAAAGTTTATTGAAGAATAAAATATGCTAACTGAAATGGACTTTTGTGTATGAACGGTATCTCGTAGATCGACGATCCAGTTCAAATCATTGATTTGTAGGAAAGAAGGTAACGCCTCACAATTATCCGGGATGTCTAGCTATTGATCTAATGATCTTTGGTTTTGATTCTAGAGCGTTGACATTCTAGCCCTAGTTTGGTCAAAAGGGAAATTAGTAAATTACAACCTAAACAAGTGTCCGATAATAAAATTTTAAAATGGATACTAAATTAATTAAAGTATTAAACATCAGAATTCAGAAACATTGGAGAATGGAAGAAGAAAAAAAAAAGTCAGTAAACACCGTGGAGCAGAGCAGCGTAAACCGTTGATTCTAAAGGCAAGCAGCTGGCAGTGGCAGCTCCCTCGTCCCCGCCATTCTCGGCGTCTTTCTTCGTCTTCGCAATTTGCAATATATATTCCTCCAGAAACCCAAAAGCCGCGTTAAAGCGGGACCCGCCCGGCCGAAGGATAGCTGGTCCCCAGCGCAGCAGAGTATTAGCCATTAAGCAGCAGCAGCAACCAGATGTTCCAGACCAGACCCCATTTCCCCTTCCACTAAATTTGCTCCTCCAGTCCAGCCTCTGTTTCTGCAACTAAAAAAGGCAAAAAAGAAAATGAAAGCTTCCTCCCGGCAGCTTAATTCAATTCCAAAAACTATAGCATTAATTAACAAACCCACTTTTCTCATTTCTTCCTCCTCTTGCTCGTTATATAATGTTTTCTTCTATTCTTTCTCTGTAGAGACGAGTTGTGTGGCTGTGTGTGGTGGTGGGGGAGTCTTATTATTTTCGAGTTTCTCCATTTGGGCAGGAGGTAAAAAATGACAGGCTAATCAACAGCCTGGAAAGGGCTGTTGTCGTTAAGGTGCTGTGCTGCGATGGTTGCCCACTCACTCACTCCATATTTATGCTTTTAATTTAACGGTCTTCCTCTTCTCCCCCCTTCCTGGGTTTTCCGGTCTTCCCTTTTCTCCCCCCAGCTCAACTCTCTCCTCTCCTTTCGCTTAATTCGAAATGCCCACCAGGTGTTCGATCTTTTGACTCAGAGAAGCTTCAATTCCCCTGTCTCTCCGGCAGCTTCTTCACATTTCTGCCCCTCTTCGAGGTAAAGGGTTTGCATACTTTGGAAGCAGAGGTCTTCCTTCTCTCGTACCATTTCTGGATTATTTGTTGCTTCTATGCCGTCTCCTACAGAGTTGTTTTGAGTTCTGTAGTAGGAGCCTAAATTTTGGAGGGGAATTTGTGTTTTGAGCTCGGAGAAAATTTAGGCATTCTTTAGTTCTTTTTGAGTTTCAATTTTTTGTGGGAATGGTGAAGATAAAGCTAGTAGAAGCTTCGTTTTCGATAGTGCTAGTAATTCTTTTGGTGGAGTTCATTGGGCGGAATGGATCACTGGCTGCCTTCACTCCGCCTGATAACTACTTGATTGCTTGCGGTTCAACCAAAGATGTAACTTTTCAAGGCAGAACTTTTGTTCCTGATTCCGGGCATCCCTCTCTCACATTGAAGACTGGAACTTCCAGTGGTAGTAGTGTTGCTACCTCGAATTCTAGCTTCCCATCTCCGATCTACCAGTCTGCTCGCATCTTCTCCAGCGTGGCTGCTTACAACTTCGACATTCAGCAGCAGGGTCGGCATTGGATCCGCCTTTACTTCTACCCTATTCCAAGCTCTGCCCAGAACTTGACAGCTGCATCCATCACCGTCGTCACAAAGGACTTTGTCCTGCTGCACAATTTTGCATTCAAGAACTACAACGGCACTTTCATGTTCAAGGAGTATGCAGTCAATGTGACTTCAGACACTTTGACCCTTTCGTTCATTCCTTCAAATAACTCAGTGGCCTTTGTCAACGCCATTGAAGTTGTATCCATCCCTGATGTGGTTCTCCCTGACCAAGCTTGGACTCTAAACCCCTCCACCTCTGTTGATGGCCTCTCTGATCTGGCCTATGAAACCGTTTATCGGTTGAACATGGGCGGCCCGTTGATCACGTCTGAAAACGATACTCTGGGGAGAGTGTGGGAGAATGATGCTGAGTATCGTCATGTCAACAATTCTGCTGTGGATGTTTCAACCAATCCTGCATCCATAAGATACCCAGCTGCACTTAAACCTGAGACAGCTCCAAACATGGTCTATGCCACTGCTGTTGCCATGGGAGATCCAAGTGTGACGAATGCCAACTTCAACATGACTTGGGTTCTTCCAGTCAATCCAAACTTCAGATACTTGGTTCGAGTCCATTTCTGTGACATAATCAGCAGAGCTCTGAACACTCTGGTGTTCAACCTTTATGTAAATGACGATCTCGCCCAAGGCCTCGATCTCTCAACGATCACTGGTGGCTTGGGTGTACCATACTACCGTGACTTCGTCTCCAACTCATCGACAGAGTCACCGGATACTTTGATGGTCAGCGTTGGTCCTGATACAACGGCAGACATCACCAACGCAACCGTCAATGGGCTGGAGATATTGAAGATCAGCAACGATGTCAAAAGCTTGGATGGGGTTTCCTCAGTTGAGAGTCTCACTCCACAATCCCATTCCAAGAGCCATAAGGTAGGAATCATAATCGGTTCCACAGCTGGAGCAATAGCTGCATTCGCCATACTCGGTCTCTGCTTCATCTGCATGAGAGCTGGCAAGAAGGACCCTAATCAGCAACAGGGGGGACATTCGTGGCTGCCTTTGCCCTTATACGGCATCTCCCAGACCATTACAAAAATGTCCACAACTTCACAAAAGAGTGCTTCAGCTAGCTGCATCTCACTGGCTTCCACAAACCTCGGCCGATTCTTCCCCTTCCAGGAAATCATGGATTCGACCAACAAGTTCGATGAAACCCTCCTTCTCGGAGTTGGAGGGTTCGGCAGGGTCTACAAAGGAACCTTGGAAGATGGCACTAACGTGGCAGTCAAGAGAGGCAACCCAAGATCAGAACAAGGTCTCGCAGAATTCAGAACCGAGATCGAAATGCTATCCAAGCTCAGACATCGACACTTGGTCTCTCTCATTGGCTACTGCGACGAACGTTCGGAGATGATCCTCGTCTACGAGTACATGGCCAACGGACCGCTGAGAAGCCATTTGTACGGCACAAACTTGCCATCCTTGTCCTGGAAGCAACGGCTAGAAATCTGCATTGGAGCTGCCAGAGGGCTACACTATCTCTGAGAATTAGTGTAGAGGGGATGGAATTTGTGAAACCCTTTTTCTAAATTTCACTGGCAGCTGAGCTGCTGAATATGTACAGAGGAAACGGAAGCTACAGGACAAACGTCCCTAACGGCCTTGTCCTCTCACTAGTTGACAGGTGGCCCTATCTGTTAATTACACGTATAGTATCTAAGACTAAAGTAATGTATTTACATAAAGGCAGGAACGCTGCCGTATCGGTTCAAGTTCTGGCCTCCTCCTTCTTCCCTCTTTCTCTGCTCTTGACCGTTGGAGCATTCTTCTTCTTCACTCTGTTTGGAGGAGGCAGGGTGTTCCATTTCATTCAACAGCTCCCCACAAGCTGGCGAGTATATATCATATACTCCCAGCTTGAAAAGAATCCATCTGAATCTGTGTGCACTTAGCCCCTTTGTGAAGATGTCGGCTAGGTTTCTATCTGTACACACATATCTTAGGTCAATCAGCTTCGACTTCACTCTTTCTCTGATCACATGGCAGTCGATCTCAATGTGCTTCGTCCGCTCGTGGAATACGGGATTTTCTGCCATGTGAATCGCGGATTTGTTGTCGCAGAAGACGGTAGCTGGACCCTTGTATTCAACATTCAAATCCTTCAGCAATTGGGTAACCCACTGCACTTCGCACGAAAGTTGAGATAGTGCTCTGTATTCGGCTTCGGATGATGATTTTGAGACGATCGCTTGTTTCTTGGCCTTCCAGGTGATGAGGGAGCTCCCCAGAAAGGTGCAGTACCCGGTAATTGATCTTCGTGTGTCGGGGCAGGCTCCCCAGTCCGAGTCGCTGTACCCAGTTAGGGTGAAGTCGGTATTTGACGCGAAGAACAATCCTTGACCTGGTGAGTTCTTGAGATACCTGAGTATTCTGTGTGAGGCTTTTAGATGTGATGACTTCGGTTGCACCTGGAATTGACACAGTTGTTGTACTGCATAGGAAATGTCGGGTCTTGTGGTGGTCAGGTAACTCAATCTTCCGATCAAGGATTTGTATTCATATGGATCCACTGGTTGTTCTTCGTTGTACTGTGATAGTCTGGTCTTCATGTCTGATGGAGTTTTAACAGGCTTTGTGTTCAAGAATCCTGTGTCTGTAAGTAAGTCGAGGCAATACTTCCTCTGTGTGACTGAAATCCCAGAACTGCTCCTAGCTACTTCCAAACCCAGGAAGTACTTCAGTTTCCCTAGGTCTCGGACTTTGAATTCTGTTGATAGGAAGTCCTTTGCTTCTTGAATCATGTTCCAGTCATCTCCTGAGATTATCAGATCATCAACGTAGACTAGAATGACAGTAATTCCTTTACTGGTCTTCTTGGTGAAAAGGGAATAGTCAGAGTAGGATTGGTTGAATCCGAATCTGATCAAAGCATCTGTAAGCTTGGCGTACCACTGTCTGCCAGCTTGTTTCAATCCGTATAGTGATTTCCTCAGTCTACATGCTTTACCCGGTATCTCCATTCCAGGAGGTAACTTCATGTATACCTCTTCTTCCAGATCCCCATTCAAATAAGCATTGCTGATGTCCATTTGGCTTAGGTCCCAATTCTTGACAGAGGCGACTGCTAGGAGTGTCTTAACAGTGTTGATTTTCACTACGGGAGAGAATGTGTCGAGGAAATCAATACCATGGATCTGTGTGAACCCTTTAGCAACGACTCTGGCCTTGCGCCTTTCGATTGAACCATCAGCAAACAATTTAGTTTTGTATACCCATTTGCTTCCCACCAGTTTCTTTCCTGGTGGAATATCCACCACATCCCACGTTCTATTGAGTTCAAGTGCTGTCTCTTCGACCTTCATGGCTTGTCTCCAGCATTCATCCTTTACAGCTTCATTGTAGGTGAGTGGGTCCTGGATGTTGGCGACTGCTAGGGAGAAGTGTTTGTGTTGGTCACTGAGTTGGGAGTAGTTCATGTGGGATGAAATTGGGTATCTTTGTGCAGAACTGGCGCTGCCAACATAGTAGTCTTTGTGCCAGATGGGTTTGGTGGCTTGTCTGCTTGATTTTCTCAAGGGTTGGAGGTCTTCTTCACTTGCTGTGTCTGCTGGCCCCCCTTCATCATCTACGAAAACTTCTTCAGAGTCCTCAGCAGTTGGAGAGTCCATGGATTCAAACGGGATAAAGCCAGGTTGGCTTGATGAAGGGGCTGCAGCATTAGGAACAGAATGTACATATGGAATATGATCTGTATGCAAGTGTGATGGCATATGTGCTGAGGGGGAAGTTTGAGAGGATGAGGAAGTAGGAGGAGTGGGAGTTGAGTGATTTGGTGATTTGTCTGTTGTTGTTGTTGTGGAGGCAAAGGGGAAGATGTTTTCGTGAAAGATAACATCTCTAGAGGTGAAGGTACGGTTGGTGTTAAGATCAAGGAGTTTGTACCCCTTTATGCCAGGCACTAGGCCAAGGAAAACACATCTTCTGGCCCTTGGTTGGAATTTTGTGCGTCCAGCTTCTAGGGTAGAGGCATAACATAGGGAACCAAGAACCTTGATGTGTGAATAGTCTGGTTTTTGGTGATAAAGTTTTTCAAAGGGGGTTAGATTGGATAGGATAGGTGTAGGAAGTCGATTAAGGATGTGGACAGCATATAAAATGCAGTCACTCCAGAATCTCAGGGGTAGGCTAGCTTGGATTTTTAGTGATCTAGCTATGTTCAAAATGTCTTGGTGTTTTCTCTCTACCCTCCCGTTTTGTTGTTGTCTCTCAACACAAGACATTTGGTGTGTGATTCCATTATTTCTATAAAACTCAGTCATGTGGAATTCTAGTCCTTGGTCACTTCTTATTGACTTTACTGTTTGGTTGAATTGGTTTTGAATCATGGTGCAGAACTGTTGAAGGAGTGGCCTGACCTCGGATTTGTGTTTCATGAGGTAAGCCCAGACAGCTCTGGAGTGGTCATCAACAATGGTAAGGAAGTAAGTGAAACCATCATATGATTTAGTATTGACTGGCCCCCAAATGTCTGTATGTATGAGATCAAATGGTTGTTTGGAAACATGTAAGCTAGATGGGAAAGGTAGTTTCTTTTGTCTGGAAAAATGACAGACCTCACAGTGATCAACAAGGTTCAAAGGAATGTCAGAATTACATTTCTGGAAAATTTTGATTCTAGAATTTGAAAGGTGCCCTAATCTAGCATGCCACAGTGCTGCTTCTTCGTCTTGATTGTGTGAAACAGCTGCTGCAGTAGCTTTGGAAGGTGTATTGTTGGAGGTGGAGGCTGTGGTCTCAAGTCGGTAGAGTCCCTTAACCTCTTTTGCAAAACCAATCCTCTTCTGTGAAGGAAGGGCCTGGATATCACAGAAGTTGGATTTGAAAGTTAGGGATATTGGGAGTGATTTGGTCAGAGTGCTAACAGAGAGTAAGTTGAATGTGAAGCTTGGAATGTGTAGTACATTTTGAAGGGTGAGATTTGGATTGACTTGGACTGTTCCAACATGACTGACTTTCACTTTAGAACCAGTAGGTAAGGTGACAAAGGTGTTTTCTACAGGTTGGTATGAGATGAAGAGGGATAATGCACAGCACATATGATCAGATGCACCAGTGTCAATTATCCAGATGTCCATTAGTTCTAAATGCTGTGAAGAGGAGAAAGAGGAGAGTGTGTATTTACCTCCATGATCAGGCATTGGATTCAGATGCCTTGACACAGAATGTGCTTGTGCTTGGATGGTAGGTTGTTGTGGTTGACAGCTCCCACTTGATTGTTGCAGTAACATCATCAGCCTGGTGCAGTCTTCTGTGGTAAGTCTCAATGTGGTGGTGTTGTTTGGTTTGTAGCCTTGGTCATTGCTCACATTGTGGGTGTCTGTGGTTTGATCTCCAGTTCCACCATTTCCAGTTGCAGCTGCTGCATAGGCCTGCCCAGGCATTTCACCTCTCTTCCTCTTCAATTTCCAGCAATCAGCGATGTTGTGGTTGGTTTTCTTGCAATAGTTGCAGAACAGGCCTTGTTGGTTGCCCCCAGAGTTCTCATTGTTGCTTCTCTGGTTCCCCTGTCCATAATAGTTTCCTTGATACGAGTTGGGTTTGCTTCCACGAGGATAATCAGTCCTCTGATCCCTTCCTTTGGTCTGATTCGTTGCAGCTAAAGCTACAGAGTCCACTCCTGTGGTTTCCTTGGTTGGCTGCTTGTCCATCTGTCTCTCTAGCTTGAGAGCATGTTTGTATGCAAGCTTGAGGCTGGGAGCTGGATCCATAAGGAGTAGCTGATTCTTCGTCATCTCGAAAGAGTCATTCAGGCCAATGATAAAGTCGATGGTGTGATCTTGTTCTTGAGATTCCTTGACTGCTGCATAGGTGACACAGGACATGGTGTGTGGTATTGGACCACACTCACAAGCAGGTATAATCTTGAAAGACAGATATTCGGTCCAGAGGACTCCCAATCTATTGTAAAAATCTGTCACTGTGTCATCTCCTTGTTTGCAGGCGGCTATCATCCTCTTAACATGGGCTAAGCGAACTGAGTCAGCTTCGCCATACCTTTCCTGGAGGTCTTTCCACAAGTCTTGGGCTGTCTCGTTGTCCATAACAGCCTCAGCTATGGAGTCGAGCAGGGAATTGAGAATCCAACCCATGACGTTGGTATTACTCTGATCCCAAGCTTCATAATCAGGGTCGGTTACCTCAGGCATAGGTAGGCTGCCATTGATAAACCCAAGCTTCTTCTTGGTTTTTAAGGCGATTCTCATAGATCTACTCCATACGTGGTAGTTAGATCCATCAAGTTTTACAGAAATGATACCTTGGGCTAGGTTCTCGTTGGGGTTGACGTAATATGGATCAACTGCAGGTCGAGTAGTTTGCTGGGTTGTGCCGCTTCCAATGCTCCGAGTGTTGTGTTCTTCAGCTTCGTTAGTCGCCATGGTGGGATTTGCGGCGGCGGCACGGAAAACCTAGCAGTCGTGAGCTCAGGGCTCTGATACCATGAGAATTAGTGTAGAGGGGATGGAATTTGTGAAACCCTTTTTCTAAATTTCACTGGCAGCTGAGCTGCTGAATATGTACAGAGGAAACGGAAGCTACAGGACAAACGTCCCTAACGGCCTTGTCCTCTCACTAGTTGACAGGTGGCCCTATCTGTTAATTACACGTATAGTATCTAAGACTAAAGTAATGTATTTACATAAAGGCAGGAACGCTGCCGTATCGGTTCAAGTTCTGGCCTCCTCCTTCTTCCCTCTTTCTCTGCTCTTGACCGTTGGAGCATTCTTCTTCTTCACTCTGTTTGGAGGAGGCAGGGTGTTCCATTTCATTCAACAATCTCCACACCGGCGCAACTCAGAGCATCATCCACAGGGACGTCAAGACGACCAACATCCTCCTCGACGAGAGCTTCGTGGCCAAAGTCGCCGACTTTGGCCTCTCCAAAACCGGACCCTCCCTCGACCAGACCCACGTCAGCACAGCTGTGAAGGGCAGCTTCGGCTACCTCGATCCCGAGTACTTCAGAAGACAGCAGCTGACTGAAAAATCCGACGTCTACTCCTTCGGTGTGGTCCTAATGGAAGTCCTCTGCACTAGGCCGGCTCTAAACCCGGTTCTTCCCAGGGATCAAGTGAACATAGCCGAGTGGGCGATGACATGGCAGAAGAAGGGAATGCTGGACCAGATCATGGACCAGAACCTGGTCGGGAAAGTAAACCCCGCGTCGCTGAAGAAGTTCGGCGAGACGGCAGAGAAGTGTCTGGCCGAGTACGGTGTTGAGAGGCCGTCCATGGGGGACGTGCTGTGGAACCTTGAGTACGCATTGCAGCTGGAGGAGACTTCCTCCGCGGCGGCGCTGAATGAGGCGGAAGATAACAGCACGAATCATATACCGGGGATCCCATTGACGCCGCTGGAACAGTTTGACAACAGCGTGAGCATGATGGTCGACGGAGGCGGGCATTCGGGGACGGACGACGACGGTGAAGATGCCACGACAAGTGCTGTGTTCTCGCAGCTGGTTAACCCGCGCGGGAGATGAGTATACTTTGAAACACAGTGATTAGTGGGAGATTTGCTGTATTATTAATGTATTTGCTTCTGTTACTTCTTCTTACTACATGAGCGATTTTGAGGCGTATAGATTGTTACTGTTAAAGGATTGTGACAATAGATGAGGGCGGTGGATGGTTAATTGTTCCATCGCTATCTGCTGGAAGAAAGTGTATCATAGATCATGATTTTGTGATTGTCGCTTACCAGACCAAAGGTTGGGTGTTTTCAGCCCCCATGTTACTTTTGTCTGAAGACATTAGTGCCAGAGTGCAAATAAGACAACCATTCATACTTTGTCATGGCCTTGGATTCGAGTTTTGCCAATGTTTGATCAGGGGGACATCAGTCGCTGGATAAGGATTTGGTTTGTCATGAAAGTATTATGCAGGAAACCTCTGCTTAATTGATTGTGTTTCAGACTTTCAGGCTCTCCAATCAAAGACATATTGATGGAAGTGTTTGTTTTTGTTGTTCAGTGGACAATTCTGGTAAGTATGAGAAGTGTAATGCTAATTGCTATGATATGCAGTTAAAGCTTAAAAGCATCATATAACCGACTAAAAAATTATTTCAAACACAAGATCACATTTCTTGTTAGGCTAACTCCAACCCACAAAGTCACATTTGACTCCCCAAATAGCTAAATATTGCTTTTTAGCTCCTCAAATCCCATTTTCACTCCAACCCTACAAAAAGCTAAATTTAGCTTCCCACATTCATTTTTCAATTTATTTCAATAAACCATACTTATTTGACCTTTAGTTTTTATATTTCACTTTAATTTTTTAATAATTCGTTATTACTTTTGAAAACAAAAATTTTGATGTAATTTTTTTAAAATTCCGAGACAATTTTTTTTTTTGAAAAATTAGTAGCTAATTTGTTACCGTTAACTTCGGGACCACTCCAAATATGACCATTTTCTTGTAGTCGTTATTTTAAGACCATCTTGTTTGCTTGTAGATTGTATTGCATGTTTCAATATTAATTTTACTTCTTGCTGCTTGGTTGTTTGTATTTCAAGTTTCAGTGTGATTGTATTTCAAGACCGTTTTTTATGGTTGTTAATATATGATCGTTGCAAAGTGATTGTTGTTTCGTCACTACGTAAATTGATTCTCATTATTATTTAAATCACACCAACAAAGCAACAACCAATCACAAATGAGGAAAGATAAGAAAAAAAGAAAAAAAAAAGGGATTTGGCCACATGGAGTGACAAACGTGGGCCCAGTACCCACTTTTTTGCCCAGCCATAAATGGCTTTCTTCCCAAATCCTAGCCAAATTTAGCTCCCAAAATCTTAATACCCATATTTGACTCCCTCTTTTTTTGTGGGTTGGAGTAAGAAAAAGAGTTATATATGGCTTTTTGGCTTTTTTGCTCCTTGGGTTGGAGCCAGCCTTAGAGCTAGATATATCACTTGTTGATATACGTTGAAAACAAAATATTGTCATCGAGTGAAAGTTATTGGGTCTCGGTGGCACTTTTTTTTTTTTTTTTTACTGTGTTGGGTCGTTATGTAATCTTTCTTTTTATAGGTTGGATTAGGTTAGACTTTCCAAAAAAGGTGTTATATATACCTTCTCAAACTTTGTAGTCTGTGTCTATTCAAGTATAGTGAAACTCGTCTCTCATTCTTGTGAATTAGCGAACACACATCATGTTAGTAAACTACATAAATTCATGTATTATTTACTTTCTCGCATGATCGATTTCCCAACCCGTTACAGCATCTTCTGGTTTGGTGGATACCTTTTCCCTATATTCAAAAATGCCAACTCAAAAGTCTCTAGAGGCGCTGGCATGTGGTAGGTGGATTGGATTCCCCTTTCCTAAACTCTCGCCAAATTGGGAGGAAAACAGATTCAGCAAAAAGTCAGATTAATCCTTCTTATTATTCATAATTCATTCACTAATAAAATTAAGGAATAATCATGTCAATTCCATCACAATTCTTCCACTAATTATATGACTTTCTCATACAGTTCAGTTGGTTGTTGTCAACTCTCAAGTAACCTTCACATCAACAAGGAGGCCCTTTTCTTGAATACTGGAAAGGAAAAGATCATGCTCAGCCTCAACTCTGGTGTCAGATGTTAAACAAAGAACACTATGTCTTCACTGTAGAATTGCTTAGTAGAGTTGACAAGTGATTATCTTATAGGAGAAAAAGGCAGCACTTTTTTGTGCAGCTATTTGCAGACCAGCATCTTTTAGGTAACATGCATCATCTTCCACCATTCAATGGGTCTGAAAAAAGGCTTCTTCCATCCGCATCCATGATTGGTGTCCATTTCAGTATAGCCTAGCCTTCATGTTGATGACAAGACCACATCTTTGAAGAATCTCTTTGGAAATGATCTTTGCAATGACATCAATTTTAGTTTGCTCTTGATTATCGATTTTCGCAGATGACGTACTTGACCTTAAAATGTTGAATCGTAAGCATGATGTGTAGAGAAATTAGTACACAAATAAATAGCTATGGATTCCACAAAGTATTATACACTTATGCATTTTTAATGAGAGAGACGAGAGAGTACCACAACTCAGAACGAGTGACCATTCAAGTGTGGCTAACCACTTCTACCAAATGGTCAACAACAATTTGGTTCTGCAATATGAGCTTCTATGACTCAACGCTCTGAACAAAAGTGAAATTGTAGCTTGCCTTACATTGTTTTACCAGTAAGGTCTACTATCATATTTGCATTAACGAAGGCATCCATAATGGACTCGGATATGAAAAGTCAAACATAATTTCGAAGTATTTTTAAGTTATGAACAACCAGGGAAGAATTAAATTGTGATAATATTATTTGGGAATATGGTTTAGGCCATGATTGTTCTTTAACTTATGGACCGTATGTCTTTTTTTTTTTTTGTTAACTTCAAAACATCGTGATTAAAGATACAACTTTTAAGGCGTAGCTGATACTAGTCTATAATATTTAGAGCAAGTAATAGTCCGAGTATAACTGAATGAGGCACATCATTGTCATTGGAAAAGCATGCATCTTATCAAATTTCAACCTTATCTCCCAAGGGAAACCCTCTATTGCAAAGTGAGTTTTAGTCCAATACTCATCCCCACCTTTTTTTCTTAGGTTTCGATATTTCCTTTTTTTCTGTTGTTTACACCATAAAATTTGTCTTGTACCACATTGGTGAGTTACAAGATAATCAAGGTGTTTATAAGGCCACACCCATTATAACAATTAATGTTGTTTAAATTGGGCCTTATGGATATTGATTTTAAACCCAAGTCACTAGCTCATTAATGAGCATGGACATGATTCAATAAGGGACATGGGCCTCTCGTAAGAGGCCATGCCATGCCACGAGATGACATGAAAATTTCTAAGTATGAGAAGTCCATGACCATGAATGAAGAGGCCATGCCGCCTCATGACCAAGACCAAACGAACCAAAAACATGTCCATCTAGAATTTAGAAGCACATGCCATCTCAAGGAAGACCTCAATACGGTAAAAAATATTCTAAGTCTCGAGAAGGACATGCCACTTCTCGAAGAGGCCATGCCGCCCATGACCAATGCCTAATGACTGAAAAATAAACTAAGTCTGGAAGAGGTACATGCCACTTCAACGAGAGGTCCATGCCGCTTCACGAGAAGGGGCATGGACGCAAGAAAAGATACTAAGTATGAGAGGGCCATGTTGTGTCACGAGAAGGGTCACAGACATGACTGAGAAGTCCATGGCCGCAAATGAGGAGGCCATGTCACCTCATGATCCAAAATATACTAAGTCTGAGAAGGCCATGCCGCCTCATGAGAGGGGCCTTGTGCATGATTGAGAGGTCCATGCCACCTCACGAGGATGGCCATGGACACGAATGAGAAGGTCGTGGTGGTGGAGCATTATATCACTAGTGACTAATTCCCAAGAAGGCCATGGACATGAGTAAGAAGTCCATGGCCGTAAGACAAGAAGGCCATGGACATGAGTAAGAAGTCCATGGCCGCGAGGCAAGAAGACCACGACCCCTTTTGTGAGACACCACATGCTCATCAAAAGACTAGCATGACACGAGATTCAGAACAAGACTAGGCGAGGCAAGCTACACTCCAAGACCCACGACGGTTACAAGAAAGGCCCCAAGGCGGTTGAAGGAGTAACCACCACTCCGAGGAAGCAGGGAGCGGTTCTTTTTGGGAGTTATCCAAGGGGCGATTTTTCTACCGAAGAAGGGGGAGCGGTTCTTTGTAGCAGTTATCCAACAAGCGGTTTTCTATGGCGGTTACCTCCTCGGGGCTATAAATAAGAGGAGGGGTCGACAGAGACAAAGGCCCCAAAACGAACTATTTGACACACATGTCAAGTTTATCCCTTTTATTTTCTCTATCATGTAGCCATAGATGTAGTTCGTAGTTTGGAGCTCTCGCCGATCCTCCATAGGAGTAGAAGTAATTTAATTTAGATCTCGTTCCCAAAAACCATCAATCAAACACCCTCGTTCGAACTTTGTTTGAAGAGGTTTGAGCCGTGTCTTAGAAATCGTTGTCCAAAGAAGTCAAAGGTGCAATCCATCTCAATTCAACACAAGAAGTTTTCTCACCGGAAAACATCTGTCAAACTCTTCTACTCTTAAATCGATTTATTATCTTATAAGTGTTGTTCAATTGAGCATACTACGTATCATCTTACGTTCCAGCAACCGCCTTATAAATATGCATAAAATTGAACATTTTACAAAATCTCAAACTTCACCTCATCTAAACATAACCACTAACGGTTAATTCGATAGGTGGAGACCTCAAATTAGGACAACATGAATTTGCAAATACAAGTTTTGAGAACCTAGTAGACAAAGTCTTACCCCATTTGCATTAGTAGTATACAAATGGATCGACCGATTTGAACTACTAATCTCAAACTAAACAGAAAATCAATCAACACATACACTTTGAAACATTATGAAATTTCAGACCACACATCATCATTTCCTGCACACAATTCCATTCCCACTTCCAAACCGCCCGCTGCAATCGATCACCTCATTCTCCCCCACCATCACCAAATCACCGCCACTGCCGGCCGCCGCCGGATCGAACAAGCAGGCCCCACAATCCGCCGCCAGGAGCGACGACGTCCGGTACACATCCTCCCCGCCGACCACCGGCATCGCCACGCCGGGCTTCGCCGCCGGGTTCCTGAAATCCGGCCGGTAAGTCTTCCCCAGCACCCCCTCCACCTTCTCCGACATCCCGCGGGAGAACTTGAACTGAACCTCCAAATGGGCGAAGCAGTCGTCGGCGGGGACCTTGTACCCGTGGACACGGTCGTCCTCCGCCGTCACCGGAACCACGCTCACCGTCACCTCGCCCACCTCCGGGATCGTGACCACCACGCTGTTCCGGTCGGACGTCCGCTGCACCGTGATGACGTCGTCGGGCGACTGCCACGTGGACAGGTGGCCGGCCGGGACGGCGAGGTCGGCGCCGTTGTAGGTGAACTTGAGGTGGTCGATGTTGTTGTTCCACGTGGCGGATTTTGCGGCCTCGAGGGAGAAAGTAGTGGTGGGGGTGGAGCCCAGGACGAAGCCCAGGGCCTGGATCCAGGTGAAGTCCCTGGGCCGGCCCACGGGCCTGTGGCCCGTGAAGCGGGCGTTGATCTGGAAGGTGGGGTCGGAGACGAGGGCGAAATTCTCGTTGGTCTTGCCGTGGAAATAGAAGACGATTCCGTCACCGCCGATGAATCGCGGGTCCAGGCAGGCTGCTCCCGGAGAGTTACAGTTTGGTTTGCGATCTGCAGTTTAGCAAGTAACTGAAATTTAGCCATTGATGGAGAATGCAACTCATAGGTATTTGAGATGGAAAAACAGAGCAACCATTATAGTCGTCGTGCCGATTTGATAAGTGGTGTGGTTTGACCGGTGTTATAATCGGTTTATTCTGGTTTAGGAAAATAAGTAGGAAAGTGGTGAATCATACACTAAATGAATTTATTTATGCATATACATTAACATATTTGAATACAGTCTCTCTTAAAATACAACGTTTCGTACAAAATTTAAAAGTTCTCGTATTTCATTGCAAAAATTAATGTCAAACTTTCAAAATTTTATATTCGAATCTAAACAAATAACGTAAATATCTAAACATCCATACCCGAATCAAACAAATAAAAAAAACGTCGACATTTAACTTTCAAACTCATAAACCAAATCAAAACATTTTTTTAAAAAAATTAACATCATCAAAACAATGTAATTTTGTTAAGAAGTTGGGAAATCGGTTATGTCAATCATACCAGGGACATTCGAGCCAGATTTTACAAACGATACCGATTGAACCTGACTGTACCGACGGACAATGCCGTATGTACTTCATCAAAATATTCTTAATAGTAAGGAAAGTAACTTCTCAATAAGGATGGAGAGGGTGCTTACTTTTGCAGGAAGGCTTGCAGACTGGAGAGTAGCAGTCGAGGTAGCAAGCTTTGGACTTAGGGTCGGAAGGGTAGAGTTCAGGGCATTCATAGGGACATTCCAATTGCTGCAGCTTGCATGGCCCGTAACTGCACGTCGCGTAGCTGCCGTAGGCTTGAGTTGCGCTGCCAACAAACATGATCACTACCAGCACCGCCGCCGCCGCCGCCATCAACTTACTGCTAACTCCCTCCATACTTAAAAATCACTTTTGTTAGTCTTCTTAGCTCTATAATGCCTGATTACCGAACTGTATATGCTCAGCTCTGGTCTTAATGCCCCTTTTTATAGATTTCCAACTAGTACGTAGCCAATGGTTGTAGCATGTTCCCTCGTGAAGTTATTAACTAAGTTGTCAGGTTTCCCCGTGGGAGGATGGGGAATCTTAATCAGTAGTTAGTGTAGTGTTAGTGATGAGACCCACTTGCATTTGTTTTCTTTCCTTACAATGGAGTTAATTGATTGATCAGAGCGAATTTTCAACTGGCTAGGTTTTTGCAGGGAGAGATGGAGGGTGAAACGTGGGGGTTGGGTGGCTCCTTATGGAGATTTCTTTTGACGAGTTCTTGAAAATGTTTTTCTAATTTGAAGTCAGCGCTCTGTTCTGAAGGAAATGAGGTGATAACTGAACTAAATTCAATGAACTGCATGCATGCTCGTCAGTGGCCGGCCGGCAAGCGACTATAGGGGCGGATTGCCCGTGTGTATTATTGTAACTTGGCCACGTGGTACGTGTGGGGTTATGGTGTTTTTTAGGGCATGCTATGTATTCGTCTCGTTTCGAAATAGATGATTCATGTCAAAACAATGTCAATTGTCACTTGTGATATGATGGATAAGAACGCATATGAATCTGCGCAAAAATCGTTCATCAAAGTTTACTTTGATTTGAAGGATGTGTTGTTTCGGAATTTAGGATTCAAAATTGAAGGTTTAGAACTTGGGGTACTACATTGATCAGTTGTAATCCTATACGATACCATCATGTTAGAGTAACGCTATCAATAAAAATTTAAAATTCAATATTCTAAGACGGTTTTTCCAGAATTGTGTGCATAGTATGCAGTCAGCATGGTATGCACATTTTATGAGTGCACCACAGAAGCAAACGGTATTTCCTGCTCCATGTATTTGACATTAATGAACTTGATGAAATTATAATTAATTAAAACAGGTTTTAAAAGCGTCAACCAAGATGATATATTTGCTCAATTGCATAAGCAATTTTCACCCTCTCAATTACGATAACCAAACGATTCATTTAGCAGCTTTCATAGATGAAGTCCATTTGTGATAGCCAGATTGATATCGTCACGAATCCATGCACTTGGGCTGGGCCTAGTAGGATTCATCGCGAATGGTTGAAAGAGAAACTACACCCCAATTCCCTTCGGCTCTTATCACGACAATTAACTGTCCCCAGGTTAAAGTCCGGCCCATCAAAATTTTGTGGGCCTAATATTGGAACTTGTAAGTTGTAATATCTGCACAAAGACTGCCATTGGCACGCTGTCCAAACTGAATATGGCAAAACATGGAACCCGTACGTCAAGCCAACCCATCACCTTTCATGTGCTGGTGATTCCATCTAGGTCGCCTTTCATGAATCTTCCTCCTCAGAATCAGTTCTATCCACCACGTAGTTCTTCGGTAAATGGTAACGCATTGGAAACCAACAATGCAAAAACGTTAAGAATTTTGATACAAGTATTTATAGAGGGGCCTCTTTTTCAATTATTTCATTCCGCTGACATCTGCAACTAAAATGGAAATCGAACGTTTTGAGTTAAAAAATGCCGAATCTCGTCTTAATATAAATTACTGTCATAATTGGGGGTGCTTAATTAGTACGATATTGTCTGCTTTGGGCAAAATCCGCACGGTTTTATTTTTTGGGTGTCCTCCCCAAAATGTCTCGTACTAATGAGCTTGGTGGACACTAATATACAAGGGTTCCCTCCCTTGTATTTCTGATATGGTATTTGGATTATCCCATAACAATTACAAAGATTGAAAAACTACAACGAACAAGGATTTGGTTTAGTGGTAATACCACTAGCTGTAAACCTGTAGGTTCCAAATTTAAATCCCTTAAATAATATCTAATCACAAAAAAAAAAAAAAAAATCCTATATCACTCTTATCTAAAAAATTTTGAGAAACTATATATTGATACCAGGCCGGCTCGTTTGGCTTATTACCTTCAAAGAAACAGCGACAAATTTAATTTCCTCCTCTCTTTGACAAAAAATTTGCAGCTTTGAGGGATAGTCCTTGGTTATCATCATCATGATCAAGGAAGAAGCGGCGCAGTTGAAGGTCGGAGTCGCAGTGGACGTTCTTTGGAAAGCACTGGCTCACGACTTGAACCGCGTCATCCCGCACATACAGTCGGACATCGTCAGCGCCGCCGATGTCCTAGAAGGAGACGGCGGCCCCGGCACCGTCTACCTTTTCACCAGCACCAACTCCGGTGACTAGTGTTCCCCTTTTCTCTTTTCTATGAATAATAATTTTTTTTTTTAATTAGGAAAAATTGTAATTAGGTTTACGTTACGACGCATATATATATATGCAGGGAAGGTAAAGGAGAAGGTGGCAGAGGTGGATGCATGTTCGCACAGAATAGGGCTGGAGGTGACGGAAGGTGGGCCTCTGGAAAATGGCTACGGCTACCACAAGACGACGTTCCAGCTGACGTCAGCCGGGGAGGAGGAGACGGTGGTTGATCTGACGGTGGCTTACGAGCCTCGTCGTCATCATGCGGCGGCGCCGCCACCAAAGACCACGGCAAATGTCTTGGATTTCATCACCCTCTTGGAGAAGTTCTTGGCCGACGGTGCTGAAACGGGGAAAATCGATTCCTAAGGGAAATGTTTTTTTTCCCCCCTCTCGTTTTAAATCTTTCTTCTTTCCTGTTTACGTAGTTAGTTTGTTGGAACGATGAGGATGGGTTCTCTTCTGGGTGAGGGGAAAAAGCAGGTCATGTACTTGAACTAAGGAATAAGACTATACTACGAGGGAAAATGAACAAATTAACTTGACATATCTCCTCACCAACAACAAATAAAATAGATGCTAATCTAAACACATCAATATCAACGTTAAACAGGATCAGGGTTTCACATTTGGCGTCAATTGTTAATGAGAAGGCGAGCACTACAAAAAAGAGGAGGTTTGGGGACGACAAAAGTCGTCCCCAGAAATAGAAAAAATCGTCCTCGTAGTTTTTGGGGACAACTTAGTCGTCCCTAATGTTTCGTCCCTTATACGCCCGTCCTCTATTCTTTTGGAGACGACAAAAATCTAGGTCGTCCCCAATATTAGGGACGACACTCGTCCCCAATATTAGGGACGACACTCGTCCCCAATACTTAGAAGTTGTCGTCTTTATTTTGTCCATTAAAGACAATATGTCGTTCCTATAGTCATGGTTTTGGCGACAGTAAGTCGTCCCCTAAACATTGTTTCTAGGAATAAAATGTTGTCCCCTTTTCTTTTTATAGGAATTGTAATTGTCCTAATTATTATTTTGTGAAGATAAAATGTTGTCCCCTAATTATTGTTTCTAGGGATAAAATATTGTCCCCTTTTCTTTTCACATATACGAATTTTTAGGAACAACAATTGTCATAATTTTTAGCTAAATTTTATATTCAAACCAAATTGGTTTTCTCCACAATTTATTTATCATTTTGTGAAGATATATAGAGATAAACGGAAGTTCCTTACTCCGTGTGATCTTCATATATATTATTTTGTATATATAGATACACGGAAGATCATATGTATTATTCTGTACAAATAATAAAACATAAAAAGAAAAATTACAACTTTTGGAAGAAATAGAATAGAATTGCAATTGCCCTGCCTTGCCCTGCGTTCTTGGTATGTACAGATTGGCGCAGTCGATCCTACTTCTTCCTTTCTTCCCTTCCTGAAAACAGTTCTTTTCCGTACCAAATTATCACCATCACTTATCCATAAAACAAACTCATCAACAACAAGTTGTTCAATTCGATCCATTTAGTAAGTTTAAGACTTAGTCCGACCTTGGTCATCTGAAGCATGCATCGTGACATTGCAGTTTCGGAGTTGTTCCCAAGATGGCGGTTGATGATGATTATGACTTCTGTGTCATGCAAGATTTGCTAACACGTAAATTGCTAAGATAAAAAGTGTTCAGAGTAGTGAGCACAATAGATAGTAAGCAAAAGTAGAGGAAAGAAACCTTGAGGAGTTGCATAGGCTGCCGTTAGGACTGCACAAGTGAAGAAAAAAAAGAAGAGAAGGCAGAGGGAATGGTAGGGTTTAGTATCAGAAGCTCTGCACTATTCCCAGAAATAATATAAGGCAAAAAAATTGGAATGACCTTTATTTATTATGAAATACTAAAGGTAGTTTACACACAGAGTTTAAAACCTACTGTCCCCAAAAGAGTTTCCCATTATGCAGAGATAGTTTCCCATTATATCCGGGAGAATCCAAAATCTTTGGTTTAACTTCGAAACTTTCTCCTCCACAAATTGATTTTAGAATCAAAAGAATCAAATAATTACGCAATCTCTTATTGTGATAATGGAAATCCACCATAATCTTCTATTTCTCTTAAACCATTACTTTTGGGGGACGAACAATGAAATTTTAAATTTAATTTAATGTTGTTTGATTATTTTATGGGGACAATTTTACGGGGCTTGCTATTTGCCGCCAAACAAATTGCTATTTGCCGCCAACTAAAAAAAAAAAAAAAGAGTATATATGTACATCTTTGGTTAAGAAATTTCACAATCTACAACATATCCAACTTTCAGAAAACGTATTGAATCAGAAAAAATCGACGCTCGCCGGAAAAGTCGCCGGAAAACCATCGGGAAAGCCCATCCTCGACGTAAACTGCGGACACGCATCCATGAATCATCACTAAGCAGGTGCGTCAACCTCCAGTCGTCCTCAATTGTCGGAAAACAAGTAAGTTTACTTTTTCCGGCAAGTTTTTCAATTTTCCGGCGAAAAACACGGTGGGCCGAAAAAAATTTGCGGCCGGTGCGCCGCCGGGCCGAAAAAATCTTGTGGCCGGTGCGCCGCCGGACCGAAACTTTTTTGCGGCCGGCGCGACGCCCGGCCGAAATATTTTTTCGGCCCGTCGTCGCCCCGGCCGCAAATTTTTTTCGGCCGGTCGGCGAACGCGCCGCCGTGAATTTTTCCGGCGGCGCGTTCGGCGACCGGCCGAAAAAAAATTGCGGCCGGAACGCCGCCGGGCCGAAAGAATTTTTCGGCTGGGCGTCGCGCCGGCCAAAAAATTCTTTCGGCCCGGCGGCGTTCCGGCCACAAATTTTTTTCGGCCCACCGTGTTTTTTCGCCGGAAAACTGGAAAAATTGCCGGAAAATTGAAAAACTTGCCGGAAAAAGTAAACTTACTTGTTTTCCAACGATTGAGGACGACGGGAGGTTGACACACCTGCTTAGTGATGATTCATGGATGCGTGTCCACAGTTGACGTCGAGAATGGGCTTTCCCGATGGATTTCCGGCGACTTTTCCGGCGAGCGTCGATTTTTTCTGATTCAATACGTTTTCTGAAAGTTGGATATGTTGTAGATTGTGAAATTTCTTAACCAAAGATGTACATATATACTTTTTTTTTTTGGTTGGCGGCAAATAGCAATTTGGTTGGCGGCAAATAGCCGTTCACCAATTTTACATGGTTGTCTCTTATCTCACTTAAAACTGTATTTCTTGAGACAAATTACATAGTCGTCCCCTTATAATTGTCCCCAATCCTTCCTAATTTTGTAGTGGAGATCGGTCAGGTTGAGCATTTAAATCAGTCAACACGGTTGACGGAGCAAGTTATCGTGGATTAGCACGGTAAAGCTGGGGGATGACTCTATTTGAATTTGATTTTCAAAATTTATATATGCAGCTTGACCGATTTTTACGAATTTAATATACACGATATGAAATTAAAAAAAAATTTCCAAAACCATGTGTCGCGATCTTTAAAAATATAGAGAAAATATTTAGAATCTGCGTATTACATTTTCACCTTTACTGTCTTACAAGATTTATATAATAACGTCGATCACATTTCCAGTCGCAGGCGGTGCTATATGAGAAGCTACAGATTTACGGCCTGAAAGAACCCACCGTCGTTACCCAAATGATGATCATGAGATAATAAATGAACTTCTTCCACTACCTCAATTTTATGCACAAATTCATCGTTGTCGTCTCCCTTTTGGATCTCTGCGGCCGCCTTCTCCAACCTCATTTTCTTCCTATCTGCAACATAACAGGGCAAGTCATCAATCAATTTTCGATCACCAAATTTTTTTTTTTTTTTGTGTGTGTGTGTGTAAGTTATCAATAATTTTTAGATAATAGTTATCATAAAATCAATAATTATTATTTCTAACGCAAGATAATACACGAACAAAAAAATCGATTGGACTCCATGGAGCTCATAACCTTTTCCAAACCGGAGGGAGAAGAGGCTGTCGGCCGGCGCCGGTGCGTGAAAATCTCCATAGAACTCCATGGCCAGTGTTACTAGTAGCAAGAAAGTGGAAGCAAGGAAGCAGAGCAGGAAGAGGAATTTCAGATCGAAGCAGAGCAGCGTGGGGAGTGGGAGAATGGTCGGCAACACATGATCTTGCGCTGGGTAAAGATACGTTACACTACTAGTGACAATAATCTCGCCGTAATTAGTAGTAATATTTCCCTCTAGTACTGCAGAATCCATCTCTTAATTATCTTCTCTAATCTTTATTTCGAGGTTTCAATATATGGAGATGGCCGGGGGCATGGACGAAGGATATGGGTTTTGATTCTCAGCTTAATTAAGGATTTAGAAAAAAAATCTGCTTCTTAATTTCTTATTAGCAACTCACCAATCCAGAGCAAGTTTCGAAAGCAACTTGGAGAGGAGTTTTTTTTTTCTTTTGCAGGAGCTACTTGCTTGGAGGAGTTATCTTGTGTAAATGTGGTTCGTTACAATTATTAAATCACCAGACAAAAGGGATAATGATTAGAGAAATGAAATTCATTTAGATATTATTTTTAGGAAAAAAATTTCATAGTATCTAATATTATCCGATGAGATTGCGACAAAATATTTTTATCATAGTATTAATAAGATCATAGTATGAGTATGTTGGTAGCGGTAAGCATAATAATAAGATCGCAATGTGACAATAGTAAGATGACAACAACCATATAGTTTTGAAGTTATATTTTTTCTCAATAAAAATATGTATTCACATGTTGTGTATATCATCATTTTTCTGTATAATTATTATTACATCTTGAGTTAAAGACAAATAATGCATGATCCAATTAAGAAAAATAAGACGATATAAAATTACATTTTAATTGGTTAAAATAATATTCTTCTTCTCTCTCTTCTGGAAATCTTCTTTACTCTAAGTCTAATCCATGTATGTAGTGGCGTGCAATTGTTCGGTTTCGTACCGGACTGCACTAGATTGTTATAATGCGATCCGGTTCTTGATCCCCAAGAATTTTACAAATTACTGAAGAAATGATGGACCAAACTTCTATTCGGACAGGACGAATCGAAACAAATGGACCGCATGAAATAACGGTCCGGTTCTTGATTCTAAAATGTCTTTTACTAATGGACCACAATTCTCATGCGTTTGATTCAATCCGGACGTGACCGAACAGTTGCGCCCTATCTTTATCTTATGTTTTTTTATCATATTAATTGAGATTTTTTTTTCATTTGAAAAAGGGATATAACATCAGCTCCAAAATATTCGTTCACACTTTCCAATCAAAAGGAAAGAAGACAAGAATTAGGTAGCATTTGAACACCCGTCCAAGTTCCAACCAGCCAATCTAAAAATTGTTATTTTCCTATTTTACTTTTCCTTAATTAATTGAAAACTAACATTTTTCATCACTATCATATTAGCACCATCTAATATTCTGGCCAGAGAACTGAGAATACTCCCTTAATCATATTCTCCGTTTTTCTCCTACGTTCAGCCAGAAGGCGGGGCCGGCTACAGTAGATTAATTAACAAACATGGAAACTTACTACCAAACTTCCTCTCCATCTCCGATACTGTTCCTGCTGGGTTCCCTCCTTCTCTTCCTAATCATAAATTACAAACTCCGGCGGCCGGCCGATGGAGCTGCAGCAGCCAAGCAGGGGAAGGCTGCATCGCCGTCGCTGCCACCGGGTCCATGGAAGCTCCCCCTGATCGGGAACCTCCACCAAGTCATCATCTCCGGCTCCCTCCCCCATCATTTCTTCCGCGACGCCGCCGCCAAATTCGGCGACATCTTCCACCTCCGGCTTGGCCAAGTCTCTGCCGTCATCGTCACCTCCCCTGCAGCCGCCGCACAGGCATGGACCCTCCTAACCTTTCCACATCTTTTTAACTCCGTCCATCATTGGATCAACTAGATTGGTGGACTGATTTATGAATCCATAAATGATATCGAAGTTTTGGACCATTAATTATATGATTTTTGAAAAGTTTTAAGTATTAACATGTCATAATCAAAAAAATTCAAGATGCCCAAACGTAAAATTCCAATGATGTTTTTTGTCTAAAAGATAAAGTTTAGGTGCCTAAATTTAAAATATAAAAAGTAAAGGTACTATAATTTTATCAAATATCCATAAATCTAATTCATGAATTCACAAATTAAATTGAATTTGGATCAAATATCTTGAATTTAAATTGATTAAATAAGTATTATTTTAGTGAATGAATTGGATTCATGAAATTTGATACTAATTGCCCGCTCTTGTCAAACTTGTCTACGTGTATATAGTTGAAAATTTGGTTGCCTAGGTCAAACGTAGAAGTATTAAATATTAATAGTGATTAATGATATTTCTTTTTTCATATTATAAATTACTTAAAATATTGTCATCATTTTAATTACCAATAATGTCACTCTCAAAGTCTAAATGTATTTGGATAAAATTTGTTTATAAATACTATATGTTAAATATGAACTATGAAGTCGTCGATAAATTAGTGATAAAGATGTTGGTTCGGACAGGGAGATTTGTTCTCCCTTTCAACAAACCAATGATAATATATATTTTTTAGTGTTCACAAAATGGTAATGTATGGATAAAATTACTTATCGAAGTTCAAGTTTTTAGAAAATTCTAGAGATATAAAAATGTTAAATCACAATTTCTGCCCAAAATATTTTATGGGTAATTTTTTAGGATATTCTTTTTTGTGTGTGTTCCAAAAAATGATTTAATATGTCTATGTGCGGTTTCACAAAAATGATTAGGTGTTCAAAGTCCACGAGCCTAGCTTGTTGACACGCCCCTTCTGCCTGGCGGTGGACGTCCTCACTCCGACGGGCCTATTCGCCACCAACTACGGCGCCTACTGGCGGCAGATGCGGCGGATATGCGCGGCGGAGCTGCTGAGCCCGAGGCGGGTGCAGTCGCTGAGCTGGGCGAGGGAGCAGACGGCGTGGGAGATGGTGGACTCCATCTCTTCGTCGGCTAAGAAGACCAACCCCGTCAACCTCAGCGAGATGATATTCGCCGTGACGAACAATACGACGTCGCTCGCGGCGTTCGGCAGGAAGTGCGGGGACAGCGAGGAGTTCGTCAGGTTGCTGAAGAGGGCGGTGGTTCTGAGCGGCGGGTTCGAGCTGCCGGACTTGTTCCCGACGTTGAAGTTTTTGAGGTGGAAGGGCCTGAGTTGGGCCAGGGCTGAGCTGGAGAGGATCAAACTGAAATTTGACATGATTCTTGGGGAGATCATTGAGGAACATAAGATCAAGAAGAGTAAAAATTTTACTAAAGAGGAAGATTTGGTTGATGTTCTGTTGAAGATTCAGGAGGATGGGAACTTGGATGTACAAATCACTACTCGAGATATTAAGTCTATCATCTTGGTACGTACGTGTATTTTTCTTATTGGCTTTCCTCTCACTCCCTAATTTCATTTTGATCTAAATAATGTTGATTGTTTTGGTGAAAGTAAAAATTTCACAGGACATGTTAGGGGCGGGAAGCGACACGTCATCGACGACTCTGGAGTGGGCGATGTCGGAACTTCTAAAGAACCCCGAAGCAATGACTAAAGCACAATCGGAGGTTCGAGAAGCCCTTCGCTCGAAACCAACCGGTCACCGTGTCAACGAGTCAGACATTAAAGGTCTGACTTACCTGACCCTAGTGGTCAAGGAGACGCTGAGGCTGCACCCTCCGGCGCCTCTGGTCCCCAAAGAAGCGACGGAGGATTTTGTGATCAACAATGACGAGAAGGGAGAATTCTTCATTCCGAAAGGAGCGAAGACGGTCGTTAACGTGTGGGCGATCGGGCGAGACGCGAGGTACTGGTTGGAGCCGGAGCGTTTCCTTCCGGAAAGGTTTTTGGATGGTTGCGTGAACTATACGGGAGGAAACTTCGAGTACATTCCATTTGGCGGTGGACGGAGGATGTGCCCCGCGATCCCATTTGCGGTGGCTAACATCGAGGTTCCATTGGCGATGTTGCTGTACCATTTCGATTGGAAGCTGGGTGATGGGAGGAACCCTGAAGAGGTTGATATGATCGAGAGCTTTGGGGCTAGTGTTAGAAGGAAGAATGATTTGATATTGCTTCCCATCATTCATGAATCATGAGCATCTCTAGACTAAACATAGTACTTTATAGGTAGCATATGGTAATTGCTACAAAGTACTCATGATGTATTACTGGCTTTTCCCTCTTTAGTTCTTGTAATGCATGAGACAATAAAACTTGTAGTAACGTTATAATTTAGTGATCAAATGTGAGTAGGGGGTGGGGGAACACACCGCGCAAGTCAGCTTCAACTCGCACACCAAATCACAATTGCGGTTGTCAAACACACCGCAGAGATTGCAATCTATCTTGTGATCTTTACTTTAAATGATTCGCGCTTTTATAAATGTCGCACTGCTGTTGCGCTTTAAAACTGCAAACCGCTGAAAAATGAAAGTCAGACATGGTTGTCACACTCGAAGATGATGTGATCATGCAATTTATAAATGTCCACCATTGTACATTGGTACTTCCCTCCCAATTAATTACTCATGAAAACAAAAGCATCTAAGAACCAAAATTGTCCCATCTGAAACGAAAGATGCCGAAATCTCTAGCTCAGAGCAGATAAGGGCAATTCCATTACTCAATCATATCCATTTCATCTCTTGTTATAGCAGAGTTTGCCTTGTGATCAAAAGTACAGAGTCTGGCAGAGTTGCTCTGTTCTGTCTTTGAAAGCGGCGGCCATGATCAAGGAGGTGAAAGGCCAAGCCAAGGTCAGCCTAGGACTGGACGTGATATGGAAATCCTTAACCAAGGAACTACAATTCATCATCCCAAAATTGATGCCAGAGCAAGTGGAAGAAGGCCACGTCCTCGAAGGAGACGGTGGCCTTGGAACTGTCTTCCTCTTCAACTTCTCCCAAGGCAAGTACTTTCGCAAACTTAGTGATTCCTTTCATGTTCTGTATTCTGAGAAACTAGACCGCCGGACTTCTTACTGCTGTTTTGAAGTTTCAGGCATCAAAACGTTGAGATACCAGAAGGAGAAGATCGTCGAGCTCGACGAGACTCTGCATCTGCTTGGACTCCAAGTTGTGGAAGGTGGTCACCTCGACCATAGCTTTTCTTACTACAAAACCACCTTCCAGCTCACTGCAGCCCACGACGCTGCCACGGCCGAGACGATCGTTGATGTGACGGTAGCTTATGAATTTCAAGCCGAACCAGTTAAAGCAAGTCACACTCACATGCCATCCATTACCATGGCGCACTCTCTCAAATTTGTCAAGTCCTTGGAAAGTTATCTGCTTACCAATTTGGTTGCTGCTGGCTCCTTAACTACTGGTTGATAGCTTTTCTAGCACCTCTGTTTCTCTTGTTGGTTAATTTCTCAAGTAAGTCTTGTTTGCGAAGTGTAATAAACTCCTGCTCTGTTTTTCAAGCAAATGAAAAGTCGATTTGTCGCGAACCCGAATCGATCCACGAGAGTTTAACATGGAATCGATTATGTTACCGAGAGTTGTTATACCATGTTAAGAAATAAATTGAGTGGTTGTAGAAGCTCATCAATGTTAAATCATAAAGGATTCCTTAACGAGACTTAGCATCTCTCATGGCAACCAATTTAACATTTGAGCATAACGACACTGTTTAATTGGACTACAATTTTATTCAGACTATGATCATCACGAATCAATAATCACTTCCTGCAAACAATCCCATATCCAGCAGCAGCTCCCCTGGTACAGTCAAGAGTAGGAAAGTAAATACCCATCCCCTGTTTTGAGCTCTGTTCCTCTGCGTTGGAGAAGATGCAAGCACCACATTCTGCAGAGAGAAGGTCCGAGGTTCTGTACTTATCCTCGCCTCCCATGACGGGCATTGCCTTGCCCGGTTTCGCGACAGCGTTCTCGAAGTCGGGCTGGTAAGTCTTGCCCAGTACTCCTTCGACATTCGGCGACAGATGGAAGAACCTGAACTGGACTTCCAGATGGACAAAACAGTCATGTTCCGGTATTTGGTACTTGTGTACTCTGTCATCTTCTTTGGTCACCGGCACTACACTGACCAGGATCTCGGCCTTGTTCTTGATCGTGACGATGACATTGTTCCTGCTCGAAACTCTCTCCACCGCGATGTCTTTGTCCTGGGAGGACCAGGCGGAGAGAGAGCCTTCTTCGACCGAAAGGTCTTGGCCATCGTAGGTGAACTTAAGATGGTCCACCTCGTTGTCCCATATCGTGGCCTTAGTGGCCTCGAGGGTGAATTTGTGGGTGTCGAAGAGGATTCCGAGGGATTGAATCCATGTGAAGTCACGGGGTCTAGCGACGGGCCGGTGGCCGATGAAACGTCCGTTGATCTGGAAGTTGGGGTCTGAGACCAAGGTGAAGACCTCGTTGCTCTTGCCATGGAAGTAGAACACTCTGCCATCTCCACCCACAAAGCGTGGGTCGTAGCAAGCCGATCCTGGGGCATCACAGTTCGGTTTGCGCGCTGTAGAGGAATGCAATCAAATTTCCATAGTTTAGCACACAAAAACAAGGAACTAGAAGTCTAGAAACTCATCACCATTGCAGAAACTATACGATCAATCAATGTGACAATGTTTGTTAGTGAATTGACCCGATTTGAGAAACCGGTATGGAATCGACAAGAGAACATGAAAGCATATACGTACTCCTGCACCCGGCGTTGCAAATCGGGTGGTCGCATTCGACATGGCAAATTTTGCCCTCGGCATTCGGTCTTCGAGTGGAGGGGCATTCCTCGGGGCAACCTATGTGTGCGCCCATGCAACGGCTCGAAGTTTCGTTGCACAACACGACTTCTGTTTTCCAGTAACTAGGGATGGCAGCTGAAACGTTGATGACAGTCAGATGCAAAGCTGAGACCACCATTGCCATGGCGATCACGCCAGTAGTTACGACGAATTTCATAGCCGCTGGGTACTTGCTAGTAACAAAATCAGGGGAAGAGGGAGCTTGAAGAAAGAAGGAGAGATCAGTGATTGAGCTGTGTAGTAATGTGAGAGATGTGATAGGAACACAAATGTATTAGGAAATGATCCAGTTGCAATTTCTTTTATCGGTAGGGTTTCAAATAAGCAAATGTATGTGAACTTGTGAAGGGAGGATTCAATTAGTCAACTCGTATGTTCATCCCCGCTTTACCAAGAATGGATTACTTTATCCAAACGCAGCAAGGGAGGATGATGGAGTTGGGTTCTGAAGTTACTTAGGGGGAGGAAAGTTGAGGTTTGGAGTGTTATGATATCATAGATGCAGCTGCAAAACTGTTATGGTTTTTTTTTTTAAAGCAAAGTCTTTACAAAGTTTGGAACTTGATTGTAGTTTTGTATTAAGCTTATTCAGCTAGGTGCCTAGGTTATTTACTATTGCGGCGAGTAATATATTTTAGTGGGGTCCAAAATTAATCAAGTACCGTGTGAGTCCATGAACGCTAGAATCCCCCCACCTAGCTTTGTCAGTGCATAGTGACAAGTGCATGCTCTAGGCTAAACGAATGTTAACCGGTTGGAGTTCGATTTAACTGGATTGCTCAATTGTTAAGCACTAAAGTCTAAAGACCCCAACCAAAACCTACATTAAGTGTGATCGATTTTCATCAAATTCAAGTATTTCCAGTCGAAATTACCTCATTTAAGTTGTTGTTCATAGCTTGAAAGTACTGGCAACGCCAACGACCCAATATTAATGAGGCGAGGCCTATGAGAGAAAGAGTATAAGTGATTTTGTGTGTGTAATGTTTTGTTTGTTGGAGGGAAATTAAAGAAGGAAAAACAAAGAATAACATTAATATTTTTCCACCACATTTAGCAACCACATACTATACCAAATATTTTCCACGTCACTTTTCAATGCTCTAGTTGTTAGTTTTTTCTCACCATTTCACTACTCCCCAATAATAAGCACTATCATGTAAAAAAAAAAATTCCTTCTGAATTTTCACTCACCTTTCTCAGTGACCATAGAGTGATAGTTAGGGATGGCAATGGGTCGGGTTGGGTCGGGTTTTGCCAAACCCAAACCCATGGGTTTATCTTTGAAAATAATCCGGGGTAAAACCCACTGGGTTTGAAAAACTCAAACCCAACCCAACCCGTTGGGTACCCGCGGGTTTTGTCGTAAAAAATTTACAATTACAAGTTCTTATCAAAATTAAAGTCAAATATCAATCTCTCAATACAAATTATCCATATATAAAACACCATTCTAGAAAATTCAAGCAAATCACAAATTAACTATACAAATTGTTCAACACCAATCTAGAAAACTCAAAAAAATTGAAGCAAATCACAAATTTTCCATAAATAACATGTTTAATTGAATGCTTCTTCCTTTCAATTAAGTTTCTTTACTCTCCACTCCATAACATCAACTTCATTCTACACAATTAAAAAGAAAAAATTAGACATGTCTCCACAAACATAAATAAGATTAGTTGTTGAGAATATTAAATATACCGAAAAAATTAATTATATGGGTGGGCGGGTACCCACGGGTCGGGTTTGCCTAAACCCAAACCCAACCCAACCCGTTGAATAGTGAACGGGTTTAAACCCAAACCCGACCCAAAACCCGTCAACACGGATTTTACCCGCTTTAACCGGATTGGGTCGGGTGAGTACCCGTGGGTTCGGGTTTTGTTGCCATGATAGTCATTTGGCTTCCACTATATCATAGATCTCTTAAACTCCATCTATTCAACTTTTGTATTTGGTCCAGATAAGATATATGATATGATGATAAAAATGAATGTCATGATCCCCTAGGTAGACCATTTTTTTTTTCCTTTGCATAACCACATAACATAAATCATAGGTATTTTAAAAATAGTATATATTAAATTAATTATGAAATTCTTATTATTATAGAACTTCACTTATAATTAAAATTATACAATAATATGATGCAGAACAATTACAAAGATAATCGTCGAGCACGACATTAGTGCTACAATTTTGATAGACAATAAACACGAAGATAGTAAATTAGTTAAATCTTATTCGAAACCAGAAATTGCTGATGATTCATCGATCATCCCAAATCAAACTTCCATAATAGACTTTACTTCCTGCAGACAATCCCATACCCAGCAGCAGCTCCCCTGGTGCAGTCAAGGGTAGGAAAGTCAACGACATTCCCCTGCTTCTTCAAGTCCTCTGCCTCTGAGAAGATACAAGCACCACATTCCGCAGAGACAAGGTCCGAGGTTCTGTACTTGTCTTCCCCACCCATCACCGGCATCGCCACGCCGGGCCTCGCGACCGTGTTCTCGAAGTCCGGCTGGTAAGTCCTGCCGAGCACTCCCTCAACTCTTGGGGACAACTTGTAGAATCTGAACTGGACCTCGAGATGGACAAAGCAGTCGTGTTGGGGGACATTGTACTTGTGTACCCTGTCGTCTTCTTTAGTCACGGGGACGACATTGACCAGAATCTCTGCCTTGTCCCTGATGGAGATGATGACGCTGTTCTTGCTCGAGACGCGCTCCACCTTGATGTCCTTGTCCTGGGAGTACCAGGACGAGAGTGAGCCTTCGGTGATCGAGATGTCTTGCCCGTTGTAGGCGAACTTGAGGTGGTCCGTCTCGCTGTCTGTAAAATCGAGAATAACACGAGACAACACGAGTTTTACGTGGTATCCCTGACGATTTGTCAGGACTAATCCACGGGAGAGTTCAGCCTCTCCAGCTTTGATCTTATTATTATTGTCGACAATTACACACTGGCCGAGAGGCCTACAGGGTCATTATATATACTATTCTCCTTTTGCCCTACGTTTACATGAGTGAAGGAAGGAATCCTTGTCGTGCACGTAGAGGAGACGTTCGACTGCGCCTGGGCCGTGGACTGCTGCTCTTCTCGGCCCAATACGCCCCCGCAAGCTGGACGGTGAAGGTCACGAACGTTCAGCTTGGACAATAAGAAGCGAAACCGATCTGCACCAAGACCCTTTGTAAAAAGATCAGCCACCTGATGCTCCGAACTGACCTTAAGAGGAACAATGTCACCAGAAACCACTCGTTCACGAACAAAGTAGCAGTCCATCTCAACATGCTTAGTGCGCTCGTGGAAAACAGGATTAGCCGCAATATGAAGTGCAGCTTGATTATCACAATAAAGACGAGTAGGACGAGACTGAGGAACCCCAAGCTCATGTAGTAACCAACGCAGCCAAATCAGTTCACTAACCGTGCTAGCCATGGCACGATATTCAGCTTCTGCAGAAGAACGAGCTACCACCTTTTGGCGTTTAGTGCGCCAAGAAATCGGGGCCGAACCAAGAGATATATAGAAACCTGTGGTAGATCGCCGGGTGGACTGGCAGCCACCCCAGTCAGCATCACAATGTGCCACCAACTCAAGGGAGTTATTAGTGGGAAAATATAGACCTTGACCCGGAGAGGTCTTGAGATATCTCAAAATACGCATAGCTGCATCCATATGAGCCTGAGTAGGGGCATGAACAAAACGACTCAAAATGTTAACACCATAAGCAATATCAGGACGCGATACTGTCAGATAGAGAAGACGACCAACAAGTCGACGATAAGAAGACCCATCAACAAGAGAGTCTGACGATGGCTTGGTAAGCTGATGATTTTGTTCGACCGGAAAAGCACTCGGACGAGACCCAAGTACCCCAGCCTCGGAGAGAATATCCATGACATACTTCCGCTGACTAATGATCATTCCTTGAGGTGCACGCGCTACTTCAAGTCCCAAGAAATAACGAAGTACCCCAAGATCTTTGATGCTGAACTTGTGATCCAAAACCTTCTTCACATGATTGATGAAATCCATGTCGTTACCCGCCAAAATAACATCATCAACGTAGACGAGTGCAGCAACAAAAGTAGAACCCTTCTTATAAATAAAAAGAGAATGATCGGCAGGTGAGGCACGAAATCCAAGATCACCGAGCGAAACAGTGAACTTCTGATACCAATTTCGGGATGCCTGTCGCAATCCATAGATAGATTTTTGCAACCGACATACACGAGAATCTCCTTCAACACCGAAACCAGGAGGAACTTTCATATAAACTTCTTCAGACAAATCCCCATGCAGAAACGCATTATTGACGTCAAGTTGATGGAGATACCATCCCTGACTGACTGCTACGGCCAACAAACAACGGACCGTGACCAATTTTGCAACGGGTGCAAAAGTATCATGGAAGTCTACACCCTCGATTTGGGTATAACCTTTAGCAACCAAACGAGCTTTGTATCGCTCAACCGTCCCATCAGGATAATATTTAACCTTAAACACCCATTTCGAATCAATACAACGCTTACCCGGAGGGAGGTGTTCTAAACGCCATGTGCCATTAGCCATGAGGGCTGCAATCTCTTTGGCCATGGCCTCCCGCCAGTGAGCGTGACGAACAGCCTCTTGAAAGGTGCGCGGCTCTGGGATCCGATCAACAGAAGCCAGAAAAGCTTGGTATGCTGGGGTGACGCGTTCATAAGAAACATGGTGCGAAATGGGATACCGAACGTGAGAAGCCGAGTTGAGGTCGGTCTCATATATATCCAGATGTTTGGGAGGATGCCGCTCCCTATGACTGCGTCGCAATGCAGGCTCGACTGGAGGTGTTGGGGCTGCTGCATGCAAAGGCGGCGACGTGCACGGGCTGTTCCCAGATGGCGTCGCGGGTGATGAGTGCGACGAGTGAACCGGGGAGCTGGGTCCAGGGGTGCCGCCGCCATTCTCTACAGGTGTGGAATTCACAGGAGGCACATTCATCTCCTGTGATGACTGTGAATTAAGAGGAGTATGGGAATCACTTGGCGGACTACTATGGTCTTCGCTAAGTTCAAGAGCCATAGATGAAGGTAGCCAATGAAAGTCCCGGGGATCCTGCGCGTGAAAAGGGAAATAATCCTCATGAAATACGACATCTCGTGAAACAAGAATCTTCCGTGTCTGTAAGTCATAGAAACGATATCCCTTTTGTGTGGCCGCATATCCCAAAAAAACACCTGCACGCCCCCGTTCAGCAAATTTGTGAAGTCCCCCATGAGTATCTTTGGCATATAACAAACACCCAAACACTCGAAGATGTGAATAAGTTGCTGGTTTGCCAAAGAGAATCTCGTATGGTGTCTTTCCTGTAGCTGACGTAGGAATGCGATTTATTAAATAAACTGCTGTGAGAACACATTCTCCCCAAAAACGAACCGGGAGTCCCGCATGAAAGCGGAGTGCACGAGCTGTTTCCAAAATGTGACGATGCTTGCGCTCAACTACCCCATTTTGCTGTGGAGTATCGGTGCAGCTGGTCTGCAATATAATACCAGATTTCTCATAATATTCCCGGAGTGATGCAGTTGTGAACTCTAGCCCGTTATCAGCCTGTATGCGTCGGACTTTCAGTCTAAACTGTGTTTGAACCATTTCACAGAACATAGTGATATATCGAGCAACCTCAGATTTGAATTTCAGAAGATATACCCATACACCGCGACTAAAATCATCCACGATAGTCAAGAAATAATGTGCCCCACTGGTGGAAGCTGTCTGATATCCACCCCATATGTCTACATGAATCAACTCAAAACAACAAGACGTTTTAATCGAACTAAGCGGGAAAGGAGTCCTACTCTGCTTAGCACGAAAACAAGAATGACATGGTACTTTGTTCTTTGCTGCCGAATAAGAAACAACAGAACTCAATTGAGATAACTTCCCAGAAGATAAATGTCCAAGACGCGAGTGCCAGACCTCCTCAGTAAACCGATGACTTCCATCTGCAGCTAGGGCTAACCGATCCTGATCACTGAACATCTTCAAGTAATAAAGTCCATCACGGAGAATCCCCCTCCCAATCACGTTCTTCGATTGTAAGTCCTGAAGAATGCACATATCACGGAGGAAAATAATCGCAACATTGTTATCTTTAGTTAGCCTGCTGACTGATAATAAATTGCATTTGAAATCGGGGACATGGAGCACTCGCTCTAGCTTGATCTCAGAATTCAAATTCATAGAACCAATACTCTTGACTGGAACACAATCACCATTCGGAATTTTCACAGGCTGATTCTTATCTGCAGGTGTTCTCGTACTAAACATGAACTCATCTTTAGTGATGTGTTCATTACAGCCCGAATCAATCAACCATTCACGAGTATCGAGAAACGTACCTGCCATGTGTGCTACCGGGTCGTCGTTGCACTTGGACGTGCCAAAGAATTTACGCAGCTGCTCTAGCTGCGTCATGGTAAAGCCCGAAACTGGACTAACCTCAGTTTCAGCTGCTGCTGCTGCTTTGGGAGGTCGGCCTTCTTGAGGTCGACGCTTGCGTTCAGGTCTCTCTGCCTTATCACTCCCATTGCGGACTGGGTAACCTATTATTTCATAGCAGGTTGCTTTGAAATGGCCCGTTTTTCCACAGTGTGAGCATATAGGCTTACCATCACTATTTCTTGGCCCAGATGCTCGATCAGCACGCTCACCCTTGTCCGAGCGATCTCCACTTTCATTAGAATTCTTGGCTGCAAATGCAGCCGCCTCAGGTGATGGACGACGCTTTTGCGTGAGGAGCCGCTGTTGTTCATCCGTGGCCACAATGCCGTAAGCCTCGTTCAAACTTGGTGATGGCTTCATGGTTAATATTTGACTCCGTACTGTCCCAAAGCTTTCATCCAAGCCCATAAGAAAATCAAGGAGGCGTGAAATTTCAGACTTGGATCGAATTCTGCCCTCCAAGTCACATGTACAACTTCCACATGTGCATTTTTCCGGAGGGTCCATCGACTGCATCTCTTCCCATATGGTGCGCAGCCGAGTATAAAAGGTAGACACTGAAAGTTTTTCTTGCCACAATCCGCTGAGCATGCGGCGAAGCTCGTACCCACGAGTGAGGCTACCTTGACCAAAACGTTGCTTCAAATCGACCCATACCTCTCTTGCCGTTTTCGCATAACGAACACTGCTCCGTACTTCCTTATCCATGGATATACGTAGCCATCCTTTAACGACCGCATCACAACGACTCCACGCCTTTAACTCGGGATCGGCTGTAGGTCGCGCAATGCTACCATCAACAAAGCCAAACTTATTTTTGACTATTAGGGCATCTGTTACGTCAACGACCCACTCACCATAGTTGGACGAGGTGAGGACTTCAGAGACTGGAAGTTGACCATTGATGTCCGATGGGTGTAGAAAATATTCAGAAGTTACGTCGAATCCTTGATTCATTGAGAACTCGCCCTTAAAACCAGCGCCAGAGGTCTGCGGCTTCTTCGCCGTTTCTTCGTCACTCATGGCGAATGTCAATCACAGAAATCGGAAGCTGAACTACCTGAACCTAAGCTCTGATGCCATGTAAAATCGAGAATAACACGAGACAACACGAGTTTTACGTGGTATCCCTGACGATTTGTCAGGACTAATCCACGGGAGAGTTCAGCCTCTCCAGCTTTGATCTTATTATTATTGTCGACAATTACACACTGGCCGAGAGGCCTACAGGGTCATTATATATACTATTCTCCTTTTGCCCTACGTTTACATGAGTGAAGGAAGGAATCCTTGTCGTGCACGTAGAGGAGACGTTCGACTGCGCCTGGGCCGTGGACTGCTGCTCTTCTCGGCCCAATACTGTCCCATGTCGCGGCCTTGGTGGCCTCGAGGGTGAATTTGTGGGTGTTGAAGAGGACTCCGAGGGATTGGATCCACGTGAAGTCGCGGGGTCGGCCCGCGGGCCTGTGGCCGATGAATCGGCCGTTGATCTGGAAGTTTGGGTCGGACACCAAGGTGAAGACCTCGTTGGTCTTGCCGTGGAAGTAGAACACCCTGCCGTCCCCTCCCACGAAGCGTGGGTCGTAGCAGGCTGATCCTGGGGCGTCGCAGTTCGGCTTGCGCTCTGCAGAGATTTAATGTGATCAATCCAATTTGATCAGTTAGATCTCAACTCAGAGCTATGAATGTAACAAAACTGATGAGCAAAGCGACTTAGTCCGCGACTCAGCCAGATCGGTAACCCTAATTTTCCATATTCGGTTTCTAACAATAACGATAAGGAAAAGCAATGGGAAGGGGGGGGGGGGGGGAATGTGACGACATACTTTGGCATTCGGCCTTGCAGAGTGGATGGTCGCAGTTGACGTGGCAGACCTTGCCCTTGGCGTTTGGGGTTGTGGTGGAAGCGCATTCGGCAGGGCAGTCGACGTAAGCGTCGGAGCATCGGCTGGTTTTGGCGCACCATACGGTTTCTGCTTTGGGGTAATCGGCAGCTGAAACCATGGCCGCCAGCTGCAGAGCAGCAGCCGCCACCATCAGAATGGCACTAATGCCAGCGGTTGTGGCGAACTTCATCCTGAATTGCTGATAACAAGATCGAGTTTGGAGATTGTTGGAGGAGAAGAGGATGGCGATGAGAGTGATTGAGGTGTGGAACAATGGGGAAGATGGGAGGCTATTTATAGGAACAGAAATGCATTTGGAAAATGTTTTGAAGTATTATTTTAGTTAGTTATTTGGCGGGTAAACGAAGCATATGAACGTGGGGGCGGGAGGGCAGTTCCTGAAGAGTTAGAATGTAGGAACAGAGAGATTGATATGCAAGAGTTCATGTTCAGTGTATTAGTCAACGCATTTTCATGTTCACTTTTGCAACAATGGTTTACTTAGCCCAAACGGTTGCGATGAATTATGCATAGCTGGTTTAAGAAGTGACTTGCAAAGAGGAAAGTTGAGGCTAGGTTGGAGTCTTGTGGTATGCAAAAAACTATTAAGCAAAGTGTTTACACATGATAATATAGGAAATTGGAGATATGTGGCCCATGAAATTTTTGCTTTTGATAAATCTGTGTTATAAATCAACTGGTATAAATAACTCGAGTTGGTGGAAGAAGCTCATGTATGGTATTTAATCACTTCCTTAGACGCTTCTCAAACGAAAGTCAACTCATAGGTTTGAAGTTTGCAGAGTCCCGCCATACCATGTGCTTGGCTTTAAGACAACGATTAATATCGGGGGTCGTGGGGACTTGAACATATGGCATCAATTACAGACTAGGCTCTGATACCATGTCATAAGCCAACTGGTCCCAATAACTCGAGTTGTTGGGAGATAGTGGCTGAGTCAGGAAATTTATATAGGGATGTCTTTTTTCAAAAATTAAATTAATAATCAAATAATTATAAAATAATAAACTATCTTCTAGTCCAATGGAAAATAAGTTTACCAATAATTGTAATCTTTTAGTTAAAAATTGTACTCCTTAAAAAGTTATGCGAAATGAAAAAAAAAAATCATGTCGTTTGGATTTTGGAGTACAAAGTTATGGTTGTCCAAAGTTTGACGAAATCGGAAATAAGCTCGTTCGGGGTAGCAAACGACATTTTTTGGGACGAAGGCGAAACCAAACCACCTTTGCCAGTCTTCGGCTTGCAAGATCTCAAAAAGTTATGCAGAATAAAAAAAAATCGCGACGATCGGATACCCGAACACAAAGATATGTTCGTTTGAAGTTTCCACCTAGGTTAGGATTTTTCAAAAAAAAAAAAAAAACAGACCGCATGGTGGGGGTGCGGTCTGCAATCAAACCGCATGGTAGAGGTGCGGTCTGCAAACAAACCGCATGGTGGGGGTGCGGTTTGCAAAACCGCCCCCTACCAGTGCGGTTTTCATTGAAAAACGCGCCCCCGGGTGGCGGTTTTTTGGGAAAGGGTGTTATTTTTGGAATTTTTCGGAGTTGGGTGCTATTTTTGGAAATTTTTTTAAACAGTGCTATTTCAAAAAAAAAATCCCTGATAAATCTGTGTTATAAATCAACTGGTATAAATAACTCGAGTTGGTGGAAGAAACTCATGTATGATATTTAATCACTTCCTTACACGCTTCTCAAACGAAAACCAACTCATGGGCTTGAAGTTTGCACAGTACCGCCATACCATGTGCTTGGCTTTAAGACAACAATTAATATTGGGGGTCGTGAGGACTTGAACATATGACATCAATTACAGACTAGGCTCTGATACCATGTCATAAGTCAACTGGTCCCAATAACTCGAGTTGTTGAGAGACAATGACTGAGTCAGAAAATTTATATAAGGATGTCCTCTTTCAAAAATTAAATTAATAATTAAATAATTATAAAATAATAATCTATCTTCTAGTCTAATGAAAAATAAGTTTACCAATAATTGTAATCTTTTAGTTCAAATCACCTAATCTACCACTTATATATATTTTTTACCCATACGCAAACTACTACCATAATTAAATAATCGATATTTACAAAAATTAGGGGTGTCCCGGAACATCCCTAACCCCCTGTCTCCGCCCCTGTTGGGAAATATCCATGTAGGGTACTTAGGTCGTTTGGAAGTTGTGATTGTTAAATAGATGTATTGTTGAGAATGCATGTATAATATTATACATGTATTGTCGAATTTGATGCATTGTAGAATACAACGTTTGGTATGTGTGATTATGTATGTCGCATCAGCTAAAAGCTGAGACAAAACAATCTCAACTCAACTATCTCAACAATCACAACTAAAAGTTGAGATATAACAATCACTCAAAATGAGTGATAGTTTCTGTCACATCACAGAAACAATCCATGTATTGTTTCTGCTAAAAAAACAAAAAAAACGATGCATTGTAAACAATACATGCATAATGACAATCTCAACAAAACAATCGCAACTTCCAAACGACCCCTTAATCACTTCCTTACAATTTGAATTTTCATACCCACTATCACTAGTGAGTGGTTTAAATACAAAATATAAATGAGTTCACGAATTACTTTTTTTTAACAAGAGATTATCATGTTGATTGACTAAAAGATAAGAGATTACACTAGTTCACTAATTTTTTTAATAATTGATATGTATAGTTTATTAAGTAAGAGAATTTTGATTACAATCATGCGATTTCCTGAAAAATGTTTATGTGCAAACTTCAATTATAATAGTTATCTTGTTCATGAAAATCTCTAAAATATTTTAATCTCTTCTTAACTAAATAAATTGGCATCTATATGCAAACCATAAATTTCCAACTGAGTTAAAAAAAATCAGTTATGGAATAGGATTTTTCTTCATTTTGATCTTACAACCTATAATATTTGGCCTTTTTTATTCATTTGGATCAATATATTACCAGAGTATGTACCGCCAATTGTAGTGATATTGATGAAAGAAATAATCCTAGAAAGCCCATTCTGATAGGATTATATAGAAAAGTCCATTCTGATCGGGCCTTCTTCTCGAGCCCATTACCCGTTGCTCAAAGTTCCCTCTCTAGCCTCGAATCAAATCATTGCACGGACTGAGTTAACTCGTTTTCCACAAATTGGAGACCGAGTCCCAGCAGAAACCCTAGCTTTCTTTTGTACATTTACCTGACTGCAAGAAATTCCACCTTCCTGAAGTCGCCATTCCTGAAGGTGAGTTTGCCTCCTCCTTTCAATTGCTAGCTACTTACTGCATTTTACATATCAGAAGTTAGATGATAAATTTTGAATTTCATTCTGAGCGCCAAACCTAAAATTGAACATCCATTAAGATTTTTCTGTTTGTTCTTGAATATCTCAGAACTCGGAAGAAATGAGCATGTTTTTGGTGAAATTTTAATTCTTGGAGTTTTGTAATATCAGTCGATGGACACTCCGGGAAGAGGCAGTTCGGTTACTAAGAGGTCGTTGAGGAAGAAAGCTGCTTCCCGGAGTTATGACGAGGATTTGGTGGATGAGGCCATTGAGAAGCATCTGGGTGGAAGGTTCAAGAAAAGGAGCCGAACGAAGGAGGCTATGGAGAAAGAGACCGAGAAGGAGGCAATGATAGCTATATCTTTGGGGTTCCCAATTGATGCATTGCTCGAGGAAGAGATTCAGGCTGGGGTAGTGAGCCAGTTGGGTGGCAAAGAACAGAATGATTATATAGTCGTGAGGAACCATATTCTCACTAGATGGAGGAGTAATGTGCGGAGTTGGCTTTCTAAAGGGCAGATAAGGGAAACCGTGAGCAATGAGTATGAGCAGTTGCTATCTTCTGCATACGACTTCCTTTTGTATAATGGGTATATAAATTTTGGGATTTTATCTGCTACGTCGTCTCCGGTTCTTGAACCGGCGAATGAATCTTCTGTTATAATTGTTGGTGCTGGACTTGCTGGGCTAGCAGCTGCAAGACAGTTAATGTCATTTGGGTTCAAAGTTGTTGTTCTTGAAGGTAGGAACCGTCCAGGGGGGAGAGTGTATACTCAAAAGATTGGCAGAGATGGCGAATTTGCTGTTGCTGATATCGGTGGAAGTGTTATTACTGGTATGCATGCTAACCCTCTTGGAGTTCTGGCAAGACAACTTTCTGTTCCACTTCATAAGGTTCGGGATAACTGTCCTCTGTACAAACCGAATGGGGAACCAGTTGATAAGCAGATGGATTCTGATATCGAGTTTACCTTCAACAAGTTGCTCGACAAAGTCATGGAATTGAGACAAGTCATTGGTGGATTTGGGAATGATGTTCCTTTGGGTTTGGTTTTGGAGAGACTTAAACAGCTTTATGGAGTGGCTAGAACTACCGAGGAGAGGCAGCTGCTTGACTGGCATCTTGCTAACCTAGAATATGCAAATGCTGGATGTCTTTCGGATCTTTCAGCTACGTATTGGGATCAGGACGATCCATTTGAAATGGGTGGGGACCACTGTTTTCTTGCTGGAGGAAATTGGAGATTGATCAAAGCATTGTGCCAGGGTGTTCCCATATTCTATGGGAAAACAGTCGATGCCATCAAGTACAATGAGGATGGTGTCTCAGTGCTTGTTGGTGAACAAAAGTTTGAAGCAGATATGGTACTGTGCACCGTGCCTCTTGGAGTCTTGAAGAGAAAAGCCATAGAATTTTATCCCGAGTTACCTGCAAGGAAGCTGGCAGCAATTGAGAGGCTGGGATTTGGGCTGCTCAATAAAGTAGCCATGCTGTTTCCTCGAGTGTTTTGGGGAGAGGAGCTGGATACGTTTGGGTGTTTGAATGACCACAGCAACAGCCGCGGTGAATTCTTTTTGTTCTATGGCAACCATGCTGTTTCTGGAGGTGCAGTACTCATTGCTCTGGTGGCTGGTGAAGCTGCACAAGCGTTTGAATGTACTGAACCATCAACTTTGCTCCATCGTGTTCTTGACAAACTCAGAGGTGAAAACCCTATGGTACATATATGCGTGAATGTGGTGTCAATTTTTATCTTATATCATGAAGTGTGACGATTTATCTGTTTTCTGTTTAGTACAGGTATATACAATCCCAAAGGCATTGAAGTTCCCAACCCGATACAATCAATATGCACAAGATGGGGCAGTGATCCCCTAAGTTATGGTTCATACTCTCATGTTAGGGTGCAATCTTCCGGCTTTGATTACGATGTCCTAGGAGAGAGTGTAGGCAATCGGCTTTTCTTTGCTGGTGAGGCCACAACCAGGCAATATCCTGCAACAATGCATGGTGCCTATATAAGTGGCTTAAGAGAAGCTTCTCGGATCCTGAAAGCGAGTAGAGCCGAGGATAATGATAATTCAAGGAAGTCTGTGATGCCGAGGAGTCTATTATTGAAAACCAGTGATTCATTGGTGGATCTGTTCAAGAGACCCGAGCTTTCAATTGGGAATTTCTCCTTTGTGTTCAATCCTTTGGAACAGGACCTGAAATCAGTGGGGATTATGAGGGTCACTTTTGATACTTGTGATGAGGATTTGAAGGAGGAGCTGGAGAATAGTTTAAGGTGTCCTGTGAATATACCGTTGCAGCTTTACACAATGATATCTCGTCAACAGGTCGTCGATGCTCAACTGGTCAATGATGGTGGAGATAAGCCTACCTGGTCCTATTTGACTAAAACCTTAGAGCTGAAGCTAATGGGTTCTGCAGCCTTTGTAAGCACAGCTCATTCGTTGATTTCCAGCATTGCTAATCCGCGAAAGGGCAAGGTCAGGGGCAGGCCAAGGAAGATTGCTCCCCAGCAACTGTAGTGTGTCAGGTGATATTTACGTATGTCTTTCAATCCACATCAACTGTAGTCTGTAAATACTAATACCCGGTAGTTCATTCATCGAAGTTGACAGGCTCATTGACCATCATTGAACCATATAGTAAATGTAAAGGAAGAAGTGTTGATATAATATTCCTTTAGTACATGCTGTAATCGGAGTTAAAACCATGTATCGGTGTGATTTGTAAGACGAGCATGCTTCTCGAATTCCCATGGGGTGAAAGGACTTCTCACTTCTCTGCTGCTGTTGTTCAGTTCAGATTATGAGGAACACATGCATGCATGCAGTGCAGTTGCAGGTTACGAGGAAACGGCTAGTAGGCCAACTTTAGTTCCCCCTAGCTATTTCCAATAGAATTCCATCCCATTTTCTTTTCCAATGTAGTTCCCACTTCCCACTAAATCGACACTTACAAAAGGAAAGGACCCCAAATCCCCAATGCAAATAGGGCTGAAACTAGAGTATCTTCCATTATCTCCAAATCAACCATTGGGAGTGCAGAAAGATAAAGTCTAGAAATAGTAACTCTTGGTCTTCTGAAAGATCTTGGCGAAACAAACATTTATTGCAGTCCAACAGGACTGGCTAGTTCTTCAAGATAAATTAAGCATGCAGATAGATCGTTGGGGCTGTTGATGGCTGGCAGGCTAGGGGTTTGCATTCTCCATGAAGTCGGTGCAGTTTCGGCATCCACAGTCGACGAATCTGCAGATGAGGCACCCAACACAGGAGCAAATTGTGCAGCCTCTGCAGTATGAAGCCCTTGGACACCCTCTGTACTTTTTCCTGCTTCCCCTCTCCTCTGGATCACCGCACGTAATCCTGCAAATTTTCGTTTATGTGAAACGTGATCGAGAAGTCGATTATTCCATCCATTCGAGGCACCAACAGGCCGAACGCGAGATCGAGTTACATTACCTGTCGTAAGGCCTATCAGCACATTTCCAAGTAGACTTGGCGAGAAGAGCATCATGGTAGACCCTGCAGAGCTGCTTGGTTCGGAGCCGAAACCTGCGCTGCTTGCCACAGCCGGAGCAAGGGATGAACTCGTCGCGATGAAACTGTCGCCTCACGGTCCCACTCGCGCCATTGGCAGCGTGCTTGTAGTACTTGAACAGCTCCGTCCTCCACATCGCCACCTTCTTGCCATCCACGGCAACCCAAATGTGGCTCTTCCACTTGCTGTTCCCCTGCCTCCTGGCATGCTTCTCGAAATCGTGCGGCCTATATTGCTCTGCATTGATTGAAGGGTGAAAGCAACGGTTAACGATGCATTACAGATTAGCTTAAAGAACAATGACGTTACTAGCTGCTACGTACTGGAACTGTCGCAGGCGTTGCAGTGGCAAGTGATGAGGAACTGGCCGGAGGAATAGACTTTGAGGACTCCGACGCAGTCTCCCAGCCGCTTGCTGGTGCAGCCGCAGTTGACCTGGATGTGGTCCGCGGCGGGGCGGCAGAATCCGTCCATGGCTCGGAGCTGTGGCTCGAGGAAGAGGACTTCCGAGTACTCGACTGGGACTTCATGCATTCCTGCTTCCTGTAGTGCTGCATTCATCTTGGAAGTGGCTTCATCCCCATCTGTACTTTAATTTAACAATTGTTTAGTTACTTGCATTGGGATACAACAACACAAGCCAATGAACCGACTGGATCAATTAATTAAGTCGTGGCCATCAGGAATTAAAACATTGAAATTTCAGAATTCAAAGGGGCAATTGCATTACATAAACAAGGTTTATAGAGGAAAACTTATCTTTGAGGTAGCATTTGCTTGAAACATGCTAGAAAGTTGCACACATATACATTTGTAGGCTTGTTAAGATCGTTTTTTAGGATGTCATGAACGTAAAATAAGTTGAACAAATCCATATGGACCGACTTTATTTTTCCTTTTTATTTGTGCTGTACAAGAAGATGTCTGATACAGCGAACAAGAGTTTGGTCTGATAGTCAAACCATTAGCTTTCAACAAAAGAGTCTAGATTCGAATCTCTTAAGTATAACAAAAATAATATAAACGAATCTATATCACCCTTATTAAAAAAAAAAGATGCTCGATATTTTCTTCGCATAGTTTTTTTTTTCTTTCACTGTCTTTCGTTTTTCCCTTCACGTGTAATTTTTCAAAGTTACCCCTCTTTTTTTTACACGTATGTTCTGGTTTTTCATTTTTCATATTTGCATTCAACACCAAACACCTGCTCAGACTTCATCACTTATGAAGTTCGTGGTGGTGTCTTGTTTTCCCTGCTCTATGTTTCTTTGTATCTTGTTAGTAATATGCATCATTCTGTCGCACAATTAAGGGATAAATGTGTAAATCAAACGATTACTCCAATCAAAAGACTCATGAACTAAGAAAAAGTTAATCTGGAAAGACATCAAATCGTGAAGCATTAAAAGAGTAAATTGGATAGATTCTGCATAGAACTTAATCTGCTTCAAAGATAATACATACCTCGACCCATCGCATATCAAGAAGTTGAAAGTAAGAAATCCCTTTCTGTATTATCTTATTTCATTAGATACCTTGGCATGAAAACTCTTCTTTGCGGGTCCCTGACGAGTGATAAGAGTAAAAAGACCGCAAATGATTCTGCACACCCTAAAACTTTTCTTTTTAAATCTTTCAATGTTTTTTCAAATGGTCTGAGTTTCCTTAAAATTTACACCATTTCCTTGCATGTAGTCCAGGTGTTTGGAATTTACTGCCGAAATTTAAAGCAAGTTAGTGGAAAATTAATTTCTTTTCCAGACTTAGTCTAATTCGAAAGTTGAAGCGTATATACTATATTGTAAAAAGAGCGTATATGCTATATGGTAATATCACATAAATAAAAATATGATTATTTTGCAAACATATCATTTTCCTTTTACTATTATAGATTTCACCCTCTACATATATTCACTATGTGAATTAATCATGACAATTAAAACAATCAATAGATTTTTTATATCCTATAAAAAATTAAATAGGTTTCATATTTGAAATGGCAAGTTATCATTCACGTCCATATTTGAAAAAGCAATTATGAAAATAAAATAATATTTGTTCAAATTATGTACAGAGCGTCATGACTCATGACATAGTACTGTGAACAAAGACACGCTAATGCACGCATCTTATCCACCTGTCAGAGAAATATCTCATAGAAGCGGTCTCCTTAGTGAATCATTCTCAACATATATGACTTTGTTCACACTAGTGTAGTCCGTGTTGTAAGTGGCATGACTATATATTACACAAGATATTATTTGAAAACATCTGTTCATAACCTGCGTGTTTGCTCTATCTTCTAGGTTGAGTAGAGACATGTTGTTGAAGGTTTTCAACTGGTTTGGAATGTTGAACACCATCAAGCTCACATCACTACACGAAAGATAAGATGTGTTTCTAGTTTCTACTCCACATGCAATTGTGGCAGGGCTAGATTGTGGCAAGCGTAGGAGTTCTAACTTCACTACTAACTAAGAGATCGTCGAGTCGCTTATCAAAAAGTTAGGAGGCTACAACAAACGACCTTGACACACATGTCCCAATGTAAAAAAAGGACATATAAAATGGTCTCAAGTGGCGGACCCATAATTGTCGGAGAAGTGTGTCGTCGATAAAATAAGATAATAATTAAAAAATTAAATAAAAATTAACTCATATAAAGTTCATCATGTTTACAAAGAACTACCACGACTTTTCATGTCATGAAATGCCTGTAAAATACATTCGTCGCTTATGTTGCGAAACAAATCCTTTTCAATGTACGCAACTAAACAATTATTCATAAATTAGTCACTCAACCGATTTCGAAGTTCATTCTTAATTATCTTCATAGCTAAAAATTTTCTTTCGCAGCTTGCAATTGCGACAGGTAAAGTCAACACCAACTTCAAGAGCAAGTAAAACTAAATAATAAAAGAAAAGGGGGATGTGGGCATGTGGCAGTGGCTCTCGGTAATTATAAACTAAAACGGGGCAACGGTGAGTTTTTATTTCATTGTTTATTTCAATAAAAGAAGGGTCAATGGTTGGAAATGGTGAGTTTCAAAGGATGGAGTTATGTTTGTTTTCTTTTATTGTTGTGTTGTGGTGTGGGCTACTTTAAAACAAACATACTTATTTGATTTTACTTATTATTGTTTATTACTCATTAAGATAAATAACTTTATAACAAAAAAAAATCATTCTCGTATAATAAAGGTGTGTTGTCACAATTATTTGAGGCGTGTCGGAAGTCTCGAATTAAAAACAAAATTGTACAAAAAATATATAGATCTTTCACAAAATTTCCGGACCCGGGGGTCATATTTAGTATATCTAAATTCGAAGAGACGTCATCACATACATTGAACCATGATCGTACTTCTAATTCGTTAATTTGTCTAATGTAATGGGTTAGCTATATATCTCATATATTTGTTCTAGTCCCAATCAAATTTAAAAATCTAAAAATTTATTTAAACGAGGGTGATACCCTAGAATCTAGATAAACAATATCCGCTGCCACGGGAGGAGGCATCGGCCGGATGAATTGATTAGCATTTTGCTGAATTCTGGAAGAGTGAAGGATGAGGGCATTCTCTCCTTGCCCACTTCTTGCTTTTCCTGCTCTATCTGCAACAGCTTCCTTGGCCGCCATGAAAGTTAGTTCCAACGCTCAGCTTCCCGTCCTTCACCATGACAGCCCTTTCGTTCAAGAGGTAACCGCAAAAATGGAACTTCTCCCTTCATAATCTATCGTTCACTGTGAAATGCTGAATGCAATGAACTTTGAAGACGCATTTTATTCTTAATGAAACGAGGCAAATGTAAATTTAGTAGCTCTGACACGAAAGATTGTTGCTTTGTGAGATATCTATCGCGGCTTGCAAGCTCTAGTTGAAGGCGAGGGATGTTTCTGCATTCATGGTGTTTGTTGTTTTGTCCCAATGAATTTTAGTTTCACGAAATTCGGGATGGTGTTGTGGTCCGTAGCTCGTTGTTTCCAGTAGAAATGGAGGAATTAAAGAGACGAATTTCCCTTTGAAACGATTTGATATTAAGTTTCTGAGTTATGCTTTGGTCAAAAGATATCAAGTTTATTCTTTGCACCAGAAAGGGTATACATTCAACCTTATTAAAGGCTTAGACGTGATTCGTATTAGCTAAATTCTGTACTGACCTAATGTTTTGGGAAGTAGGTTGTCCAAGCAGTCGATGCACTACACTCGGAGTTCAGAGCTGTGGATAACTTGGTGGCACGTAACTCCTTTCGTGTTCTCAAAGCTTTTCAGAATGCTCGAGTTGGATCTCATGTAAGTAACTTGGATTCAAGTGAGTCTGATTAGATTATAGTGCACTTTGTGGTTTTTCTCAAGGCTGTCTGGAGCGGTGTACTATGTCTTTTCCAGATCATGCTATGAACTTCAGAAGCTTCCCTATCTTGTTTACGAAAGTATAAAATACGAATTATGTGTTTATCCCTAATTTCGGTGAATGCATTTTTCCCTGTGGAATGATCATTATTTGGTAAATGGAATCATATGTTTACATATGTAGTAGTCAAGTGCCAAAATTGTCAATCCGACCCTTTGATTCTGGAGAGAGAAACTTATGGATCAGAAATAAAAGGAATTGAAGCGGAAAGAAATGAGCAAAGATTGATGTTGCTAGGTGAAGATAAATTAACTATTTCCACCGCAGCAGTGTTTCACAGCTAGTTCCCAGAAACCAATTGCAAAAGAAAAATCTTCTTCGGCTCTGGATGACTATGCAGTATGCAGTTGCTAATAGTAATGCTTATAACCAGCATTTTAGTGGATCTACTGGCTATGGCCATGATGAAGCTGGAGGACGAGAAGCACTGGATCAAGCTTTTGCTGAGATAGTGGGAGCTGAATCTGCAATCGTCCGGTCCCAGGTTATCTTGTCTTTCCTTCTCTTTTCTGCCAAATGCATCTTTCAACTGTTTTTCATTACATAATTTCATGTAAAATAGTTATTAATCCTCTTCCTTTCATCACTAGTTTTTCTCGGGGACCCATGCCATCACTTGTGCTTTGTTTGCATTTCTGAGGCCAGGTGACGAGGTTAGCTTCGCATTTGAAAATTTCAGCACCATGCTCTCTATAGAAAAGATTGTCTCTGTTACTCTGATTGTGCTTTGTGGTTAACTGAGCTGCAGACTGGTTGAATTTGATTCTTTTCAGCTTTTGGCAGTTGCTGGAGCGCCTTATGACACATTAGAGGAAGTCATTGGAAAGAGGGATTCTCATGGCATGGGTTCACTGAAGGATTTTGGAGTGACATACAGAGAGCTTCCTGTATGTTTCAATTTTCCTTGGAACAAAAATTATTGAATTAAAAAAAAAAAACACAAACTTAATCTCTTGCTACTGTTTCCAAGCTTGCTGAAAATGGTGGCCTTGACTGGGATGCACTTGAGTGTGCTGTGAAACCTCACACAAGATGTGCACTAATACAGAGATCTTGTGGCTATTCATGGCGACAAAGTTTAAGTGTGAATGATATAGGGAGGGCCATTAAGATGATAAAGGTAAGAAATTTGAAGATTACACTGCTTACTGTCATATTTTGTTTGATGTGTTTGAAGGTTCTAAGCAAGTAGTTACTTTTGAAGTTGCCATCTATTGCTTTCAGACTGCTATTTTAATTATTGGAGTGAGGTCCTGGTGATGATCTTTCTATAGAGTTTACAGTTGTGCTTGTCATTAGGCTTAGTTCTGATGGTTTCTTTGTCTCAAATGATATACTTCTTGGGATGGTTCTTTTATGTCATACTTGGTTCATTGTTTGGTAGAACCTTCCTACTTAAGTTTCACCTTATCTCTATCATCTACACACTGAAGTGTTTTACTTCCCCTTTGTCTAGTTTAGTTTCTTTGTTTTGCGCTTTTTAATGTTATGTTTGTTGATGCATTTGCATGCGATGCAGATACAGAATCCTAACTGCTTGGTTATGGTTGATAATTGCTATGGTGAATTTGTTGAAGGAATTGAACCTCCAATGGTGGTATGTATCCTTTTTTTTCATCTGAAAATCAAAAAGAGATATTTTCTTTCCTGAGCAGTTTTTCTCTGCAGGGTGCTGATTTGATGGCGGGTAGCTTGATTAAAAATCCTGGTGGGACCATAGCTCCATGTGGTGGATATGTTGCAGGGAAGCGGATCTGGGTAGAAGCAGCTGCAGCTCGTCTCTCGGCTCCAGGGCTTGGAACTGACTGTGGCTCAACACCGGGGGACATAATGCGAGCTTATTTTCAGGGCTTATACCTTTCCCCTCAAATGGTTGGTGAAGCAATCAAGGTACTCAAAATTTTCATGCCTGTTAGCTATGTTCTATGCATTCTTCTGCTTGCAAAGTACCAACATTGTTTTAATTTTGCTTTCGCTGTAAAAAGGGAACCTTTCTAATTGCTGAAGTCATGGCATCAAAAGGATTTAAAGTGCAGCCTCTACCACGTGCCAGTCGACATGATACAGTTCAAGTGGGTACTCCAATTTGAAGTTTTTCTTGTTTTGAAAAGTACTCTAGTGCCCTTACCCAGAGTATGATGTATTGATGTTTTGGAGATAAATAAGTTGTGTGGCTTGATTTTCCAGGCTGTGCAGCTGGGGAACCGTGAGAGTCTCCTTGCATTCTGTGAGGCTGTGCAGAGAAGCTCACCGGTTGGCTCATTCACCAAACCAGTTGCTGGTTCAACACCTGGATATGCATCAGAGGTCTGTTCATGTTACGTGTGTACTAAGTCTCTTGCTTACTATTGGTGTGTTGCAATTGATTTCAGTACTATACTAATTGATATATGCTGTAGTACTGGAATTTCTGGACTATTATCCCTATAAGCATGGTAGTGTATATACATTTACTGGATGGTAGTGCAGGCTGTTGCAACCTGCAAAATTGTATGCTAAGCTGCAACAAGGCATCATTTGGGTTAATGAGTTGCTAGAAGGATTTATATGTGTTGTTACGGTTAGTTACATATGTGTTCTAACATGGAATTCTGTTTGCTAGGTGATTTTTGCTGACGGGACTTTCATTGATGGGAGTACAAGTGAATTGTCATGCGATGGACCTCTAAGAGAACCATTTGCTGTATATTGCCAGGTCGGCTCCATTCCTTCTAGTGAGGGTTGATTCCGAACGAGAAAGATCAATTGATTAAACGGCTAAAAGCTTTATTCTTGTGACACAGGGTGGGACTCACTGGACCCAATGGGGCATAGTTCTAGGTGAGGTCTTGAAACACATTTGATATCAATCCTGAGCTTCTGATCAATCAGTTCTTCGACAAAACCGCCAAGGGTATGAAGTCCGCGCTTTGCATTGGAGATCAGTACATTCTGCGGACTGCTGCAGAGTTTTGGGCAGCTTCCACAGCTGAGCATGCAATCTGTAGCAGCGGTTAACAGTCACCATATGTGGTAATCAGTTCTTCCCATTCTGGTGTGTTATGCTTACCCACCCCGAGTTCATACTCGGCCTTCACTTTGAGAACTGTGAATGGATGTGCCTTTTCAAAACTGTGCAGATTGACATCGTCAGTGATCGATGATCTCTCTTTTTCTGCTACCATGGCTGCTTTAGCTTTGAAGTTTACCAGGCCATTCTTTCTATTACCAAGGATCACTTAGTCAGCCTTTTGGTTTGCTAGGGTCTTTAGGATGTAGTTGCATAGTAAATCTACTCCTGTTGAGGAATGCTTTTCAAATTGTGTAAACTTCTGTTATGATTATTGTTAGTAGGAGTTAATGCCAATTCTGGTCTTGTATTATGAGTTGTGAACTCTTTCCTCGTCTTATGGGAAAAGTTCCCCTGCCCCAGACTCGGTCCTTAGCCCACATTGAGTGTCATGGCATTGACATGTCCCTCTCGCAGTGCACGAGCATACGTCTTACTGGACTTGGTGCACCGTGCTGTAACCTAGCCTCATAGTCTTACAAGTTGCAGGGTTCCTCGACGTAAGGTGTGGGCACCAGTGGCCAGTGGGAGTGAGTTTTGGAGCAGTGATGACTGCAATTAACAGGAGTCGGACTAAAAGTGCCTCCGAGCAATTATTTTCACGACTGGGTTTCTATCTGCGGTGCGTGAATCGTGATTGTAAAACTTACGTGATGCAAAGCCTGCATTGCTGCATCTCGATACTTTGTGGTATGGAATGCTGGCCTAACTAAGCATCAAAACAACAGGTTGGCCCATGCTAGATGCGAATCGACTGTGACAGCTACTTCCACCACTACGAAAAGTTTGGTTCCTTGGTTCTCAAACTCGATAGTATGCATACGAATGACTCAAGATTGAGTGTCGAGATATCTCAGAATTATCGTGCACAATCGGATGAAGATATTAGTGTCAAATAGCCAATATGATGAGATAAACTCTAAACTCAATAGCTACCCTTGACTAGAAAAGAAACACAGCGACCAATCTGATAAATTCGTAAGACTAAAGAGTAATGGCCAGTATCAAATTCAAATATCTGAAGCACGAGGGGGCCACGGCCTACCTACAAAGCCCATGACTGCAAATCTGCAATTCTGCAAATCATTTTGGTTCGGATTAGCTACGAATGAAATGAAATCCACAAAACAAAAACAATATCCGTTGTCATTATAATTTATAAAGCAGTTCTTTCTCGACCCTCTCCTTTTTCGCAATGTCATCAATACTGCTTCAAGCTCCCGTCCACTTCTCACCTCTCAACTCCATACCCTCGGATTTCCCCGCCAAACCCGCCTCCTCCATCTCTCCGCCGTGTTTAAAGGTTGTCGCTTTTGATCGAAAGAGGCTCAGATTAGAACCCTGCAGGGGAACAAGGGGTTTTCTCGAACTGGGTACATGCAAAGATGGGATTTTTGTGAAAGATGGAAGAGGGAGAAAGAATAGCGATAGAGTGGTTCTGGTGAGGTTTAACCAAGGTTTCGGCGGCGGCGGCGGGGGAAGTGGTGGCGGCGGCGGAGATAATGGCGGCACTGCCAGGATTCTGGGTAATCTTGCTTTGGCTATTGGGCTGACTTATCTTTCAATGACTGGCCAGTTTGGTCGCGTCTTCGATGCTGTTGGCTGGGTTCTCGATGCCGTGATTTCTCTTTGGGTATTATATACTTAGAATCTCTGAAAGAATTTCTTTCGCATTTTTAGTAATTCAGCTTCTTAGTCTGTTTTGGATTGTTCGTTATTGCAGCTAATTGCAGTGATTCTACCAATTGTGGGGGTTGGGGCTTTCCTATGGTGGGCTGGAAGGGATATGCTTCAGAGCTCTGTAATAAATTGTCCATTTTTCGTAACTTGATTTTGCTGTAATTTCATGTTGGGAACTTTTCGGAAGGAGAGTTCATTGCTTGATTCGTCTCTGTATCTCTGTTTTATGTGGCAGTGCCCAACTTGTGGAAACGAGTTTCAGGTTTTCAAGTAAGGGCCATTTTTTAACCATCATTCATGGGCAGAGTTGGATAGATTGTCTCAACTTCCTCATGAAAGTTTGCTTACACCGTTCTTCTCTGTCACCATGTGCAGATCAACACTGAAAGATGAGCCGCAGATGTGCCCCTTTTGCAGTCAACCATTTTCAGGTGAGAACAAATTCTCTGATTTGTTATGATCGTCTCGTTGAATGAAAGAAAATGTTACCTCCCGTTTGGCATTACTAAAGCACAGTTCTGTGTTCCATCTGGTATTTTTACATGCACTTTACCTGTCCTAATCCTGAATGAACTCTCTCGACAGTGGAAAATGACAAGTTTGTGAGAGATTCTGTTAAGTCCTCGAACGAATCCACATTCTTCGGAGAAGCCTTCAGCAACTTCTATTCGGGTTCTGATAAAGGTAAAAACATGGCTCGACTTATCGCTCCCTATGTTAATGTCATGAATCATAGCTGGTTGGCATATGGAGTCTGGTTCAGAAAATACTGGGATCTTTGCCTTGTCCTATCTCGTGGTTTTGAGCACCAATTAATTGCGCTGGTTATTGACTTATTGCGAAGCTGACACCATATTTCTGGGTTCTTGCAGGAGGGAAGGATTCATCTTCCTCTGCAGTTGTTGACATCGAAGCAGAAGTAAAAGACGCAGACTGACTTGACTGGCTATGTCAAGTTCTGACTGAAATTGCACCCCATATATTCACTTCTCCATCAACCAGGGAAGTATAGTTATTTAATCAGATGAGATTCTCCAAAGCAACTCATTGACATTGTGCAACCAAGAAATGCATATATGATTGTGAGCGTTGCTGGTTGAAGTAGCAATGCGAACTGCATTTTGCTGCTGCTACTGTTTACTGAGTTTTGATGATCAATCCCGACAATGTATACCATGTATTCAAACGTTCACACCGGTACGTTTGTTCATCGTTCTAGTTGGGTTTACAATAATAATCCATGTAATCCAAATCATTTATAATACACCACGTAATTATTTTGTAATCAGCAAACAAAAGCACGATTTCATTGTTAGAGATTAAGGAATGCTTCAAAATCCATTACACGGTCGAAAGTGAAAGAGCTAGCAATGAGTTCTATCATGCAGTTCCAGAGTCACATGCAACTTTAAACCTCCCCTGAAAACTCAAGTGCAGAACAAAAACAGGAAACTATACAAACAAGAGTAACCACATTCCATCAAATTATTATGATGACCATTTCAACTCTTACAAACCCAGAAAAGTCAAACTCTCTTCTTTTCTTTTATTTTTTTGGAAAATCTTTTCTTTTAGTACACACTGGCCTTGCTACCAAACCAATTGAATTTTCGTTTACCAGGACCTCGTGCTCGTCTAGACTTGGCGCCCACGGCAATTGCCGGGCGACAGTTCCTGCTTCCATGGCTGTCGCTTACCTTTCCATTTCAAAGTCAAGACTCCAAATTACTCACAAGGGTTGCCGTGTCTCAGTATTCGTCTCCACATCCCATACTCCAACTCCCAAGTAAGAGTATAAATCGACGGGCCTCTGCCTCCCATTCCTACCAACAAACCTCATTCTATCCCCTCCCACGGAAAACAGAGCACTCTGTTTCATTTCTCCAAAAACCATGGCTGCCTCAACTTCATCAGCATCGTCACCAGCCCTACCCAACCTCAGAGACACCAAGGCAATCCTATCCACTGCAGCCTCCATGGCGGCCACCATCATGCTCGCTCGATCTCTAGCACAGGATTTCATTCCCCGGGAACTTCAGGGCGCTCTGGTTTTCAGAATCCGCAAATTCCTCAGCCACTTCTCGTCCCAGCTCACCATGGTGGTGGACGAATCCGACGGTCTGGTCTCCAACCAAATCTACGACGCCGCGCAGACTTATCTGGCCAGCAAGGTCAGCTCATCGACGCAGAGGCTCAACGTCAGCAAGCCCGACAACGAAACCCAGATCCATGTCCGGATGGAGAGCCGCGAAGAGGTCTGCGATGAGTTTCGCGGAGTGAAATTCAAATGGGTCTTGATCTCGAGGCGGATGCAGTCGTCATTTTCTCAAGGAAATCGCGGTCCGATGGGATCCGCATTTCCCTCGGAGCTCCGGTCTTTCGGGGTCAGCTTCCACAAGCAGCACAAAGAAATGGCTCTTCAATCTTACTTCCCCCACATCGTGAGCGAGGCGAAATCGATCAAGGAAAAGAGCAAGACCCCCAAGCTTTTCACTCTCCAGAATCTGTACGGCAACAATTCCGACACCTGGGCCGGCGTGAATTTGGATCATCCCGCGACATTCGACACGCTGGCTATGAATACAGAGCTGAAGAACACGATCCTCAACGACCTCCAGAGGTTTGCGAGAAGGAAGGACTACTACAGGAGAGTCGGCAAGGCGTGGAAAAGAGGGTACTTATTGTACGGTCCTCCTGGAACCGGTAAATCGAGCTTGATTGCTGCAATGGCGAGCTACCTGCGATACGATGTCTACGACTTGGAATTGACCGAGCTTAGGGGAAACTCCGAGCTCAGGAGGCTGCTGATTGCGACCCCAAATCGGTCCATACTAGTTGTAGAGGACATCGATTGCACAATTGATTTCGGGGAACAATCAGCCGAGCCGGATTCTGGGTATTGCCAGCAAGGAGGAGGAATGCAGATGACGCTGTCAGGGTTGCTGAATTTCATCGATGGGTTGTGGTCTAGCTGCGGGGACGAGAGGATTATAGTGTTCACTACCAATCATAAGGAGAAGCTGGATCCAGCGTTGCTGCGGCCTGGAAGGATGGATGTACACATCAATCTGTCTTACTGTACTCCTTGTGGGTTTAGGATTCTGGCTTCCAATTACCTTGGTCTCGATGATCATAGTCTGTTTCGTGAGATTGAAGAGCTGATCTCGACGTCGGAGGTGACTCCAGCTGAAGTGGCGGAGCAGCTGATGAGGAATGACGATGAGGCTGATTGTGAGGGAGTGCTTGTTGGGTTGATTGAGTTCTTGAGATTCAAGAAGGAGAAAGCAGGGGAGGTGGAAGAAATTGGCGATCAAAATGAGGAAGAATTCGTCGGAACTGTTGCTGGTAATCGGAGTAATAATTTTAGAGGAAGGGGAGGGAGAAGAGGAAGGGGTATTACCCGGCGGCTCAATTAATTGCTAACTGGCTTAGACCACCAATCGACCGGAATTTTTGGATTTATTATTTATTAGATTATTTTAATATGATTTCTGATAATTTTGCAATAATTAATTTTTTTATAAGCGTTATATCGCACTATCTATTGTTTGCTAAATTCTTTCTGATTTAGCAGTCGAATTTACAATTTTCAAATTGAAAACCAATATCACCCCGTGCTGATTCACTAGAATTAGGACTGGGAAACTCTGTGATCTGGTTCAGACCGGATTATATATGCGGTCTACGGTCCAAACCGAGAGGTTAAAGTATAGACCACGGATTATACGGTCCAGACCAGACTACGTTTGTGTCGTTTGGTCCGGTACGACTTGGTCCAGATGGACCACAATGAATGAAAACTGAACAATCTAATTTGTCAACCACACAAAAATAGAGCCAATAATTAAGAAAAAATGTTTTATTTCCTTAAAACATAAATTCCTACCTGCATGGATAATTTTGACACCATATATCTCAGTAAATAATAAAGATACAAAGTCAAAACATCCCAAGTTGCACCATAACGTCTTTTTTATAAGGGTGATATAAGTTTCATTTTTGTGATTAAGGTACTACTTAAAGGATTCGAACCTGGGACATCCAAGTTCTAGGCTCCTTGTTCGTTTGCACCATAACATCATAAACATTTACATAATGTCATATGGAGACATGATCGTCTCTACTCTCTAATGAAATGTGGTTGTGAATGAAGGAGGGGACGAGATTCTCAAATTAAGATTGAGACTTGTGTATCGTTGTAGGAGTTGGGAGAGTGGTCGAGTGGGTTGCTAACACATATTGAGAAGACTGCTGGGTCCATGGTTTGATCCGGTAAATCGCGGTCTAGACCAAACCAGATCAATAAATCAAAACATATTATAATACAAACCATCTACGGTCCGGACCATACTTAACGATCTACGGTCCGGACCAAACTGTGCGATCCGATTTGAACCATGATTTTTCAAACAGTTTGATCTATTTTCCCAGCACTAACTAGAATTGAAATTTATTTGTCCATAGTCCATACTAAAAATGAAAAATTAATGTATTAAATATCCAAATCAAATAGTTAAATACTATTTGGGCTTTGACAAAATCTATTTGGGCTTTGAAATTGTATACAAACTTAGATGGGCTTCGGATGCAAATCATGCAATGATATCCTCTTGCTAGCGAGTTTGTCACTACTGTTGACGTTTTCCAAGTCCAACTCGCTCTCGGACCTCATAAACCGACCCACACGCGCGATCATAGAAACTATAAATTAGAAGGTAATCTCGCGTCTCTTGCCGGGACGAGATACGGTGACAACCCCTAAGGGGGGTTGTCAGATTCACAACCCACTTCATAGCCTTTGGATACGCTCTCTCTCCTGTCTCTTTCTTCTTTTTTTAAATTAACGGTTAAGATTAAAGGAAGGATATTTTTGGAAGGGTAAAAATTTTACCACACCCAATCATTCACCCTACCATATAAAAAGAACAAAAACCCTAACTCCTCCATCCTCCCTCTCTCTCTCCTCCCTCTCTCCCGTAGACATCACCGTCTCTCCTCCCCCTCTCTCCGCCGCCACAGCCCTCCCACCACCGCGCCTGCTGTCCCCGCCGCCATGCCGCGCCGCTGTCCTCCCCTGCCCCGCCGCCGCGAGGTCAAGACTCTTCCCTGCCTCCCTCTTTCCTCATCCCTATTTTTTTCCAAATCTGATAGTCTCTACTGGCACCAATACCACTGGTAGCATTATTAGTACAAATACCACTGGTAGCACTATTGGTACCAATACCACTGGTAGCGCTATTGGTACGCTACCACTACTCACTGGTACCAATACCAGTGGCTCCCCTATCATCTGGTACCACTATCATCTGTTTTTTTGTTTTTTGTGTGTTATTCTCTACTGGTACCGCTACCAATGCTAGTGGTAGCGCTACCAGTACTAGTAGCGTTGTGTTATTCTCTACTGGTAGCGTACCACTAGTACTGGTACATTTTTTACTGGTACCGCTAGTACTGGTACATTTTTTTAACGTACTGGTAGCGTACCACTAGCACTGGTATATTAATTACCAGTAGACTAATAGATTGGTACACTTTTTAACACATTGGTACATTTTTTCAGGTTGCCGGAGGGAGTCTGCCGGAGAGAATTCGCCGGAGAAAAAGTTTGTCGGTCGATGCGGAGTGGCTGCTGGAGAAAGGAAGAGAGAGAGAGAGATAGATAGAGATAATAATGTATAGGATTTAAATTTCAGAAAAAATTGTATTTAATATGGGTATTTAATTCCCAATATAATTAATACAAAAAGGTAATTTATATATTCATTTTTTTCATACCCAAAATACCCTTGGTTGTGAATCTGACAACCCCCAAGGGGGTTGTCACTGTATCCTGTCCCTTCCATCTTTTCTCATCGTCGCAATTGGCACTTTCTCAGCATTTAATTCAGATCCGAAAGCTTGATCTCGTTCGAAGCTCTCTGCCAAGGTGAGTCTAGGGTTTCCTTCTTCTCGTTTCCGTTCGCATCTTTTTATCGTCAAAGTTGTTCGATCTGTGTCCTTCAATCTTTTCGACGTACCTTCAATTATTCTTACTGCCACTCGTTCGTAGTTTGCGTGGATGATCGGTTTTCCTTGTGATACTGCGTAGCGATTCTGCAATAGTCTTGGAGTGATTCCGAATTCGATCCATTGGATTTCTGTAGAGCCTGGTTGATTGTATAATTTTGCTGGAAGTATGATATAGCTTAGGGTTTCGTCCTCGGTGCAATCTAGTATGCTTGTTCTAGTAGTGAGAGGCTGGTCTGCTAGTCGCAGTGCTATGTGGTGTTTCTCTGTGTTGTTTATGAAGAATGGAGCAACTTGTTTATCTTGATTTCTATGCTTGGTGTAGAGTGTTTCCTTTTGTGGTTTAATTTACAATTCTGTTGTTCAATTTTGAGATCATTCATTGAGTTGATTAGGGCCTCTTCCTCCCCCTCGAGTTGAATACTTGAATGTGCTGATTCGAAGTAGTTTGGGGGTTCTTCCTCTTTCATTCATGCTACCGGATCAGTTACCTTCTGGAATTGAGAAAATTAGTTTCGTACCTGTATCCTGATGCCTCTTTGCTGCTTAATTCGAGTAATGCTTATTGTCTCCTTATCGTTTAGAATGCTTACAGCACTTGTTTTCTCATAATGGCCTTGTCGTGTTTGATAGTGGTTCCACTGGCTTCATTGTTTCTGATCTTTGTTTGTTCCTAATTGTTCAGATGCAAATCTTTGTGAAGACACTCACTGGCAAGACGATCACCCTCGAAGTTGAGAGTTCCGACACTATTGATAATGTGAAGGCGAAGATTCAAGACAAAGAGGGGATCCCTCCTGACCAGCAGAGGTTGATCTTCGCGGGTAAACAGCTCGAGGATGGCCGCACTCTTGCTGACTATAACATTCAGAAGGAGTCCACTTTGCACCTGGTGCTACGACTCAGAGGTGGGATGCAGATTTTTGTGAAGACGCTCACTGGTAAGACAATCACACTGGAAGTTGAGTGTTCCGACACTATTGACAATGTGAAGGCGAAGATTCAAGACAAGGAGGGCATCCCTCCTGACCAGCAGAGGCTGATCTTTGCTGGCAAACAGCTTGAGGATGGCGGTACCCTTGCTGATTACAATATCCAGAAAGAGTCCACCCTCCACCTTGCGGGTTGGATCATGTCCTTAAGTCTAAAACTTAAGGAGTTTCTTAAGTTTTTATTGGCCAAGAAGAAAAGGAGAGAGAAAGTGAGGTCTAACCACCTAAAAGTGCAAATAAGGTTATATTAATTAAATATTACTATTTAATAGTAAATGAAATTCGGAATTGAAATGGAAATTCGTAATTAATATTTAAAGCTTTAAAAAAGGAAATTCAAAATTCAGAATGTCTACGCTCTCTTCCCGTCATCATTGTTAACAATATCAGTATATACTTATCAATGTTTTACGGTTACATTATTAATGATTTTAGTTCAATTGCTTACTTTTACATTTCTGCCATCAACGATTATTAAAGGGTTGAATAATATTATCATGGATTTACAACTTCATTATTAGGAATCACTTTTTAATGTTTTGTGCATAATTAGCTAATCATGGTCTCCTATTATGACTTTCAATGACATTGTTGACGTTTGGAATCAACTGATATTGGTTTACATTGTCGTTTACATCGATCATATATCATACCACTTATTTTTAACATCTTTGACATCTATAACATATTGCATATGTGATTTAGTCAACCAAACATTAGTTAATGGAGGTGTAAAACATCAATCAAGCAAACCAATATTCGATCATCTATCATCCAAAACATACATATGAATGTTGTATTTCGTTCAAAACTAAAACAACAATATTAACAATGATGTATTTATCATTGAAAAATGACATCAAGCCGATAATACGAATATTGAAGACCGTTAATAATGAATGAGCAAGTCATTGATCATGAAACTGAATTTCGTTGAAAACCAACATAAAATTATTAATAATGTTCGAATAACATCATGTATTTCATTCAAAATAATATTGTATTTCATTCAAAACTAAAACGTTAACAATAATTGGCACATTATTATTAATAGCTTGAATAATAATGTGAAGCCTAAAACTTATGTTTTCATCATCAAGAAGTAACTATTAAAGTTATGTCATATTATTATTAACACTTTGAATAATTTTATCATTGATTTACAATATCTTTATTAACGATTCATGTTTGCACATTATGTCCATAACTAGTCAATCATGGCTTTTACAATGACTTCTAATGATATTATTAACATTTTGCAATTAATTATTAACGATTTACATATCATTCTTAGCGTGTATGAAGTTAATTTTTATTCATCATTGTTAACGATTTCTCATCATTTTTTATCGTAAACCTCTCAACGTGCGCAACAACATATCACCGAGTGGGAACCACCAATAGGGAGAGGAGAGAGAAGGGAGGAAGGTAACTAACTAAAAGGGCAAATGGGGAAGTTTACTTAATTATATTTAATGTTATTAACAATTATATTTATTTCTGGAATATGCTTAATTGACTACAAACACGTCACTTACCATTTGCAACAACCGCTTCTCTCTTCGTCCGGAAAAAAGCCCTAATCCCATAACAGCTTCTCTCTTGGTTAAAAATGGAATGAACTTAGGATAGTTAATAATAACATGAATCGCTATTAACACTGTTGTACCTCTTTATTGGCGCCTAATACACCTATTAGCAATAGTTGTATAGTACTAAGGTAGGGTATTACTAAACGGGTTATTAACGGGTTCGGCAGTTTGTGAAAAAATAGTTTGCTACATGTGTAGATGTTTACGTTTAGCTTTGTCGATAATTGAACTATTTTGATAAAAAAATGAATAAGTTTTTATTAATAATAGTAACACGAAGTGTAAGTAAGGTGTTATTAACACAATTCGGCAGCAATTATTAGCGGCTAGTAGCACAATTAGTCAGTGACGGAGGCAGGATTTGAAACTACCCCTGTCCTCTTTTCGTATTATAAATATATAAATATTTAATGAATATAATTAAATTAATAATATCTAAATAATTTATTTTTATATATAAAAAATAACTACTATTACAATCGGTATTTTCATAAACAACCATGACGAGTTTTCATATTCGGAAGAAACACACAATACATTCTTTGTCTACACACTTAAGTAAGTCATTTTCAATGGATCTCTCTAAACAACCATTAGCAAACTGGTCGCCAGTTCGACTTCAAAGTTCGTTATTCAGATAGCTCAAAGTTGAAAATATTTTATCGACACTTGCCGTCAAAACTAGTGGAATCGGCGCTGCCACTGGACTGTTTCAAGATTGCTTGCAAATAATCGAATAGGCATACAAAGAAAAGATATATATTCCAATTGAGACTTCATTTATCGTATAATAATTAATTCATTGTCAATTTATGATAAATAATGAGTTGTGATATAGTAACGAAGTACAATGGTGTTGTGTTCCATCTTTCGTATAAACATATATGAAATATTTTGGGCAATGTCTATTTTTTACCCAAACCTTTTTCAGATTCTTTTATTTTAACCAAACCTATAGAAATTCTATTTATTATCCAAACGTATTATAATTTATCAAAGTTTGGGCATTCATTCTGTTACCGTTACTTATTTCGTCCACGTGAGGGTGGGATTTTGTTTTGTTTTTTTATAATCTTTTTATTAAAAATAGTAAATGATGGTATTCTGACCGCCACGTAGGAAGTCAACTCATTATGGTCATACTTAGTCAGCATTACTAACAGAAAAGTTGACGGAGAGTTAACGTTTGGATAATTTTTAGGAATTCAATAGGTTTGGTTAAAATAAAAGAATCTGAAAAAGGTTTGGGTAAAAAATAGACATTGCCCAAATATTTTTGTTCCTCCCAAAATTTACCCCTGTCGCAGGACAATGCCCAATAGGGCTGCCTCCGCCACTGCAATTAGTAATCTTCATTATGACGTTAATAATGTATAATAATATTGGTTGACGACGTGGTTGAATATTATTAAAATTGTAACGTTATTTTGTTAATAACGTTGCTGAAAAACCTCAAATTGAAGGCTTCGTTGATTGTCATAGCGATGTAGTCGTCGGTTAATAATTACCATACTATGATTAGTAATAGTATCATTGCCGGAGATGCTCCACCGTGGATGAGCCTCGATGACATCCCCGTATCCACCAACGCCTCTGACGGGAAAAGATCCATGAACATGGAGGGAGTTGACTCGCGAGGAGGAAAATCAGCAGAGTCTCGCCGGCGACGAAAAGCTTGTGGCGGTGGATTTTGTGGCTTTTGACAACCTTCACAATGGCAAGGGCGCCAATTGAGAGGGATTGGGGGTAATTGATGAGTGCAGTCCTAATTATTGGCTTTTTAATTTTTATTTAATTAATATGATTAATACCCTAATTATTCTTAACCGTCAATAACTACTAGCAATCTATTGACCGCATAAATTTTCATCAACCAATAAGAATGGCTTAAGATAATTCTTAAATTAGTAGGCTTAAGGACCTGAACCTATCCCTATCCCTGCACCTTGTCCTCCGCCTCCGTGGTGGCTTCTGACTGAAAGCAGCTTGCTCATGATGGGCTGATGGCGCACATTCGTGATATGGTGAAAATGGTGTCGTGCAAATAAACTCTGAGATTGCTCCCTAGTTTTTCTTTGTTTGAACAGCTTTATATTTGTGGATTGTTGCTAGTTTTCTGTGTCTTTTATCAGTACTGCTTTTGGGTTGCCGACGATCAATGCTTGGTCAGTTGGTCTTTAGGCCTCTGAGAGTTTGAGTAATGAGATGATGGTGGTTTTTGCTCGAAACAGGGGAAATAAAGAGTTGATTTTTATGTTCGTCTGTGCGGTAATTTAGCCATGTCAATGGTATCAAGTATCAACTCTCAACATAAACATGCACCGTCTCTCGCTACTTCTTCGATCTCTCGATTTATTGCTTTCAGCTTCTCCTTTCGATTCTGGACAATCTTTTAGTGCTATTTTAGCATCCATATCTAGGGTTCGATAGAGAAATCGAGTAATGAATAATGATGAGTTGGGACAATTTCTAAGGTCGAGAGGGTTAAGAAGGACGGTTTAAGTGAAGGGTTAGGAAATAGGATTATATGATGTGGAGGCCTTTAATGGGGTGGTGGGTTGGATAATTTTTTGGGTTAATATAGGTTGATTATATATTTTTGTTAATCACATAAGTAAAAAAAATGATGTTGTTAATGGAGGATAATGGAAGGTAACAATGAGAGTGACAAAATAGACAAACACAAATTATTGAAATAATTTTGCATGAAATAAAATATTTGTAATAACAAACATTAATAAATTGAGAAAATTGAAAGAAAATTATAAATATAACTAAATATATACTAATTATTATTATTATTATTTCAATAACCGGGGGAAAAAGAAAAGGCAGGCCAGAAGTCAAGAAGAGGAGAGACCGGGGAGGAACGGAGGAGGAAGGCGCTCTGTTGTTTCCGATCTATCTTTCTCTCTTTCCGTTTCTCTCTTCGCAACGACTTTGCCGGTTAACCGGCAAGTACAGTTCATCGGAAGAGAGTCGAAGGAGAGGGGGATTCCGACAATAGAGACAAGCCAGCTCCTGGTAAACGCGGCGGAGCGGGAAGTTGGAACCGTAAAAGGAACAACCAAATTGACCTCTCCGGCTTGCTATCCTCTTCTGTAGTCTCTTTAATCTCCCGATCGATTTGCTGATTCGTCTGTTTGTTTATCGGCCGCCATGAACGGGAAGGCGAATGTTTCTAAAGAGCTCAATGCCAGGCACAAAAAGGTGTTCTTCATCCCTTATCTCGTTACATTTCCTGTTCGTAGCGTTGCTGAAAGGATTTGCTTCCTTGCTCTGGCCTCTGTGGATCCATTATCGCAGTTTCTATCTGATCTGAGCTCAGATGTCTGGTTTGGAATATCGCTCGCGGATTTGTGATTGATTTCTGACTTGATCTGGGCGTTTCTGCTTGGATTCCTGCTTGTCTCCCTTGATTGTTCTTGATTGATTTAACCTGGATCGGCTAGCCGGTTGATTCCTGTAATTCTTCCTTTCAGTTGAATACTTCGTTCTCTCGTTTGTTGGCTGAGCGGTTAAAAATATCTGGATAGGTTCTTTCACAAAGATATTAATTCTCGAGGAACTCCCTTGAGGTTGGTGGATATAGATTCAGCGTGTAAAACTTGGCTTGAATTAAGCCTCTATATTCTGCAGATACCACAACTTGGCTGAAGGCTGGAGCCATCCTTGATATAATTTGGGAAGCTACTTTAGAAACCCGGGACAACTCCTCCGTAGGTTTTGGGTTTAAGTAATGTGTAATAATCTCAGTTTAGAGTTACATTATTTTCTCAATACCATTGCTTTGATGCACATTGCCTATAACCGACAATTTCGTTGTCTGGGAATTTTAATGCCTGTTTGCTGTTAATCCGTTCTGATTGGAAGTCAGCTGCATGCTCGTTATACTACTTGGTGGGCACAACCTTGAGCATAACTGGATTAAAATAATTACAATGATCCCTGATGAAACAAACAGCTTCAATACTGTACTGCTTTCACAGATTGGCAGAAACCTTATTGGTAGCCTGTTGTGTTCTTTTTGTGCAGCCTAAATCTCGTGAACTTAAATCGTAATTTGTTTGTGGTTATCCACCTGTGCACATGAAGTTCCTGCATATGCAGTGTGGACTTTACTACATATCCTCCACTGTCTAGTATTTTCTCATGTTATTGTGTATTGTGCTTTGTTACATTGTAGTTTTGTGTGTAAATTCTTGCTGTCCTTGCTATTTGCTTGTGTCCACAAGTTTTGTTTTCCTTTTTGATATTGATTATTGCTGGGTCAGCAATTAAAAGAAGAAGTATTTTATGTCCTGTCTGATTAAAGCTACACGTGTCTGCATGCAGATCTTGGAAGGCCTTCTCAAATTGCCCGAGAATAGGGAATGTGCAGACTGCAAGGCAAAGTATGCATACAGTATTTCTGTAATAATTATTTGTGTAGTCAATATACCTCAGAAGTTCATAAGAGTTACTTTATACTTCTGCTGCATGTTCTTTGGAAAATTGTTTGGATGCAGGGGTCCAAGATGGGCAAGTGTGAATTTGGGTATCTTTATATGCATGCAGTGTTCTGGGATCCACAGAAGTCTTGGGGTACACATATCAAAGGTAATATTCAGATCTTTCATGCATCATTTTATTAGTGGCCTTCCCGAGACATTATAGTAATGGGCTACTTTTGAACTTTAGCCAAATGGTGTTGTCTTAAGGGAGTATACAATTGCATTACTGCTGGTTGCGTGTTTTACAAATCATCTTCTAGCCATCGAGAAACCTACAATTCAATTGATGCGTCCTCCGTATAGTATTGGAATTTTGTTGTCCACCTTTAATGATATTACTGGTAAAGTCTGCCTCCATCTTCTCATATTAATGTTCTAAATTCACAATAGTGATAAAGATGTGGCCAATGCTGTGTATCTATGGCTTCCAGTGATTGAATTATGTGGAGTGTCTGTGGCATCATATAAAATTTTAACTGTGGGCTATAATAGCCCAAGTAATAGAATACAGTCAGAAATTTTCAGATTGTTGCTCCTTATTTGGTTATTTAGTTTTACATTGCAAAGACCGTGCCACATATCTGAGAGTCTTAGTTCTTACTGTAGGTTCGATCTGCGACCCTTGACACTTGGCTTCCGGAGCAGGTTGCATTTATCCAGTGTAAGTTATATGTGTTTTACCGAGCTTATAATTTGATTTTTTCACTTTCCAGTTTCTATATATTTATTTAATTATTTATCTTCTTCAGCCATGGGAAATGAAAAGGCAAATAGCTACTGGGAAGCTGAACTGCCTCCAAACTACGACAGAGTTGGAATTGAGAATTTTATTCGTGCAAAGTACGTAAGTTAATTTGAGTATGTGGTATCAGTCATTTCTCTTAGTGTCCTGGGCTATTCATTTTCCAATTAAGGGCCTCTGACCTCCAGCATGATTTTGATGCTTCAGGTATGATGATAAGAGGTGGGTACCTAGGGACGGGAAAGCAAAATCTCCTCCAAGAAGACAGGATGAAAGTTATTTGCAAAGGCCAAAGCCAGTTGAAAGAAGTAAGCATGGGCACACTAGCAGCTCTGAAAATTTATTCGAGGGACGGAGGAATTCACCAGCACAAATTTCAAAAGACCGAGTTCCTGCGACAAGAATAAGTATTCCTGTACCTCCCAAAGGACCTGAGCAGGTATCTAGGCTTCCTTGTGTATGTTCCAGTAAGGTTGAAATATTTACTCATTTTTTATCAATTAGCTAATTGCCTAATTGATAATTATTCAAGTCGAGAGTAAAACTGTAAAACAGTGAAGTTTGGTGATCTGAACATGGCGTCTTCTGATGAAAGGCTTCCATTTCTTGTATAGCTTGTGCAATAATGTCTCTTGGATGCTTCATCTGCTTAAAGTTAAAATGAATGATCCCAGAGGGAATCAGGCTTCATCTAAAGGATGTAGTCACTGGACAAATGATGAATTCATTATTTTTAAAGTGGACGGGCAAGTTATGGCGATCTTTTGGAAAGGGTGTTTTAGATTGAGTCTTTGGCACGACTGTTTGGTGAATAAAATTTATGAAATATCCTCTATTGCAAAAGGTGCAGAAGCCTAGGAACATTTCTAAGTTTTGGCTTGATGACTCAAAATACAGCTAACTTTCCATAATGTAATGGAGAGCGCACGAGGTTTTCCATTTGAAATAATAGTTATAGTAGATGTACATCATGATGCTTTATCATTAAACTGTTACTGCTTGAACAGGTTACACCACCTAAGGCTGTCCAGAAAGTTGAACCTGTGGCAGAGCCAGCTGAAGCCGTAAAGAAGGCAGTTGATCCTACACCAACTGCCACTCAACCTAAGGTTGATTATGCTACTGATCTTTTCAACATGCTATCACTAGAAGGCCCGAATGAGAATGGCTCTGAGGCAGCTTCTAGTGATGATAATGGATGGGCTGGTTTTCAATGTATGTATTCTTGTCTGTATCGATTTGAATTCACGAGCTGATAAAGATGATCCACAAAAGATGGAGAATTCATCTATGGCTCTGTGCAGTTCTAGTCATCATATTGATTGGCTCTTATTTCCTTCTGTGACTGCAATGGTTTTGTTTCCTTGTGGTAGCTGCTGCTGTTGCTGCGGCCACTGCTAATGGAGAAGCATCGACAACTGATAAAGCTGATCCACAAAAGATGGGGTCGAATAACACTCATTCAACCCCTGTTATTGAGGATTTATTTAAAGATGAACCTTCTCTAGCAACATCTTCACTCTCTCAGAAACCCCAGAAGGATGTTAAGACTGACATTATGAGCCTTTTTGAGAAGGTAGGTCTTCATTAATACTTGTATGGTTCAGAAATTTTGTCTGAATCTGCTATGTTATTTCTATCTATATTACACCTGAAAGTCATTTGAAAACAGTATGCTTCAAAACAAATGACAATTGTGCTCATGAATATCTTGCAGTCCAATATGGTATCTCCATATGCTATGCATCAGCAACAAATTGCTATGTTAGCGCAGCAACAATCCCTTCTCATGGCAGCTGCAGCAAAATCAGCTGGTGGTTCTGGTTCCACCAACAGTCAGCAACAACTTGCTCTGCTAGCGCAGCAACAATCCCTTCTAATGGCAGCGGCAGCAAAATCAGCTGGTGGTTCTGGTTCGACCAACGGTCAACAACCCGGGGCCAATGGTATTAATTTGCCAGCTCAAACTTGGCCCAACGCTGGGTACCAGATTCCTGGTTTGATGGTGCCTGTGGCCATGCAAAGCGACGTACAGAAACTTATGCAGGTACTAGCTTTTGGTAGGGATAAAACGTACACAGGGTTGATTTTTTTAAAAAGGAGCAGTTTCGATTTTCCAAGGGTATTCGTTAAAATTCTGACGCAGAGTTGTTTCTTTTTACTTCCCGTTTTCTTCTGTCAGAGTGGTAATTTAGCAACAACAACACAGCCGATGGGAGTCTCTGCACCATATCCAGCATCTAGGTAGGTACCTCCGACTTCTCTTTGTTTTCCAGATCCTATATTATGTTGGATCCTGATCCTACCATTTTCTGAAACCAGTAATTCTTGGATTGGCTTGTTTTACTTGAGTAACAATGGCAGCACCAGCATATTACAACCTTAGTATCTTGCTTTTTCTTCATCTAGTATATTTGAGGAGTAACAACTAACAAGTGGTCATTTTGTTCTTTCGCACGAGAACATATGCTGTTCCTCTTTATGATTCATCTCGCCCATTATTTCTTTCTAGGGATTTCTCGTAGTTGAGACCTGGGGATGGGTTTCTCAGGTTTCTATTTCTCGCAAAACTTATGTTTCTCTCCATGGGTTAACTGTGGCGTGCAGCTTTTATAGCATGGGACAAGGAACCCCGGTTGTTAATGGGGTGAGCACAACGGCTGGGGCGAGTAAACCGCAATCGGCAACTCCAGTAGTAGCATCCAGCAATTCGTCGCAGACTGGTAAAGAATTCGATTTCTCGTCTTTAACTCAAGGCATGTTCTCCAAGCATTGAGCTCTGGACAGGCCAGTCAAGAGTCATTGGCTTTTGACCAACAGTCTCTACACATATAAGCATGCACCCGCGAAGTTGGAAGTTTGTACACTACACAGCGAAAATAGCAATTTGCACCCTCTTATTTTTTTTCTGGCATTTTCCCATGTCCTGATAACTGTATTGTTGATAAAATGATTGTACACTATTTGTAGATGCAGTTCCCTCCTTTTCTTTGGCTCTGATGTTCTCATTTGTATTTTGAGCAGATTCATTATGAGCAATAAAAAAAAAATTATGATGGGCTTTTAGGTTTGCTTTCAGCAAATATTCTTGGATGCCCTCATTTCATTGCAACATATATGAAGGTAGTCTAGAACGCCCCCAAACGGATTAATAATCCGACGTAAAGAAAGAAATAAGCATTAGTTTCGTCCCAAAACGCTTTCAATTCGTGAATTTCCTATGCTCATCCGCGGTTTGACGCTCCAATGCAGGAGCATTGAGCTCGACCCACCAATTGGCTTACAAACAGGGTTGATGAATGATGAACAAGGAAACAGGTAGATTGTCCCCGTCAACCAACCCTTAAAACAAACAAACATACAAGCCTTACTTCTGAGAAGTGACGGGTAAGACTGGAGAATCCCTCAGCAGCCAAAAGCAAAAACTAAAGCAAAGGAAAGGTGTTGCTGCAAAGCAAGAAATATGGTTTCTACTTCAACACAAAATCCTCCCTCTTCCTACCCATATACCTTACCCTCTAATGCTAACTAATTTTAACGCATGATGTCACCTTTCAAGCTACTCCTTCAGGTCCAGGCAGCTCGCTCTCAAGCTTATGCTTAAATCTTCTTCTTCTTCTTCTTGGTCTGGTATTTTACCAGAACATCTACGTAGATGTTTCAACTGACCCCATGGAAATTAAAACAAAGAAACCACTTTGCTTCAAAGCTTTCTGTATTCCTGATTTGGTCCCACTCCCTCCATCCAACCTGCCCACGGCTTTGTTCTGTATAAATAATATTCTTCTCGGCATCCAAGCACTCAAATCATTAACAGCTGCAGCAAAAGAAGAAGAAGCAGCAGCAGAAGAAGAAAGGCTGAGCATTCCAACAGGAGGAAGAACAATGGCGATCCAGCACGGTTCTGGGCTCGGACTACTACATTGTGTTATTCTCTTATGCTCCGTCGGATTCCTCTGTTTCATTACTGCAGAAGCTGCGGTGAAGAAGTATCAGTTCAATGTGGGTGTTCTAGCTTCATTTCATTTTCCATTTTTTTACTGTGCAAGCGGCTAATCGATCTCCTAAAAAAAATGTTGCAGGTTCAAGTGAAGAATGTGAGCAGACTATGCAACGCTAAGCCGATCGTGACAGTGAATGGGATGTTCCCTGGACCGACCATTTACGCCAGGGAAGGAGATCAAGTTCTTATTAATGTCACCAATTCTGCACAATACAACATGTCCATTCATTGGTACTACTACTACTACTACTTGCCCTTTCTTTCTTGCTGTTTCTTCGATCATCGAGTTCAATAACCCGACATATATCGATTCATTTCTGCATTGCAGGCATGGACTGAAGCAGTTTCGAAACGGTTGGGCTGATGGACCGGCATACATAACACAGTGCCCCATCAAGCCAAGCAACTCCTACACTTACGCCTTCAACATCACAGGCCAACGAGGCACGCTGTGGTGGCACGCTCACATTCTGTGGCTCCGAGCTACGGTCTATGGAGCTATCGTCATTATGCCACAAACACCGGCTCAGTTCCCTTTCCCTCAACCTCACCAGGAAACCAACATCATCTTAGGTGCGTAGTTGTTTCATCCATGCGGGGCATTCTTTCAGCCTGTTTCTACAGTTAACAAATAGCTCACATTTGCAATTTTGGATTTGCAGGGGAATGGTGGAACTCGGATGTTGAAACACTCGTCAACCAGGCTAACCAATTGGGATTGCCTCCACCTTCTTCAGATGCTCATACCATCAACGGGAAGCCTGGCCCTCTTTTCCCTTGCTCCGAGAAACGTACGATACAGTACCTCGATTACAACCAAACCTGAAATTTGTTGAACTTGTTAGAGAATGAAAAGAAGAAAAAAACTTAATATGTACTTTTTGTTCTGCAGACACATTTGCAATGGAAGTGGAGTCAGGAAAGACATACCTCCTCAGGATCATCAACGCAGCACTCAACGACGAGCTATTCTTCGCAGTAGCAGGCCACACCATGACCGTCGTAGAGATCGACGCGGTCTACACCAAGCCCTTCGCGACTCGAGCCATACTAATCGCTCCAGGCCAGACCACAAACGTCCTCGTTAAAGCTGACCAACTTCCTGACAGGTATTTTATGGCTGCTAAGCCCTTTATGGACGCACCAGTTCCTGTGGACAACAAAACGGTGACAGCAATCCTTCAGTACAAAGGCATTTCCACCGCCATCCTGCCAAAGCTCCCTACTTCATTACCGGCCTCGAACGACACCAAATTCGCCCTCGACTACGCCTCCAAGCTCAAGAGCCTCAACACCGCTCAGTTCCCAGCTAATGTCCCTCTTAAAGTCGACCGACACATGTTCTACACCATCGGACTGGGGAAAAACCCATGCCCGAGCTGCCAGAACGACACCAAAATTTCGGCATCACTGAACAACATCACGTTCGTGATGCCGAAAGTTGGCCTGCTACAGGCACATTACTTCAACACTTCAGGAGTTTTCAAAACCGATTTTCCTGACAGGCCTCCCAAGTCATTTAACTACACCGGGGCGCCTTTAACGGCTAACCTTGCCACTTCTCTAGGGACCAGGCTGAGCAAGCTGGCTTTCAATACGACCGTGGAGCTGGTGCTTCAGGATACGAATCTCCTGACCGTCGAATCACACCCTTTCCATCTCCATGGCTACAACTTCTTTGTGGTTGGCACCGGTGTCGGTAACTTCGACCAGACAAAGGATCCTGCCAAGTTTAACCTTGTGGATCCACCTGAGAGGAACACCGTTGGGGTGCCGACTGGTGGGTGGACCGCCATCAGGTTTCGAGCCGATAACCCGGGAGTCTGGTTCATGCACTGTCACTTGGAGCTTCACACAATGTGGGGATTGAAGATGGCTTTCGTCGTGGAAGATGGTAAATCTCCTGAACAGAAGGTTTTGCCTCCACCAAGTGACCTTCCACCTTGCTAATTACAAAAGGGGAAAAAAACAACGTCGTGTTTGTATCGAGTTTGAAGAAGTTGGCTTCACAAGACAAATGAAGACCTGCTATTGCCTATTGCGTTTCCCACTTTCATTTCATTGTTTTCTTCTCAATGCTAATAAGATCCACAAGAAAGGAATATTGTTAAACAAATGGTAGAGAAATTTGAAATTTAATGGTTTGGCCAACATTCATTTTTTTCTGTTTGTAACAATCTAAGCTTTCTATGAACAACCATACACAATGTAACAGAATCTTATTTTTTTTTCTTGGGGTCAATGGAACTTAAAACCCTGGGGAGCAGCAACCTCTGCAATGTCATTACTATGTTCTTCTTGTTCATCAATGGAAGCTGTGAGTGTCGAAAGCGGTGCTGGTTCTTTGAAATCACAGGACTTTTCGGAGTTACAGGACTGCAACTTCTGCTTCAAACGAATGCTCCTGGAAAAAATCCCCCAACTTTTCTTGTTCTTCACCAACTTCTCAATATCCTCCTTCATGTCCAAGCACTCCTTCTCGAGCTCCGACACCCTCTCCTTCATCTCATCATCCTCAGGTACCACGAGTCGAATCTCATCCTCCATTCGATCGATTACATTACCGTTGTTAATCTCGCCGATGAGGTGGTGGTGAGGGTTGTCCAGATTATCAGACACAAAGAACCACCCTGAAACAGTAGTCCTGAGCCTCAATTGCTCAAAGAACAGAACCTGAATCACAACCCTGAGAGGCAGCCGTTCATTCTGAGCAGCGTGTGTGCTTGCTTCCAGAGAAAGCTTCTGACAATTCATCAGTCTGCACAACTGTTCCTTCTCCAACTCTGTCATCCATGGATGAGCTTTCAAATACACATCAATCGCATGGTAAAGCCCATCATCCACTGGTCTAGCATAATCAGGAATCGTAGCTGCAAGCGTCTCGAATTTCGACAGCTTCATGTTCACATCAGGAGCGATCTCCGAAAGAAACCCATCAATCAGACTCGCTACAATCGTCATCGAAGTTAACGCCTCCCTCTCCACCATGAACTCTGCCCCTTCTTCGACCATGATGGAAGCAGACAAATTAGCCTCTTGTGACGTGATCAGGAAGTAATCGACGATTCGCTGTATGCAATCGACGTCGTAAAGCGTCTCGGAAACGGAGTAGCCCATGTTTGGTATCAGGAGATCCTGCAGAGCAGCTTCGTCAAGCTGAGCTCCCACTCTCCTCTCCAAATTCTCCCTGCAATACGAGCTTGCTTGTAAAAAAATGGCGGCTCGGAGAATGGAGAGCAAGAAGCTGGTTGGAGTCACTCCCTTTTTGGTGGGCAGTAGCGTGACGAGTTCCTCGAGGTACATTCGCTGATCTTCTTCAGAAGGAAGCAAATTTGATATGACCGGAGTCGCACCTGGCCGGAGCTGCTGGCTCGTCATCAAAGGTAGATACTTTCGGGCGTAATACATCACCGAACCGGAAATCATTTCTGGGTTCATCCCCTTGGATTCAACCGCCATTATCAGACGCTTGTAGAGATGCAAATTGAGGAACGAGACGTCATCAAACCACCACCCCTGTAAATGCTCTGCTTTTTGCCCTGCCGCCGATGAAATCCCATTCCAGGCGACTACGTTCTCGTCGGAGATTTCAATCGCCGGTGTGGATTGAGGTAGATGGGTAATCGAATCTGGAATACTAGAACAACATGCTTTCGTTGCCAATGAATCGATGCAGCGGGAGACGATGTAGAGATCTTCCGCCGGACGGAGAACTTCCTGACAGGTTTTCAGAGCCCTGAGTGAATCGGTCCAATCGGTGAAAACCTCTTTCAAGAACTGGTCGGTTTGCAGAATCAGATTCTTCTCCCCGAAATCTTCAGTCATCTGAAGGTACTCCGCCGCGCATCTCAGGCTGACGATGTTGAGAGCTGTTAGCTCGAATTTGACTCCATAGCAGAATTTCATGGCGAGCTCAAAAGCCTTGGCACCGCCTGGAAGATCGGGGAGCTTTAATGCGCAGACGGATCCATCCTCGAAGGGGAGTTGTTCGATGAGCTTGCTTAACAAACCGCTTCTTGAAATCAATGGAAACTGTGGAGAAAGGATGATGGAGATTGAAAAAGGGACAATCTGTGAATAGATGGAAAAATGGGAAATTGGACAGAGTAGGAAAAGAACGAACCTTGTGAAGATTAAAGCACATATCTTGGACTTCAATGGCGACATCACTTGAAAGCCCACTTGAGCAAAACCTGGAAGAAGCATAATGAGAAAGTATGATTAGGAAGATAGTTTCAATTTGTTTTGTGGGTTAGGGAAGGAATTGAAGGATATTCATAGTTTTTTTTTTTGTTGTTGTACCAATTGAGTCCTTCACGATGAAAGCATTCAGGTTTGGAGCCTAATCTTAGGAATGCCATTACAAAGATGATAGTAGCAAAAAGATTGACGAGTAAAGGCTCATTATGATAAATAATTGTAGAAAGTACGTGGTTCATACTTTTGTGTGCAAAATGGAGTGCTTAAAGCTCGCTCTTACTTTTATTCGCTCCACATTTTTCGTAAAAGGTATGTTTGATCACTTCTTTTTATGTTTTTTGTTCTAATTTTTTTTTATTGTGAGTGATAGATAAGAGGGGGGAAAAGCACGATTACTGTTTTATAATGCGAGTCTTTGGCAGAAAAAGTAGTGAGATTAGAGATATTCTCAATACAGAAGAAATAATTATTTTATACAATTCGTTAATCTAGTTAGGATTTTCTGACTTGTTCACACCCGACCTGTTTTTTATGTACTAATTTTTGTGAATTGATAATTCAGATTCAAGTTTACCTGCTGATTCATGTAACATAGAAATGAATCTCTTTAGATAAAAAAAAAAGATCAAGTAGCACGTCTTTTTCATTTTTAAAACTACAAGCAATGACCAAACTCCGTATATAAAAATCACACATGTTAGACCACTTCAAGTATTTATACCGCAATCATTCATTATAACATTGCCAATTTAACATTCGCAACTATCATACCAATCCTTTTAGATTTATCTAGGAGGGACAATATCACACATACTCTATCCTTCAAATGACCCTTAAGAGTCATGTATTTGTGTGGTCTCTTGGATCGGGATCACAAGCTTTCCATATGAAGAGTGACCGAGAACGATCCTGGAAGCCCTGAAACCTCAACTTCCTTCGACTCCCGAGTCTCAGGACAATACGTTACCAAGTTGCATCCTCCAATCTGCAGCAAGATCGCTCCACTGCTCTCCAGTTTACACAGCACGCGCACAGTCGTTGCAGCTCCACCTTCACCACTTCCCTCATCACCACCTCTTCCATTCGAATTCAGCCCTCGAGGCAACTGATTTCCATTGATGACGAATTCTCGGCACCAGGATTCCTTCACACCATACTCTTCCATCACCCACAACTCCAACCCGCCGCCGCCGCCGCAAACCACCGCAGACAGGCGACCGGAGATCGCCACCAAGTGGGTCAAACGACGCCGTTCTGGGTCCAATTCCCCTGCAGCAGGGAAGGCAATTTCCTTAAACTCCTCTGCCCCCAAATCAAACGACACAATCCTCACTCTGCCTTGGATTGGCAGGGTGAGCCAATGGAGAGCGGAATTGACCAAAATGCCCTCCGACGGCCCTGGCTTCAGGTTCCACGATGTCTGTCCGATCTCTCTCCACGTGGCGTCGCCGACGGTGAGCACCTGAACCTGCGAATGCCAGGCCCATCCGAACAGAGTCGGGCGGTTGCAGTACACCACCCGGACGATTTTGGGCCCGGAGGTTACTGGGTCGGGCCCAAAGCCTACCGCCACGTGTTGTGGCTCGGGGAAGCAGGTAGTGGGCCTGGGGAGGTGGATCCTGTGGCCCGTGAGCGGGTTCCAGAGGCAAACAGGGGTTAGGGATGAATTTTCGGCGTCGGAGATGCACAAGAAGCCGTTGCAGGATCCCGTGGGGACGAGTTTGGTGAAGTCTAGGTCGTCGTCGGTTCTGACGGTCTTGGTGGCGGAACCGGCGGCGAGATGGCGGAGATGAGTGCGGCAGTCGGAATAGTGGAGGAGGAGGGACGGGTCCCGGCGGCGGGCATGAGCGAGATAGAGGGCAAGGAGTCGAGGGTTTTCGGCGACTGAACGGAGGGATCTGGAGACGCATTTGAGCCTGATGATGGAAGAGATTGGTAGGCGGGAGAATATTTCCAGCTCTATTTCCGACGGGAGATTTTCCATTGATGATTGTTGTGTGTGTTTTCGTTTGAGGGAAAATTGCTTGGGTTTGCCTTCGCCCGTTTTATATAACCTCCGCCTCGTTTCAATTTGTTCTGCTTCTGTCCTTTTTTGGTCGGACTAAGAAAAAAGACAAACAGAGCCTACCCAAATTGGTCGCTTTCGCCCATTTGGTGATGACTGGTAAGCGGATGTTCTGCAACTGCGACCAGCGATATGATTGAACATTTGTGATGACAACAAACAGAAGAGCCAATCGACGATCCCATATTCATACCCATAAAGGCATAAACACTATTTTCCGGTCAGTCAAGCCGGCCGGCCGGCAGCCATATCATTTCATATCCACCATTTTTTCTTTCTTTGTACTTAAGCTACCGGACTGCTTCCCTACTTGACTGTCTTTGCAGAAACAAGCAACCAAAAGAATGATTCAAATCCAACAAATTGAAGCTCCTGTCCATTACGACCGCCCTCTCTGGCTCTCTGCACCTCTCTCTCCTTATAATTCCAGCAAGACCTATTCAGACCCTTCAACTCAACCAGCAATGTATTCTGCTTGTCTCATATGGATATGGATTTGAAATTGTTAATGGTTGATGATAAATTAAAGTTTTAAATTAGTGTACTATGTATGTGTTTTATGTTATAGCGCACTAACGTATGTATCAACCGTTAACTAACAACTCTATAGCAATTAACCGTTAAATCATAAATAACTAATTTTTCTGATCAACATTGGTTCTAGTTGTGAAAATGTAAGGGATGATGAACAAAAGTCTAGAAGAAGAAGCTCCCGGCTTCAACTGATGGGCCAATCATCCCGGATCGAGCCGTTCGATTAGACCCAACCCGCGGTTCATGTAGACGTCTGCCGCATGAGAGGATTATTTTTATCCCATTTGAAAAGTCCGAAGGATAACTTATAGACCTTATAAGTTATTATCAGTGCGGGCATGACCGCCCAATGAATCGTGAAGGTCCTGTTTCAAAATTGAAATGTAGTTGAAACTTGAAACTAAATTTTAGTATAATAAAATGAAAATGAACATAGCATCGTCGTGATCTCAGTCGTTGCCATAACTAATCTATTAAGGCTTTCTTGTGTCATTTTTTAAACAAATAGGACTTTTGGCTGCCATACACAACTTTAGCAATCATTATAGATGCCTCGTATATATATGGCAAAGGCTAGCGTATGTCTGACGTACGCTATATGCTTGCGTTCACACCTATTATTTGTACTTTGATAATTTCGACGAATCAAACCGTTGGTTTTCATTTTGAGATTAAATAAATCTTATGACTTGGATTAGAGAATCGGGGACTGGGGTTCACCCATTAGAGGTTAGGGTATAGTATCATGCCTCAGACTCCGACTAATTCAAAATCTAAATAACAAAAATGGACGAGCATACACTAAGGTAAACGTCATGGTTCATGAAACCGTACCATACCAACTACTCAACAACAAAATACCAGTTAGAGGTGGCAATTGGATCGGATTGGTGGATTCGTGGATTGGATTGGTGGATCCATGGATCAAATGGATTGGATCCAATGGATTGGTGGATTCATGGATTGGATCAAATGGATTGATGGATTGATCCATGAATCCAAATGACATCAAAGGCTTGGACCAAAATGTAAAATTTGAAAAGTTTTGGTACTAAAATGTCATAATGAAAAATTTTAGGTACCAAAATGTAATTTTCCAATGATATTTTTCGTATAAAAATATAAATTTTAGGTACCAAAATGTAAAATATAAAAAATACAGGTACCAAATCGTAATTTGCCATTTGGATCCATGGATTGATCCATGAATCCACCAATCCAATTGGATTTGGATCAAATGGATTGGATTTAAATGGATTGGATTAGGTGGATAATTTGGTGGATGGATTGGATTGGATTCATGGATTTGGATCCTAATTGCCACCTCTAATACCAGTATCAGAGACTAAATCGATAGGCAATATTTAATAGTACTAACGATTTAAATACGATTAAGCCATAATTTTGCCATAAAATATCCTACCGCTGACTTTTCCAATACACCATAAAAAATACAATTATATTGGAAACCCCTAATAAGTCATGTGTCAATATTAGATTCTATGTCGGGCGGCCTCCGGACAATCCCTCATGGCCGCCCCTAGCTCCTGGACTAGGGATGGCAACAAAACCCGAACCCACGGGTACCCTACCCGACCCAACTCGGTTAACGCGGGTAATACACGCGTTGACGGGTTTAGGGTCGGGTTTGGGTTTAAACCCGTACACTGTTCACAAGATTGGGTTGGGTTTGGATTTAGAGATACCCAACCCATGGATACCTGCCCACACTTATTTCGTCGCCCTACTCTTCCCAAATCCTACTCTAATTCTAACTTCCCCCAATCTAACTCTCACTACACTTATTCCGCGTTCTTTTATTTAGTGTAATTGTGATTTTTTTGAATTTTCTAGTGGATAATTTGTATGGGAAAATTGATGTTTGAATATTATTTTGATAGGAACTTATTATTGTAAATTTTTTACCACAAAACTCATGGGTACCCATGAACCCGCAGATATCCAGCGAATTGGGTTGAGTTTAAATTTTTCAAACCCACTTAATTTTACCCCAAATTTTGTTTTTTTACGAATAAATCCATAAATTTGGTTTTGGCAAAACCCAATCCATTGCCATCCCTATCATGGACATCCCTTGCTTCTCCAACTTCTTTCTAAAGTCTAAACCCTTTTATTGCCACTACCATTGGGCAGCCCTAGACAAACGAACATGGGCTTGGGCCTATCACCTACACTCCTTCGTCCTTGTTCTCTTAGGTATAAAATCACTTTCCAAGGATTACAATAGCCTGAAGTTATGGTACCCGAGGCTGATCGAAGTGACTAACTGACGCTCATAAGAAAGTTCTATGGAGTTTCTTCATTGATCAATGCAAAAGATCGAGTCAACGATTGGGTTTCTAGACTTCCCAGACACCTAGCCAGCTGGCTATGGCATGGAATCCCAAATCAAGAAAGATGCTCTTTTTTCCCTTTAAAATAAAATTTTGGCGCTCCACATACGATCACGATATACGAGAATTCGGAAGATTTTTTGAAATTGTGTTTTATAATTTGATTATCATAATTTAACTATCGTGCTCAAAGAACATCTATCATAATGTGCTCATAGTGCTTCTTGGTCTTCAAATCAAGCACGAACGCCCCACTATCATCAGATGAACACCAAGTTTAAACATTTTAACAAACTTTTGATTTTGATTACCCCGTTATCGTGTTTACAAAAAATTTAATTTTGATTACCCCGATATCAAAGCAAATTTGTGCCTTTTGTTTTCTGGACTCTCCCCTTTTGTTTAAGTGCTAGATCAGTAGCTTCTTTCTTTCCCAAAGTAGTGCTCTTGATTTTTTTTTTTTTTTTGTCTATTATGAACAAAGCCAACAGGTACGCATACTTTATATTAGTGTGATAGTGTCCCTTAGTTCGTTCCACGGAGGAGGAAAAAAGAACTTTCGGTGATAGACGATATCGATCGCCTCCAAAGGTTGGAGAATAAGGCACAAATTAAACCTTGACTTCCTTAACATTAATCATTGGTACCTCTCCTCTGCTTCTTCACACTCTCCAATGGCTAGGCATCCCTCCTGATCAAGTACCAAAGCTTCTTTCATCAAGAACCCGTTAATCGCAATAACTGCTTGAGTTGGGGGGGGGGGGTGGGGGGTGGGGGGAATCCATAGTCGTTAGAATCTCTTTATCATTCGTTTGCTCACCAGTACCGTCACATTGTAGCCATGGAGAAGGGAAGTTCAACTTGCAGCAGCCACCAGCTGGAGGAGAAGAAGGGAGATGATAATGGCGGAAGCAACAAAACAGTAGCATTTCACAAGCTTTTCACCTCTGCCGCCGACTCGACAGACGCTCTTCTGATGACGCTGGGCACGATTGGCGCCATGGGGAACGGGCTCGCCATGCCTCTCATGTCCATCTTGTTCGGACAGCTCACCGATTCTTTCGGACAGAACCAGCAGAGCAGCAGCGCCCAAGTGGTGCATTTGGTGTCCCAGGTTTCTGTCAGGTTTGTCTACCTGGCAGCTGCTTCTGCTGTGCTGGCTTTCCTCCGTAAGTTACAAACACATAATAATAGTCTTCTCTCAATATGGATTTGCTCTGTTATTATTTACGTGCTCAGATGGCTTTCATTGAAAAACATTTGTGTTTGGTAATTTGTTGGCGTGTGGAACAGAGGTGACTTGCTGGATGGTGACAGGGGAGCGGCAGGCTGCGAGGATTAGGGTTTTGTATCTGCAGACTATATTGAGACAGGACATCGCGTTTTTCGACGGGGAGATGAACACCGCGGATGCGGCTATTAGGATCTCTAATGACACCATTCTGATCCAAGATGCCATGGGCGAGAAGGTACATATATTTGTCATTAGATCGATGGAGTTTCTTAAATTAATCGATCGAGAAGTGTAGGAAATTATAGTGTACACGTATGGCATAATTGAACGTTTTTCAAAACTTTGCTAGACTTGAAAAATAACAATCCTACTGGCAATTATGTGCAATTTTATCAATTCACTTTCATTTTTATCAGTACTGTTGTATAGGAGCAGTATTTACTTGAACAATGATATATCAAAATGTGGAGATGATGAATCCAAATATTATAAATTCCTGTTATAAAATATATCTCATCTTCAAAATTAAAATTAGTATCCCCTTTCCCCAAAGCGACCTCTTTTTTTCTCCACAATTAAAGCCTCCATATTTATAAATGATTTCCTCCTAAAAGCAATCAAAAGACAGAGATATGACCAAAGGGTCATCATGCCATAAACCTTTGGATTTTCTACTAGTCTATATACTATGCACCAAATTGCTTTAAAAAAAAATCCTTTTGTAATGCCACTGAATTAAAGTCATTCCACAAGTTAGTCCTAATAACTAAAAAAATGAAACATGACAAACTTGTTGATGATCTTAATTACCATTAACATCATCTGAGTTTACCTCAAGTTTCACTTTGTACGAAATTAATAATAAAATCATTGTAAGAAGGGTTATAGGTATAATATGCCCCTCTATTATGACGTTTTATCGAACATGCCCCTCTACTATTTTTTACATCAAACATGCCCCTGTATTTTGGAAAAATTATCAAACATGCCCTTCTGTTAAATTTTACATTGAAAAAATTATCAATCATGGTTAAACCGAGATTTAGACGACCCGACATCGACAAATGGGAGGGAAAATGTCAGTTTTGTCCCCTGTTTTATTTCTCTGGGTCTCGTCAAAGTGAAATTATTAGAATTATTTAGCTATACAAAAGGACCAAAAAATTCTAAAGTGAAATTATTAGGGATATTTTAGACATTTGTGTCACCCAAACCAAATTTTGACCATGATTAACGGTTTTTGGATGAAAAATTTAACAAAAGGGCATGTTTGATCATTTTTATAAAGTACAATGGCATGTTTGATGTAAAACATAGCATAGGGGCATGTTTGATAAAACATCATAGCAGAGGGACATATTATACCTATAACCCTTGTAAGGAACATCGAAAAAATATACCATAATGGGTTTGGTCTCAAGATGAGACGCGGGCTTGAGCCCATTGATAGCGTAGTAGTTTATTGTATTAGGCCCATTAATATCACACCTCAACACTTTTACATTTTACACCCGTCTTCTTTCACCTGTTTTCGCCCTTCGTCGCCTGTTCGGCGGCCGACAAGTTCGTTTGGCGACAGACTGTCTGGTTGCGTCGCCGGAGATCCCGTCGAATCCGAGAAGAGAGGAAAAGAGAAAGGGAATAATGATTCCACCGGCTACCATTTCCCCCTTCCGCATCTGTAAGAAGCGATGCCTATCGAGAAGATTTTGATGATCATGAGGTCCTTCCGTTCCCATCTCTTCTCTGCGCTCCACTTTGCACCGTTCCAACTGTGCCCCCATCTCCTCTCTACGTTCCCCTTACCTCCGGCCACCGTCGCTCCGGTTCTCCGATTGGAACCATGTGGAAAGCGTTTTCCCTGGGCGAAAACGAACCATGGGGCCGATCACGGGCACGGTGGAAGAATCAGGCCAGCAGGAAACGGTGGGGATGATTGAAATATGGAATTTCTTTCTTCCTCACTCTGGTTTCCCATGCTGAGTTCTATGTTGGAAGCCTACCTCCTGATAACCCTTGCTTCTCTCCTCTCTTTTGGTACTTTTCTTCAGCCAACTCTCTGTCTGAGTGCTTCCATTTCAATTTCTAATTAACATGGCCTTCCCATTTTCAAAGTAGGCCCCTTTTCTCTAATTCACCTTAAAGAAATCATGAAAGTGGCATCCATTTGACAAAGCAATGGGTGGCCTCATTTTCATGATTTCTACGAGCTGGAAGGTCATGGTGTGAATCCTACTATTGATGAAATTCTGAGTGTTCTTTGTTGTCTAAGAGCCATTTTAATGTTGAGCTACTCCATGTTTCTCAACACTTCAAATATTTTGCTGTAGTTTTTTTTTATGTTGAGGGTAAAATTCATTTATTAAGTTTAGCCATTAAGGAAAACTCGAAACTTAATAGGAGATTGCAGCCAGCACAAAAGTTTTCATTTGTGTTTACAGATTAACCAAGCTTCAGTTGAAGCAAGGGGGGAGACATGATGAGGAGAGTTCTGCTATAGTACTGTGGTCTCTATACAGCAGTGTTTCTTTAAGTTAGATGTGGATGCAGGGCAGAGTGTTTATATTGATAAGTCTTGTCTTTGAGATGAAGTAGTTGTATATGATAGGAGGATGTTTAGATTGAGTGGAGTGAAGAGAGTGAAGCAAATTTTGAGTCCGGAGGAAGTCTCAAGCTACTTGAAGAGGTCTGGCCGAACCATTCAAACATAGTATGTTTTTACTGATTTAAGAATTGGACTGCATCGTGAACACTGAAAGCAACAGGTTGGAGTTGGGAGTGGTGAGTGATGAGTGATGATACCAGAAAATAGATCTTCCAGATGCCGCAAAGTTCCTTATCTATTTGGATTATGTGTCCATGCTTGCTTGAATAATGTTGTTTCCATTCATGATTAATGAAGTTTCTACGAGTTACAACCCATGATCATACTCATCATTTAGTCAAGATTATTTTGCATGCTGATTGATCTGTACCGCTTTTAGTAACCACTGCAGAGCGCGGGCCAATTACCTTGTTATGTAATAAAATGTGGTGAGGATACCCCGCTTCATTTATTGCCTCCGAACAAAGAATTCAAATTATTGTCTTCTCATTTCTGTGTCGTGCAGGTTGGAAAATTCATCCAGCTTCTGGCGACATTCATCGGAGGATTGGTGATAGCATTCATCAAAGGCTGGCTTCTCACCCTTGTTCTGCTAAGCTCCATCCCTGTGTTTGTCGTATCTGGTTGGATCAAGTACTTGGCGATAGCGAAGATGCTATCCCGAGGGCAAACAGCATATTCAAAAGCTGCAAATGTGGTCGACCAGACAATTGGATCAATAAGAACAGTAGGCTGCGCATTCATGCATGCATCTCGTCGTCCTTGATGCATAATATATATGTTCCTAGCTAGCTAGAACGTGCAGTAAGTAGATATCTGCATAATATGCTGTAATTTGCAGGTTACATCATTTACTGGGGAGAAGCAGGCCATAGAAAACTACAATAAGCATCTCGTTGATGCTTACAAATCCGGTGTCAATGAAGGCTTGGTTACTGGATTAGCTCAAGGGATGTTTATTTTGATTATGTTCTGTACCTACTCTATGGCCATATGGTTTGGTGGGAAGATGGTTCTGGAGAAAGGGTACAGTGGGGGTGAAGTAATTAGTGTCTTAAATGCTATCTTGACCGGTTCAATGTGAGTGCTATTGTTTCTAATTCTGGATTAGTGCCGTTTTTAATCCCTTTATTACACATCTAACGTTAACATGCACTGTTTCAGTTCAATTGGGCAAATTTCCCCTTGCTTGAGTGCTTTTGCAGTAGGTCAAGTAGCAGCATATAAGATGTTCGAAACCATAAAAAGGAAGCCAGAGATTGATGCTTATGATTCAAAGGGGAAGGTGTTTGAAGACATAAGTGGAGATATAGAGTTCAAACATGTGTGCTTCAGTTATCCAGCAAGACCAGACGAGCAGATATTCAATGGGTTCTCTGTTTCTATTAAAAGTGGAACGACTGCAGCTCTGGTGGGCCAAAGTGGGAGTGGGAAGTCGACTGTGATTAGTTTGATAGAGAGGTTTTATGACCCACAAGCTGGTGAAGTTCTCATAGATGGGATTAACCTGAAACAGTTTCAGCTCAAGTGGATCAGAGGGAAAATTGGGCTTGTTAGCCAAGAGCCTACACTGTTCACATCAAGCATTAAGGACAACATAGCTTATGGGAAAGAAGGTGCATCCATTGAAGAGATAAGAGCTGCTTCTCAACTAGCAAATGCTGCTAAATTCATCGACAAGCTACCTCAGGTTTGTATATAAAAATTCAAATGATTCCTTATTAGATAACGGTTTCCCATTTGTGCTGTTGTTTCTTCTCTTCTACGACCAGGGATCCGGACCATATGTCTGAGGCTACCAGATTCCTGATCCGAAATATGCGACGACAAACACTCTTGTCGTGTCCCGAGATGTTAGACTATGAGAATTGACCTCGGAAGTATTACTTTTTTTTTTGGCATTGCCATACAGGGACTAGATACTATGGTGGGTGAGCATGGAACTCAGTTGTCTGGTGGGCAGAAGCAGAGAATTGCAATAGCAAGGGCAATTTTGAAGAACCCAAGAATCTTGCTTCTCGATGAAGCAACAAGTGCACTTGATATAGAGTCTGAAAAGGTCGTTCAGGAGGCATTAGACAGGATCATGGTGAATCGAACAACCTTGATTGTCGCTCATCGTTTGAGCACTGTTGAAAATGCTGATATGATTGCGGTCATCCACCATGGGAGATTGGTTGAAAAAGGTATGTCTTGCACGTACACCTGAATCAATCAAACGTAGATTTGGTCCCTCTTCTTCATCCATTTCTGCGCTCCTTGTCTGTCCAATTGCATGCAGGTTCTCACACTGAGCTACTCAGCGTTTCTAATGGAGCATACTCTCAACTCATACGTTTACAAGAGTTAAAACAAGAACCTCTAAAGGACCACAAGAAACCAGAAACCCTTAAGGATCGTCACCTTAGCCACTCATCCTCATCAGTCTCATTAGAAGATATGAGCAATACAAATCATAGCCATGAAACCATACAAGCTTCTCCAACGACAAAACATGTTTCTCCAACCATCTCCATCAAGCGACTTGCACATCTCAACAAGCCAGAGCTCCCAGTGGTTCTGGCTGCAACTATTGCAGCTGCATTACATGGCGTTGTGCTTCCAATTTTCAGCCTCTTTATGGCACGAGCATTGAAATCCTTCTACGAGCCACCACACGTGCTGAGACAGGATACCAAGTTCTGGGCCTCCACTGTCTTATCCCTTGGCTTCGCATCCTTGCTGGTGTTTCCATCACATACATACCTGTTCAGTGTCGCCGGGTGCAGACTGATACAGCGGATCAGGTCAATCTGTTTCGAAAAAGTGGTTCACATGGAGGTCGGTTGGTTCGACGAGCCCAAGAACTCGACCGCCATCATTGGTGCTAGACTCTCGGCAGACGCGACAATGGTCCGATCCGTGGTTGGTGACAAGCTCAGCATGGCTGTACAAACCGCTGCTTCTGTGGTCGCTGGTTTGGTGGTCGCCTTTAGCGCGAGCTGGCAGTTGGCCTTCATTGTGCTTGCTTTAGTTCCTTTAATAGGTATCAATTGGTTCGTACAAGTCCAATTCTTCAAAGGGTTCAGCGGCAACGCAAAGGTGATGTATGAAGAGGCAAGCCAAGTGGCGAGTGATGGGATTGGGAGCATAAGGACAGTGGCGTCTTTCTGTGGAGAAGAGAAGGTGGTTGAGTTGTATAGAGAGAAATGCAAAGGCCCCATCGAGGCAGGGATCAGGCAGGGTTTGATTAGTGGGATTGGATTCGGGGTGTCCAACTTCTTGTTGTTTGCTTTCTATGCAATCAGCTTTTACGCTAGTGCTGGCCTTGTGAACCGTCAGAAAGCCTCATTTCGTGACGTTTTCCAGGTCTGTACATAAAATTGGTTCATATGACTTTCTCAAACTTCACTCAATGCTCGTTGTGCTACGCATACTCTAATAGTTTACATGCTAAACGTTTCTTAATCAGCAAGTTGATTGCTTTGATTGCAGATCTTCTATGCGCTTAACTTCATGGCCATTGCAGTTTCTCAAATGAGCACTTTTGGGGCTGATTGGTCCAAGGCCCGAACTGCAGCTGCTTCCATTTTCGAGATCATAGACAGGAGACCGAAAGTGGATCCAAGTGAACAGTCAGGAGCGACATTAGGCATTGTCAAAGGAGACATCGAACTCAGGCACATACATTTCAGCTATCCATCGAGACCAGGCGTTGAGATTTTCAGAGACCTCAGCTTGGCTATCCATTCTAACAAGACTGTTGCTCTAGTGGGAGAGAGTGGGAGTGGGAAGTCCACAGTCATTGCTTTGCTGCAGAGATTCTACGATCCAGATTCAGGTAGCATAACTCTCGATGGAGTGGATATCCAGACCCTTCGAGTCAAGTGGCTGAGACAACAGATGGGGCTTGTCAGCCAAGAACCTGTCTTGTTCAACGACACTGTTCGCGCCAACATCGCGTATGGGAAGCAAGGAAATGCTACGGAGTCTGAAATCCTGTCAGCGTCAGGACTAGCAAATGCACATAATTTCATCAGTAGTCTGCAACAGGTATCCATAGAATTGAAAGTATTGTCCATTTATGTTTGTCACTACTTACGCTAACAATTGGCCATACATATGTATTGATGTGGGAGTCAGGGATACGACACGATCGTCGGAGAGCGCGGCATTCAGCTATCCGGAGGCCAAAAGCAACGGGTGGCCATTGCTCGAGCCATGGTGAAAGACCCAAAGATACTGCTTCTGGACGAGGCGACTAGCGCATTGGATGCAGAATCGGAAAAGGTGGTTCAAGACGCGCTGGAGAGAGTGATGGTGAACAGAACCACGGTGGTCGTGGCTCATCGGCTGTCCACGATCAAGAACGCCGATCTAATCGTAGTTGTGAAAAATGGGGCAGTTGTGGAGAAAGGAAGGCATGAAAGTTTGATGGCAATCAAAGATGGATTCTATGCTTCTCTAATCTCACTTCACACTGGTAATAATACCTTTAAAGTACTTTATATGAAATTCACTGATGCAAGAGTTCTTGATTTAGAGCTTACTTTACAACATTCTGAAACCATTGAGAAAAAGCACATCATGATATTGAAGTACACAATTTTCATGGCATGCATGAGTAGCTGCTTAAATTAAATCCCACAGTAGAGTTTAACCATGTTGGCCTCATTCTTATCAGGGACTGTACTCGAGGCGTAGAAGTCGAGGAAGTCCTGATTGAGGAATGGCTTGTACCGCAACGGGTGCTCTTCATCGACAAGTTCCTCAGGTGCTTCAATAATCCCCGTCACGAATGTAAACAACCCTACAACGTATCTCGTCTCGTCGCCGTCGATGAACGACCGATGGTAGCACGATTGGATCCTGTCATTGCTCCATGCCTTGTAACAAAATAATTGACAAACGTACATCAATTTTTATACGAAGGATGCATTAAAATGTTGCTCTGGTAACTTAAATGGAAAAAAAGGATGAAGAAGAAGTAGAATAACCATGAGGATATCGCCGGCTAAGACGGCGAAGGAGGAGGGTGAGGAAGGGCGGTAAGGAATCCATTGACCGTCCCTGGACCGGACCTCAAGCCCATGAACGTGGTTCTGGTGGAGAACGGTGATGAAGGACTTGTCGATGTGGGCCTTGAGTCCAATATTGGTCTCCACCGTTGGGCTTCTTTCGTACCTCAGAAGTCGCAGGAGATAGGTGGTGGAGTTGGCGACTGCCTCCTCCTTGTCCTTGCTTATCCCATAGCTTTCCACCATCATCTTCACCACCAGTTTCTGTACCTCCGCCATCATTAACCCGTAACGGTGCACCACCTCACTGTGAAAGCAAATCGTAGCAGAACAGGAGAAATTAAGGAAGGGGCCGCGTTGTGACAAAATCACACAAAAAGAAAGTGGTATAACATTCATATATGAGCTTCACGACATTGAAGTTGGTTTGACTGAGAGGTGGTAATTTAGCACTCGGTTATCTGACTATAGTCAAATCTTTTGTGATTTTCGCGTAGACTTTTGAGATTTTAGAAACGACAAACCGTCGATTTTGTAATGAAAAATGTCGTTTGCTGCACCAAATGGATCATTTTCCGATTTTTTTCCAAACTTCGGACAATCGCAATTTCGTTCTCGCTTATCCGCGTTCAACGCAAAGTTATGCAAAATAATAATAATAAAAATTCGTCATGAACGAAGAATCTAACACAAAGTTAGGACTGTTAGATGTTTCGACCTAGATTAGGTACAGATCAAGTAGAGTACTCATCAATTTTGGTGGCTAGATCGCTATATTAGTGGTTTACTCTTGTCTCTAGCGATCCACCTAGGTTTAAGGTTGGTTGGCTTCGGTCAGTCGCGGTCCACTATGATTCACTCCCTAGTACTCCAGCAAACCACTGCCCATATCACGAAACACTTTAGCAAACTGCGTCAAACTCTAATTTTGTGATAATTTTTTTGTGAAGTATGTTATTGTGAGAATTTTTTTTATAGTGTAAATCAGAAATTTTCCCTAAAACTCCATATTTTAGACACATCAAAGTCAATCATAAAACAGAAGGGGAGAAAGAAAGAAAGAAAGAAACACAAAGTAAGTAGATTGTGGTGAAACCTGAAATGGGGATTGCCTTGAGGCCACATAAGGTTAGTGAACGCCTCACACGCTGCCTTGTCGGTCACGCCATCGAGCCCCAGCCCTTCGAAATTCGGCAGCACCGAGTTCTTCCCGGAGTAGCCTTGAGCCAGCCTGGGGCTCTTGTTCCTCATCTTGGTCTCCCGAGGAAGGCTGAACAGCTCTTCCATGGCGCCGTGGACCGAGCCGTGAACCTCCTCCGTCGGCTCGACGACGTCGTACACCAGCTCGAACCACCCGTACTCCTCCAGAGCCAGCCTCGTGGCTCTGCAGGCTGATGTCCAGTCAGCACCTTGCTCCGTCAGCGCGTCTCCACGTAGGCTGATGACCGGGATTCTGGGAACCACGCTGGCTGTAGAACCCATGATCGATCTATGGAAAGCTAGCTGGCTCTCTGTAGGTAATGTTTGTGCTGGCCGTGGTTTTTGAAAGGGAAGTAAGAGGGTTGGCTACTTGGCTAGAGGCTAAAATAGAAGGGGATTCATATGCTCTGCCAAAACTGCTGCGCTCCAGAACGCCAATTATTGTGGGTTTAGAAAAATGATCAAATTGGTCGTCCAGTTCGCTTTCTGGTTTGTTTGCTACTTGAGGCTTCTAGAAAGGGAATAATTTGGAATGATTGTGTGATATAATATATATGCTTTGAGATGGGTTGATTCTAAGAGGAATTAGTAATCTTATACTGTTTTGAGGCGGAATTCAACACTCACTTTCTCTTCAACCAGATTTCGACCACCCCTAATTAACAAAGCACCGTTTTACTTAATTTGAACTCCAAGAAGGGGACTCAAACATTTAGGTTTCGACTAGATCGGATGTCTCGTACTTTTTGAAGGATAACAATACGAGAGAGCCGGGTTGAACCATCTAGAATGACATAAGTCACATGTAGGATCCCAGCACGTACAGTTTTTAAGGAGGAGCTGATTGAAAAAATTAATAAGAAATTAAAATTTGTTCAGAAAAGTAGTCGAAATAGATGACAATGTCTTTTTATAGTATTCTTCCTTATTAGAAAGACCATCTTTCTCCTGTGGCCGACCAAGAAAAAAAAAAGGGACAATAACACTTGCCGCACATACTCTGTTTCTGTCTCTAGAAATCTCCAACAATCAGTCGCTTCCCATCTAGTCATCATACGCGCCTATTCGATTAGAGAAATCGAAAACTTAATAGAGAACAAAATTTAGCTCCAATCTTTACCAGATTCTAATATCATTCTGAGAGACGTTATCATTTATAATGAAAAGTGCCAAGAAATCATTTCATTACTTATTTTATTTTTAACAAATTGTTCAAAATTATAACCAATGATTGTAAAACCGTATCGAATGTTGTATCAAAAAAGTCAATAACAGAACAATTTATACCAGCCATCATTTTAATCATTGATTCAACCCTTTTGTATTCCTAAATCTCTCCTCTACCGATTTAGCTTCTAATATGAATTTTTTTTTTTTCGAACCATCAGTACGGTTTTTCAATATCTTTCCCTCAAAGAAGTAATGGCCTTCAACTTCCCACCTACATAAACAAGCAACCATGCAGCCCTCTCCATGATTAATCACTCTTCTCTCCGTTTGCGTGCAAAGCCACATCTCATTAGGGATGACAATTTCGACCTGACCCGTTTTATCCGACCTGTTTGACCTGTTTTGGGGCGGGCCGACCCGCCCTGTAGGCGGGGCGGGGCGGGCATGGGTAGTCTCATCGACCCGACCTGCCCTGACCCGCCCCATTCTCGACCCGTTCTTGTCTAAATTACATGTAATCTTAGTCAAATTACTTTGAATTTTCCTTTTATTGCATCATATTTTAGCTATAATAAAGTTGTAAATTAGTGAAAATCTCAATTTCTCCAATAATTTAACTACAATTGTCATAATATTGTTTGTTTTCTTAGTCTTATAATAAAAATAATGAATATTTCTAATGTTTTTCATATAAATTGCATCCCCATTGGGCCGACCTGCCCCGACCCGCGACCCGTAATCAATTACCCGACCTGGACCCGCCTTGTCACGGGGCGGGTCTTGGTATCAAGAAACCCGCCCGGACCTGCCCCTTGCCATTCCTACATCCCATATGTCCCCTCCAACTTCACACATAGCCCATACCATAAACACTGTGCCAAAGGGCCAGAGAGGCTGATAACAAACCATGTTCTTTCTCCCACCGAAGGCAGCCGTAATCTTATCCACCTCGGTCGCCGCCGCCGCGGTGGCCGTGATGGGAACCATGTTACTAAAAACTCACCATGACCACAACCTCCATCTCTCTTCTTCTCCGCCACCGCTGCTGCTCACCTTCCTCCTCCACAGCAGCTCCGACGCCCTGTCCTCGTGGCTCACGCCCCCTTTTCTCTACCTCCTGGTCAACGCCATCATCATCTCCATCCTCGCTTCCTCCAAGCTCCAGTACTCCAAGACCGCCGCTTCTTCTAGCCCTGCTGCTGATGACGTGTCATTATCAGGGTACGGTGGCTTCTCGGAGACCGAGGTGATGAGTAGGAGTAGTGATCTTGCGGAAGGGGGTCAGCTAGAAGAGCCGCCGGTGGATGGTCAGAAGGCCACGGAGAGAGAGGAGGATCATGCACCGGCGTCGTCGGTCGTACCGCATGGCGGTTGGGATGACCGCCACCGTCGTGACATGGCCGCCGCCACCGCGGATGATGAGTACTCCGGTGGCGGCGGTCTTACGAGAGAAGAGGATAGAGAAGCCAAGCCTCCGGTTTCCTCCACGTTTGTACCCCGGAAATCTGCACCACCACCCAACGGATCAGCTACCAGCTTTAGTCATCGGTCCAAAGGTAAGTATCACCGTACGTTGTGACGAAATGGTACCAACTTTTAAGTTATTGCCATGACTGAATTTCCGGGATTATGATGGAAAACGTTTTTTTTTTTTTTTCAGGCGGCAGCGGTAGTAAGGCGGCGGCGGCGGGATTGGGGATATCGAAGTCGGGGAGGCGGGACGAGACGCTGGAGAGCACGTGGAAGATGATAACGGAAGGGCGCCGCGTGCCGTTAACTCGACACCTCAAGAAATCGGACACGTGGAACACGGGACACGTGGCGGCCCCGTCGTCGTCGGCGGGGAAGGTGATGAAGAAATCCGAGACGTTTAGAGATGCCGGGAAAAGTGGTGGGAGGAAGAATGAGATGGGTGCAACGACGTCGGATACGGTTGGGAGAAGAGCAGCGAAGAAGAGGGAGCCGTCGCTGGGCCAGGAGGAGCTGAACCGGCGGGTGGAGGCGTTCATCAAAAACTTCAACGAGGAGATGCGGCTGCAGCGGCAGGAGTCCCTCAATCGCTACAGAGAGTTGCTCCGGGCCGGAGGAGTCGTTTCGTTTTGAGTTCACCGGAGGAGGATTCTGAATTATGGTTATAGACTAGTTATAGTTAGTAGACGTGTAGTCTTTCTCAAACCAAACGGAATTGAGATTATCCCTCCCTGCTTAAATTACCCGATAAAAAATAAAGATTGTAAATCTTTATCTACGGTAAAAATTAGCAATATTTTATTTTACGTTGAAATCATATTTGATCGTGATTCAATTAGTTATTGAGTTAGTTATTGAGGAATTTTACATAGTATTGGTGCTATAAGTTTTTATTTTTATAGTACAACTTGAAATTATAAAGGTAAAACTTCATATTGTATCTATACTTTTTGTACAGATTCTTGTATGGTATAACTTAAACTTGTATTTTATGTGATGGTATAACTTCAAATTGTAAAATTGTACCATGACATAATGATACAAATTCCTTTATGGTACAATCTAAACTTATACCTTTAATGTTATGGTACAACTTCAAGTTGTACATTAAAGCACCAATAATATATAACATAGTAAAAGTGCTCTTAGTTAATAATATATACATTTACAACTTCAAGTTGTATATTAAAGCACCAATAATTGTATAACATAGTAGAAGTGCTCTTAGTTAATGATCGCTAAAACTGTCTAGCGACACAAACTTTGCTAGAAGATACTCCGATCGGACCATCAATACAGACTAGTGCAAACACACATAAAAAAAAAGTACGCCAACTCCTGAACCATTGCTGGATAATCGCACTTACTACTTCCCACATGGGCAATAAATGAAATGGATGTGACCGAACCAGAACAGGAAGTCATACCTCTTAATTCTCTTCAGTTGGGTTTCTGCCTGTAACCGGAAAATGTTACCATCTGTCTTCCAGGGCAGAAAGCAAACCTGGCAAAGATGGAATTGATTCTTGTGCTGCAGCCTGCAAACCGCCACTTTTTCCCCCTTATGTCATGGACTCATCTCTTACGTTTGCCGATGACCTTATCTTATCTGGTTCGGCGTTGCCTCCTCTACGCATCCCAACAGCATTATGGGTGGCACCGTGACAGTCCACGTAGATCCTTCTCCCTCCCCAACCAGCGGCCCCTTAATTCTGTGACCAAAATTACTGGCTATTTTGATACTCCATCCAAAACCTGCATGGCTGCCGGCAGTTCTGTTCTGTCTTCAGGTTCAGTCAGAAAATATCAAGGAGGCAAGGACCCAAGAGGTCCACTATCATTAGTTCTTGAACATGCTTCTGTCATTGCAATTAATTCATGATATGGAAAATTAGGGCAATGCAATTAAGAGGGTTAGATATGAAAATGATGTTTGATGGATAAATATGTTACCAGCTTCATCCTGCTTTCGCATAACCAGATGGCAGGAAACAGCTGAAAGTAAAAAAGGAAAATACCGTGCTATTTTATAACCTTAAAGCTCCTGTCGTGGGGTATTCTGTACTCCTACATTTACATTGAAACTGGGAAGAGCCTATCCAAGAAAGTGTATACTCCCCCTCCTAACAGCAGCGCTCCGCTGCAAAGCAAAACGGATTCCGACCTTCGAATTTAAGCAAGTACATTCCATTTTTCAAAAGTTGACTTTCAGAACTGCTTCTAAGTGATGAATGGGTTGCCTACCTGGTGGGGTTGATCCAAGCTGAGAACTTCCGGAATGACAGCAGACTCTGCAAAATGCTTTGGAGGTCAATGCTGGATAAGATGTAAAAAGGAAAGTGATACACTGCTGAGCATAATTAGACCTCGGCATGCTCGGTTAAAGAAAATGTACAAGATGTTTAATACCAAAAAACTGATGGAGGAAGGGTTCACTGATCTACAGTGGCAAAATGATACAACAATGATCTGGATAAAGTTTGAAAGAAACCTGCAACGCTCCAGCAAAAGAAGCAGCAAGAAGAAGTGGAGCAACATAGCCAGTTGTATATGTCAAAAGCAGGTTGCCCCCAACTACTGGATCCTGCGTGAAAATTTAGCTTATCAGTTGTATTCAGAGCATATCACTGAAATGCAAAGCAGGCTGAAATATTTTCACGATGAATGGCCTATGGAAAGCTAGATTAATACTAGACAGACTCATTAGCTCATTGATGTGGGTTATCTTCCTTTCTTTTCACTCGGCTTGTTTACTTTCTTCCTACACATCTGAGTGTTCACATGATATCATCCACCAAGATTACAGTCCAATTAATGAGCAACCAGAGGTAATATTCATTGTTCAAACTGAATCAAACTAAGATTACAGTCCTATTGTCACTTACAAGCAAACCTCACTATGTAAAATCCTAGCAACAAGGAAAATGTGACAAATCTTTACCTCTGCTCTGCTTTTCCCAGAGCCAAATGCACCTGTATGATCCATAAAAATAAAAACCCAGCATCAGAATCACCAAGTGAACCAGCACTATCATGGCATTAACTGGAAGTAAGTAAATCACTTTCCGAATGTTATGAACTAGTACATGCTTCTTACCAATGTAACCAAGCGTCAATGGAAGAGCACTAAGTGTACAAGGTGAAAAGCTAGTTACAAGTCCTGCCCCAAAAATAACAGCCAAACAGTAAAGCAGGTCAGCTGGCAACCAATGCAAAGACGAAAATCCATGAACACAGCACAAAACACCAAAAAAAAAATAGTGTGAAGGAAGATAGAAATGAAATGGTCAATGTGGAAACACCTAGTGAAGCTAAGTGCTGATAAATTGGTTCTGAACAGCCTCGTTAGCCTGTTGATTAGCAGAATATAGGAATCCTCCAAACCAGTCCCCGACGCTTCCATCAGCTACAGTGTAAAGGAACGCAGCATCTTCCTGACTCAATAACAAACATCATTAATACAAATTAGAAGACGCTCGCGCACATGAACATAAGCTACCGAATCAGCAAGATTGTACAACCCTACTGAGACTCTATAAACAAACACATATATCAGTAGATTTAGCAGTTTAGTTCCAGATGGATAAGGCAACTCCAACAATGCCAAAATATTCTAGGCATCTTCTAATCGAAAATTATGAGTGTTTGATTCAGCACCAGAACACACCAGAGACTCTTACCAGTAATTTGTCTGAGGACACAGCCTTGGCATTTCCCGTTGCAACCAAATTTGCAACTGATGAAGAATTCAGGAAAAGAAAGAATAATTTACAGCAAGTGATTGTGAAATGAACAAGGAAACACTTGAATTTCAAAAAATATACTGCAATGGAGCTCGCAATCGCTTTCTCCCGAAAGCTACTTATATTACAGGCATTCTTCAACATCAACACAACGTTGCGGCAGCGAGCACGCTCATCTCCAGATGAACCTCCACTCAATTTGAGGTCGACCTTTCGCTTCCCTATCAGAAAGAAATTCAATCTCGACTTCCAACTCGCGTAACAAAGATTGATACCTCAGAGAAGCTTAAACCACTCACCTCGATTGAGTTTCTCGTCGACGGCAATCCACCGACTCACACATTGGTTTATGAGCAAGCTCATCTTGCAGAAGCACCTGAGAGCAGCCAACGCACTTCGCCTTCGCGTTTGGTTTCTGAAAAACTCTAAAGTGGGAAACTGAAACCAAACGATGTCGTTTCAAGGCTTGATGTTAATAATTAATGAATCAGCGACTTGCATTGTGGAGACGACGTGTCGTTTCGTTGGTGCACAGCCAAAACGCATAGAAGAACCCCAAGAGACGACGAAGATGCGTCGATTCCATTTCCAGGCAAGGGAGAGCCATGGCGCAGGTCCTTAACCTAAATCCTCTCCGTTCTTCGTCGGCTGCTCCGACGGAATCGAGCGGCCTCCATCTCCGAGGCATAGCCGGGAAGCGGAGCTGGAATCAATTTCAGAGGGAGCTCAAATGCAACGGCAAGTTCACTTGCCTGTTCTCCAGCGGCGGGCGAGAAGAGCAGGCGAAGAAAGCATTGGAAAGCGCGCTGGGAGGGAAGAAGAGCGAGTTCGAGAAATGGGATAAGGAAATCAAGAAGAGAGAGGAAGCTAGAACCAGCGCAGGAGGAGGGGATTCCGGTGGCGGCGGTTGGTTTGGCTCGGGCGGACCATTCGGATGGTCCGGCGGCGACAATTTCTGGCCCGAAGCTCAGCAAACCAGTCTAGCCTTGTTGGGAATTCTGGGCATCTACCTTTTGGTCGCCAAAGGGGACTTGATGCTTGCCACCGTCTGCAACCCTGTGCTCCGCACTCTCAGAGGAGCCAGAGATGGGTTGACTTTGGTTTCGTCGAAATTCTCCGGCGTGGGCGGTGGTTATGCTGCTGTCGGTGAACCCTCGAGCGAAGAAGCTCACAACAATGTCGTCGTCTCCGCCAAGGAGAGAGTGTTGAGAAAATGGGGAAGCGATTGAAAATTGAAGCTTTTGCCAGTTTTACATGTTAGTTTCTGCAATTGAACTGCGATTTGAAGTTTTCCCTTTTCCCATCAACAAGTGAAGAAATTGGGCCTGTGCTAACATTGTCTCATTGTTCTTCCTTGAATCTAGATGCACTGACATCTTATTGGATTCCCATATTCGAGTAGAACGTATGAATTCCAAAAGAATCAAAATTCCTGTCCCATTTTCTGACTTCTGAGGACTGGTTGCTTGTCAAATTCCTGCCGTAATGTAAGATCTGTGTGAAAATGGCCTATACTTGATTTCGCAAACGCGTTCATAGGGGATAGGAAACTACAGATATGTTGAGAAGCTGAACTAAATTGAATATGGAAGATGCTGATTCCTGATACATTCCAATATATGTATTGATCTATACTGCTACTACTACTTAGTCATAGAGCTGTTTGGCAGATTGAGTTCTTTGCTTCTTGTTCTCGAACTTGACAACTTTCTCAAAGGACTGCTCCGTCTTGGAGATGGCCTTTTCCAGGGCTTTCTTCTTGCGAACGTTCTTCGATCTCTTCATCGGTCTTCCCTTCTGCATTCTGTTCCGGACGAACAGCACAACCATGGACACATGTGAGCTAAACATACAATACTAAGCTGCCTTCAAATGTTCATATCCTAACAAATGTTCAGTTCCAGCAACAAACAGCAATGCTTGGCCTACTGATGCAACTTGAGACAACACAAATTCCAGCAAAACTATAGCTAAATTTGTGCCAAACCAATAACCGAGACAACAGCTTGGTGAAAGACTAGCTTAAGTTTTAGCAACATGGTCTCATGCTCTCTAAAAGAAACTACTTTCTGTCACTGGAAACGAGTACGAGCCATGAGTAGATTCACCGATAACAAAGAGATGAAATTGCTTGTTGATATATAGTGTAATAGAAAGAAAACTAACCTATTGAGACCACCGGAGGCGGGTCTGGAAACTCCAGGCTCCGACGTGTCCATCGCTGCAATGTTTCACGATTTTCCCAGAAACAGTCAATTTTCAAGTTGGAATACCGGCGGTGATAAGGAACAAAAGAAAGAGTTGAACTGGTTCTTCAAATTATGATGGTGAATCAATATAAGTCCCAATCAACAACCAAGACGACTCGGAGACTGAACCGGAGATACGGATGGAAAGAGGGTAGCTACTACCTTGAGCAGAATCCGAGATAGTAAGTTCCGTTGTGTCCATGGAATCAGCGCCAGCCTTCTTCTTCTTGTTCCTGTTCTTCGCCATGGCTGAAAGAGCTGCCGTGTGGAGTTTGCAGCAGAGCTCGACGGTTGATGATGGAGACTGGAGAGGGATCAAAAAACTTGAACCCTAAGCATATGCAAGTAACCGTAGCGTGGATCTATTTGTGGCCTGATAAGGATGGGCCTGGATATTTGGGCTCAGCCCATGAACTAAGATTTGGAAGTTTCCCTTCTTTTTTCTTTTTCCGTTTTTTTTATGTGGTCTCGCATATATAATTTCAGTATTATCATTATACACTTCTTGACCAACAAGAACATCTGTTTTTGTATAACACCAAATAAATCCATTATAAAAATGACTAACAACTATCAAATAGGATCTCACATTGGCAAGAATACTTACAAGATACTTGACAAAGGCAGCAAAAATATAACATCCTAATATTTTTATTCGCCACTCTCTATAATCCATCATTCATAGTGCAAATGCAATATTTTCTTTATAATTTTTTTTTTATCAAACAACTTTTAAAAACAAAAATATACCATAATTAATTACCATTACAAAACCAAATTTTATAATAAAACCCCTCTAATTATAAAACCTGTTCTGATAACGGAATTAAGCCCCGCATCTGTATTTCGGCGTGCATCTCCCTCGCTTTGTCCCTGTTCATCGTGGAGCTGTCGTGACTGCCATCTTCATCACTGGATCTAACTCTCTGAAGCGCCTGGATTTTCTTCCAAGTGAACCCTGATCCGACGCTAATAAAGCAGCCATTTCAGTCCACAAAGTACTTCCTCCGGACACCGACGTACGGAGAGGGACTTCGGCACGCTTTTCTCTTACCAGGTTCTTTGCTCTCCCTGTCACGGAATACCCTTTTATCATGTCCGTGCTGCTTTTATCTTTCTTCACTGCGACGACTGTTATTGCCGGATTCTCGCTTTTCTTGGATTTCATTTATTTGTGGGCTTTCCCCATTATTGTGGATGCCGAGATTGGTGGTTAAGCTGAGTACGGTATGCGTGAGATAGAGAGGTTTTGGTTCAGGTATCAGTTACCCAATCTGTGCGGTTGGAATAGCTTGGCGGCAGCTTTTGCTCAGTGCCTCCAATAGCATTTTATCGTTACGGTAAAGAGTGCGATTAGCTACTGCAAATTTGTCAGTATTTGTTTTTGTTGGATGTGTTGTCCGTATTCAGTTGTTGGTTGACGATTTCCTTGCTCCTTGAAGTGTCTCTCCATTTTTAACTTGATTGTTATGGAAGGTAGATTGTGCTTTATTGGCGCTCTTTTCCTTTCCTTCCTGTCAAATTTTCTGGTTTTTGGCTTGGCTTTGCTTCCAACTGCTGATCTGCAGAACCAATTTTTCTGCTCAAGTGGTAACTGAACTTGGGTTGTTTCAGTATCTGAGAATGCTTTTGCACCAATAGAGATAGGAGATTATGTTTTTGGCATTAGTTTGTGTTTATTGTGTGGGCAACAAAAGTATAATTGTTAAAGTTTCAGCCTTTTGGAGATGGTGAATAAATGAACAGAAACAGACAACTGAATATAATGGAATGTATTCACAATGTTCTTCACAACCCATCTTCTTCTTCTTCCTTATTTATTTTAGGGATGTGAGTTACTGGTTTCTTAGGACTATCATTACCACTTGTAGAAATCCAAACCTTCATTTCTTAAACAATAGTTGAAGTGATTTTGATAGGTTTATTTCTTCTTAGCTCTGCTGCACTATCATATTCGCTTGAGATATTGCCAGCTTAATTCCCATGGTTTCATAGTTTACAGGACTATGTCCTGCACTCCTGCTACATGTATTGATTCCATTCTCAGATGTTGTAATGAAGTAAAAAGCCTACATCATGGTCTACACACTGGATCACAAATCCTCCCTTTGTTTTAGCAATAGCAGACAGCAGTCAAGTTCTTAGTGCACCTGGCTGATCTGTTCAAACATTCTCCATTTTCATTATATAAGGTGATAGTACATATCAAAATGTTTGTTCTTTTGGAGAATTTGGGTGGAACAAGGCCATCCCTGTTTTATAGTTAAGAACCATGTTGCACTGTGCTTGTCTCTAGATTGTACTGAGAATTGCTTCCACCATTGAGAACGGTGTTCACTGTTCCTTATTCTGTTTTGTCATTCTTCATCTTTTATTTTATTTTAATTTATTTGATCCTGATCCTTATTCTGTTTTCTGTTTCTTCCCCCTTGCTTGCAGCTGAAGCTCCTGGATAAAAGAGCTACTACACATATGATAGAATTCTACGGAATGATTTTCCAGTTATGAATAGCCATTTAACACTTGGACGTCTGAGATTCATGAATGCGTAAGGGTTGGTGCCCTTGCAATAATCAGGCATGAAAGTAACAAGTTTCTATAAGTGGAAGGGGATTCACGTTTCGGTTTCCCTGCTTGCTGTTGTTCTTACGGCAGTTATTCTATGGACATGGGAAGAGAATCCCTTCGTTACTACTCTGCAGTCAGCACAAGAGCAGTTTAGAGTAATCTCTTCAGGTATGCTTCTCTATCTCTTTTTTTCTTGTCAAGGTAAACCAGCATAGTAAAAACTATGTTTTTTTATAAAACTTTAACTGGTGCTACTGAATTTGCTAGACGCTTGTGTGCTGGGTGTGATTGCACTTAAAAAATGTACTACTATACTCTCAAAAGATTCCAATGCAACAAAATATGAATAAAAACCACAGATCTAGATTTACTACATTTGTCACTTGGACTAAGTAAAATAATGATTTTATAAAGGAACAAATTTTTCATGTCTATGTGTATGATAATAATAATTAACATATTTGATTTGGATTTGAAAATATTATATTTAGTGCAGGGTTAGAGTGAATAGAAGAAAATAATTCAGATATACCTTGACCTGACATTGAGTATCCTAGAATCATATGATTTCGAAGTCGAAGTTAGGATTTTAACTACCTTGTCCTTGGATCAAACAGACGAGGAACCTTTTTGGCACTACATGGTTCATCTGTTGGGCTTTTTGGCATTTATCACCTTGACTTTTGCTACAGTTGCTAACTTCATGTAGGTTTTCTCTTGTTCTGATGCTCAGGTAACATAGTTAATGGGCCTAGTGATGCATCTCATTCAGGTTCATCTGTGAATTTTACCAACCCATCAGCTCGTGGAACTCAGAACAATGGTAGAAATATTGTACCCTCTTCGAAGCTGAAAGGTAAAGTATCTACGGGGCTTTGTTTTACTTTTAGGGCTTTCTAGTTTTCGATTGTGTCCTTGATGAACTTTTCTCAGTTGTGGCTTACCAAGTTACCATGTAATAAGAAGACCTTGATGATAACCAGATAAAGCTTGCTTTTTTGAAGCTTCTGTCTTCGCATAAGAAGTTTATATTATTAGCCTTCCTATATCTCTTTGATGGATAATGAATATTTCCTTACAAATAGGCTAAAAGGTTTTCAGTTTATGGCTTAAAAATTCCGAGATCTTCCCTTAGATATCCTCTACATTCTACTCCTTTCAATATTTTCTGAAGATGATGCTAACAATCAAGAGTAACCTGAAAGTATTCTTTTGCCAACCTTGTGCAACTGGTTATTGTTGAATCTTTTGTTCATACATGAGAAGAAAAAGGTATACTAAGATGTCCACGGTGAAATCGAGTGTATGAATGTTATTCCTTGTTTCTGTCTGTATAAAAACTTACATTGCTCTCGTTATTTGATGTTGATACTATATAATTGGTTTTTCCTTTACACAAGTATATTTCCTTCAAACATTCACCATCTAGCTACCCATTATGTTTGTGTGCTTCCCTTTTCCTTCTTACCTTTCTCTCATTGCTCCTCTTCTTCTTTGTTACACTTTGCAGACTGCAATTATGCTAAGGGTAGATGGATTGCAGACAACAATAGACCTTTATATTCCGGGTTCCAATGTAAACAATGGTTGTCGGGAATGTGGGCGTGCAGAACTTCTCCTAGAAAAGATTTTTCTTTTGAAGGGTATAGATGGCAGCCAGAAAACTGCAAAACGATGGAGTTTGAGCAATCAGAATTCCTTAAAAGGTGGACTTATATTGCTCTCAGCTTCTGGATTTTGGAGTGAAAATGTATGTTTCTACTAATTCCTACTTGTTCATCCATTCCAGAATGCAGGACAAAACAATCGCCTTCATCGGAGACTCACTGGGCAGACAGCAATTCCAATCATTGATGTGCATGGCATCAGGTGGAGAATGGCGAATGGATGTCGCCGATGTGGGCTATGAATACGGCCTTGTCAAAGCGCCTGGAGCCATCCGCCCGGATGGATGGGCCTACCGCTTCACAAACACCAACACAACCATCTTATACTACTGGTCTGCCAGCCTGGCTGACCTAGTCCCTCTAAACGCTACAGATCGAAAGTCAGACGTCCTGATGCATTTGGACCATCCACCAGCCTTCATGCGACGGTACCTTCACAGATTCGACGTCCTAGTTCTCAACACTGGCCATCACTGGAACCGCGGGAAGCTCAAAGCAAACCGCTGGGTGATGTACATCAACGGGAAGCCACTCGAAGACAAAGGACTCGTGGATTTGCACACCGCCAAGAATCTAACCGTTTGCAGTATCGCCAGGTGGCTCGATCAGCAGCTTCCTTCGCACCCTCGTCGCCTCAAGGTTTTTTTCAGGACCATTTCGCCGAGGCATTACCGTGATGGGGACTGGAACACCGGTGGGAACTGTAATAATACCACTCCCATGACTAGAGGGAGCGAAGTCTCGAAGGACGAATCAAGTGATGCAGTCATTGCCTCTGCTGTTCAAGGGACGAGGATAAAGCTTCTGGATGTTACTGCACTATCTGAGCTGAGAGACGAGGCTCACATATCTAACTACAGCGCGAAGACTACAAACAATGTGAGTGATTGCCTGCACTGGTGCCTGCCTGGCATTCCTGACTCATGGAATGAGCTCTTGGCTGCACAGATATAGAAGGGTCAGGTTCTGATACACTTAATACGTATCGTATACAGTACACTTCACTACACATTATTTCATTTGGACATGAGAGTAGCTTCTGCAAATTGGCGTGGTGAACCACTCACCATTTACAGATTACCTGGGAAAGCAAAACATCTTCGCTGAGATTGTTGTCATTGGCAGTCATTCCCTATTCATCGGTAAGGATTACCCTCAGGACATAAATGAACTTCAGAGGTTGTTTTTCTCATTAACACACGGGGTGACCATTATAGAGAACAACATGGTGTAGTGTATTCAAAGTGAGTAGCAATCAGATTTACTTTTCGTCTGGAAGAGGAGACGATTCAACCTTGAAGTGTGTATGTCTGTAGCACCATTGTCATAGTGTATTATCTTTATCAGAAGGAGATACATCTTCTGATATATAGGGTAAGAAAGACTGACTGGTAGTAACACTGTAGCAAGCGGGCCTTTTCATTGTCTCTTCCCCTTCTTTCTTCTCTTCCTTTCATGGGCTCTGGGAAAGCCTCAATTCTGATGGTCCAAAAGCAAAAAACGGATGACCCTTTTAAGACAAGTTTATCAACGTTGAGGCTGCATTCTTAAAACTAGCGTTAAAAGCAAGAAAAGGCTGCAAGTGCAATGAGACTGCTGCAACTAACCAGACCATCAAAGAAAAAGAAGAGAAGAAATGGCAGCAGCTAGTGGGAGTATCTTTTCAAAGCTGCAAAAGACCAAAGAGCCTTCCTCCTCCACTCCAATGCATTCATTTGATTTGAGAGAGGACAAATGGCAAAGACAAAAGGAATATCAATCACTTTGCCTTCATCATCAAACCCTTCTGCCGACGACTTCCATTAATTAATTTGCTTCTTGCACTTGATGACTTGTAAGGGTTAGTACTTTGAGATATGAAATCAAACGATATACAAATATGCATATAAATTTATAGCCTAGCCTGCCCTACAAAAAATATTCATCATTTCGTCCTACTAATTATAAAATTAGTTATTGTTATCGACGATGAACGCTCCATTAAAATACCGAAAAGGAAAGGAAATAACTTAAAACTTGAAGGCCAGCCTACTAACTAACCCAATTATGTGTTAATCTTGATGTTGTGGAAACAGATGATGGTGGAGATAGTAAAGTACAAAAAGAAAAGGGCAAAAGAGAGGCCAGGTGTAGGGATACATACAGCATCAATAATGGCTAATTAAAACATATCCATTTACAACTGCTGCTGCTGGCCCTTGCTAGTCATCTTCTTTCACATATCACCATCAATCTATCATGTGTGTAAGTTAGTTCTGATACGAAACTGGAACATGTGGGGGTTGATTAGGTACCATGATCATTCTAGGTAAGCCTTCTTTTCCTCTCATATCCAGTAACGTCCATCCACAAGCAATTAAGTACTCGTTATTTGTGATGCGACTTGAATGAGGTGATTTGTTGTTAATGAGGTGATTTGTTGTTGGTGAACCCACGTAAATCCTGGTTGTTCTTTATTTTTTTACTGACTATTGTCTTTCTTGTTATTGTCTATTATCTCAGTCCCGGGAGTCAGGCGCGTGACACTATTATAAGGGCCAGTTTGGGAGCTAGGGTTTCAGTTACAGACCTCGAGTGGAGGGTGGTGGACTCTTGAGCTTGCCCTAGAGTGAGAGCCCGCCATGAATCCTCAGGGGAGGAGGAATTTTGGGTTTGTTCCTTCTGGGCCCTTAAAATTCACTCATCCACCTTGATCCGCCCCGACCATGAGGGTCGGACTGAGTCAGTTTGTTTACAGGGTCAACTTAGGGTTGGTTCAGGGTCAGGTCAATTTAGAGTCGGGTCACATTTTGACCCTGTGACCCTTAGCATCATACAAACACGTTGGACCTATTTGTAAAGTTTTAAAAGTTTAGGTACTAAATTGTAAAAAAATAAATTTTGGTACCAAAATGTAATTTTACCATCAAATTTTTGGGACTTATTTGTAAAAAATAATTAGGTGCTTAAAATGTAAGAAAAATAAATCTCGATACCAAATTGTAATTTTTAGAAAAATAGTGTATTTATTAGGGTCAACCCACTGACCCGACCCTTCTTGACCCGCCCTAACCCTAAAGGGTCAGACAAGGTCATGAAAGAAATAGGAATGTTCAAGTCAATTATACATCTTAACCTTTCAGAGACAGAGACGGATAGGGCCAATTTTCAGCACTAATTCCTCCTCCTTCTTCCATTGGGCAATAAGGCATTCCAGCTTTCGCATGTAAGCGCCGGAGATTGCATCAGAATGGACTTTCGGAATTGTTTAATGGTCCATTTCCATGGCGGATGCCTGATGGCTCACTGTAAAAAGCCAGCTGAGCCAAGAAGGACATGGTTGTCATTTTGTACACATATTCTCTGGCTTGGTATGCACTCAAACTACCAGTGGTAGGAGTCAGAGACTCAAGACTGGTGAGAAGGGTTGGCAGAGGGCAAGAGAGATCGATGGCTACTTATGGCGAATTTGAAATCTACATTATAGTATTTCACTATTGATCATAAGGAGATGTGAGGAAAGCTGCAAAATTGTGGTTTCTTTAATCATGGATTTGAGCAGAATGCATTGGCGTGTTTGTCAAAGCATATTTCGTGTTCGGCGGATTGAAAATTCACGGCAATCAATATATTTCTAATTCCATCGAAAGATGCATAATAATGTTGAGTCTGATGAATACGAGTTTGTGAAATTCACTTTTTGAAGTTCATAGACTTTATAACTGAAATAAACGATCCATTTCTTAAGTTTATTTTAGAGAATAATTTGTTCGTAAAAGTACACATCTTAACAACAACAACAAAAAACTAGATTCATGAACCTCGTTACTTCGCTAGTTCATAATTCACACAAAACCGGTATTGACGTCGACATTATAGTTCGTGAAAAATTAATTTACGACTCGAAGAGAATATTAAACAGGAATCGTTGGTGAACAAAAACAGATTCTTTCCATAAGATCAACCTTCAAATTGCAACCAAAGTAACATTTCTCGAACCACTAGTCGCCTCTAAGTAATGAGATGGGTAATTAACGGGTCTTAGATATTACAATAATCCGAGGGATCCAATCATATATACTTCGTAGAACGTAGGAGCCAAATCCCTAATTTCACTTGGAATTTAGTAACAATATGTTACAAAATGGAACAGGTTGTAAGAAAGGCAAATAATGATAATGTCTCCCATATTTGTCTTCCTTTTGGCATCTAGAAACTTTTGCACATCGAACTTAATTAAGGTCCGGGAATAATCGTAAAAAGCCTGAAATTATTATACGATGAGTAGGGGTGTGTAACGGTTCGGTCCGGTCTGGATCGGACCAAACTCATGAGAATCGCGGTCCATTAGTCCAAGACATCTAAGGATCAAGGACTGGACCATCCTTGCATTCAGTCCATCATTTCTTCAATAATTGTAAAATTCATTGGGACCAGGGACCAAAGACCGCATTATACTCGGTCCGGTGCGATCCGATCCAAACTTCGGTTTAGTCCGGTGTGGTCCAATTGCACACTCCTAATGATGAGAAACGTGGTGGCTACCAATTTGATTAGAAGCTGGCGAATGTGGTTTGCTAAAGAAGATTAATAATAATGAAGGTCAATTGGGAGGACACATTAGTTCATCATGGCGCATAGTGTCTTTCTAGGGTTCATTGAACCCCCTTTTTACCATTGAGATCTCTCGGCTCCATGAATGAAAGGAAGAAGTAAATTAACTATATTTATGCGCCATATGGTCCTTACAAATGAGCCCCTAAACAATGGATTCTACTTAACTTATGGGTGGTTGGGTGCGTTAAATCGGTGTATTGTAATAAAATACTATAGTATAAAATGAATGTATTGATATAATAGATGCATTATGACATTGTATTGTTTGGTTGTTGATATTCTAGTTTGTGGATTGGTTTATATAAAGTCACTTTATGGGGGAGAGATGACGCATTTGGCAAATCTCACATAAACAAAGGAAGAAAGATATTTGTGATTCATAAGGATCATCCAATCCTAACTTACGAACGCAATTTGGGGTGAAATAGAAAAAAATTATTGCAAGAACTCCGAAAGTTGACGTGCTCACTGCGGAAAAACACAAAAAATGAGTACCCTTTTTAGCATAGTTAGTAAAATACGGTACGCCAAAGTTATGTATAAAATACGTACGGATATTTTACTTCGTCTCTAACCGAATGTTACGTTTAATAGTACGTTAATAGTCATAAGTATATAAAAAATAATTATTTTAAAAATAAATAAATATATAAAAATAGTAAATTTTAACAATTTAATTCATTAAATACGGATATTAAACGTGTTATACGGATTTTATACGCGTTTAGTACGGGAGCCATCAAATGAACGGAAATAAACGAAATGTCTTGACAATAATACGGATACGAAAGTTTTAAACGGATAAAATACGTACAGGTACATATACGTGTATTGAACGGAGTATTTGTTAACTATGCTTTTTAGGAAGTTACCATGATATGTATTTAGAAACTAAATTGTACGGATGTGACCCAAAACGAACAACATCTTGATTAAAAATAGATATTGCGAGATATTATAAATCAATACAATTATGTAGTGGCACACTTGGCTTAACCAGAAATGGTGGGAAGGGACCACCAGATGGGATTTGGTACCTCAAAGATATCCAAAAGTGACCAAAACCATGAGCAAGTACTGTTTTCTCGATTAGCCAAACAACGAGTTTTGGACAAAACCTTTCCCATCTATCCAATTCAATAATCCCAAATGAAATGGCCGGTTGGTTAGTTGGGAACTTTGCAATCTCCAATTATGCCAATGCTTCCCTTCTCAAATTCGTCTTAAGAAAAAATACAATTGATAACGGTGAACTCATGCTCACAGTTAGGGTGGAAATCGGTACGGTATCGGTATCCCAATACCAAATACCGAAATCCCGAATACCGAATTACACCCTAAAGTCAATCCCAATCCCAATCCCTAAATAATTTCGGTATCCCAATCCCAATCCCTAAATATTTCGGTATCCCAATCGGTACCTCGGTATCCCAATTGGGATTATCAAATACGAAATTAATTACCTTTGCAATTAATAATTAAATATATAAATTAGATTTTATTGTTTAATTTACGGGAAAAAGACTAAGCAAAGAGTTTTGAATTAAGATATTATTATGGAGAGTGGAGGAGAGGAGACATCTCAAGTTCTTGTTATTGATAATCTTTAATTTGACGAATTAGAGGTTGAGAGACGACTATTAATAATGATGGAATGATCTGTGTATAATTAAATGACACTTTTGGTGGTTGAGGGTCATTTAGTAGTAAATGAGAGAGTTTAGTTGAGAGGATAAAATACAAACTAGGTTATATTTCGGTATTGATCGGTATTTCGGTATATCCCGATCCCAATCCCGTAATCCCTAATACCGAATAACAATTGAAATTCAATCCCAATCCCAATCCCAAAAAATAATACGTGTATTCGGTAATACCAAATATAGACAAATTCGGTACGGTATTCGGTATATCCCAAATACCGATACCAAACTTCCAGCCCTACTCACAGTCAATAGACTAACTTGTATTCAAAATCTTCAGTTTTTTTTTGCTAAATAATGAGCCACTATATGTACATTCTCTTGGCCACATAGTAAAGACAATTGTTTTCAATGTATTTTTGTGCCATTTGTCTGATATCAATTATCGTCACAAACTATATCTGAATCAGATAAAGAAAATTATATAACTTATTAAAAATCATTATTGCAACTGTTTCGAGTTCGAGACATCTGCTAACTAACGTTGGGCTTAATTTTGAGGCCACCATCGTCGAATTTGTAAGAAAGTGGTTAAGATCACATATGAATAGGGGTGTAAGTGTGACCCTAAAAATCCACTGACCCATCCCGATCCGTCCCGCCCCGATCCGTCGGGACGGGTCAGTTTGTCTGTAGGGTCAGTTTAGGGACGGGTCAGCTTTTGATCCTATAAGGGTCGGGACGCGTCAGGTCAATTTAGGGACGGGTAATTTTTTGACCCTGTGACCCTTAGCAACAACAAATATCTCATAACACATTGAACCTCTTTGTAAAAGTTTTAAAAATTTAGGTACTAAATTGCAAAAATAAAAAATGGGTACCAAAATGTAATTTTACCATCAAAATTTTAGGACTTATTTGTAAAAACATAAATTTCAGGTACTAAATTGTAAGTAAAAATAATTTTGGGTATCAAAACGTAATTTGTAAACAAAGTAGTGTGTAGATTAGGGTCGACCCACTGACCTGTCCCTTCCCTTGAGGGTCAGACAGGGTCAAGAAAGAGACAAGGACGAGACGGGTCAGTTATACATCTTGACCCTTCAGAGACGGGTCTGGGCAATTTTCAGCCCTACATATGAACATCTCTCAACAACTAAATTTTCTTTTAGATCAATTTTTTTTTTACAATGATATCAGAACTGCTTTGTCTTTCAAGTCACATGTACGACCTTCAATGTAGCAATTGCCTTAAATACATGCTCTACAACTTTCAAAACTCTGATTTGACTTTCATTTAAGAGGACGAACAAGTAAATTATCACAATTTAAACATCCATCTCTCAAAATCAAACAATAATACCTTTTGACTTTTATAAATCACCCCCGCAATTCAAGCCATTCAAAAGCAAATTCCAGAATTCGATCGGAAATAAAAAGAATAAACTAAGTTGTTTTTTTTTTTGGGGGGAAAATATAGCATATGAACTCAACTTTGGACCTCAGAGATATTTGATAATTCGAAAAAGAAAGGACCTCAAAAGTTTTGAAAATTCAAAAGGAAAAGGGTACCGTTACGTTACCAATCACAAAGTCTTAATTAAGTCCTCCGTGGCTCTTATCCCTCCCTTAAGCGCTTTCGAATCCCGTTTCTTGTCCCAACCCCACAGGCCCACACCCAATTTGTCGTATCCACCAATAAAAGATTAGGGCCCAAAGATCCATTCCACGCCATAAGCTCTTCTAATATAATATTTTAATATTTTTTTCTTCAAAATTTGATGACAATAGAATTTTTCTGGTTGATGATTTTTAGTTTAAATTGTAGGGTTTCTAACATTTAGATTGGTGTATCTCTCAGTTGTTAAGTTCGTTAAGAATTTATTTTAGCTAAAAAGGACACACAATATAAGTCATCTTCGATATTAGAGTTCTTCTAATTCGATCCGCCATCCAAAGTAAATAATTAAGGCAATAACTACAAAAATATTAGACAATTTTAATGGAGTTAACTTTATGAAAACAATTAAAAATATCATCTATGTAGAATGTATGAGATTTGTTTCCTCGCTTTTATCTTCTTGCAAAGTAAGGGTGGCAAACTTGTCATTTCAAGTTCATTTTAGATCAATCGGGAGTTTGATCAATGCACGATGAAAAATATCAGGATAGATTTAATCTTCAACTACCGAAAAATCAACTGTATTGATTCGATTAAGAAAGTATACAAATTCAATGAACTGCATGAACGAAAAATGAAAATTTTAATGTGTTCAGTAATACATTATAATTCGTAGATTTAAAATAACCATTAACCCATAAGTTTAACATGACATCGATGAGAACTCACTGAATCGATTTGTAATGACACCAGTCAAACGATTTGACGGTATTTGTATTTCTTGCTATAATCTCACCAAAGTTCATGATTCCCTAATCCCTACTACATTTGCAGTTTCATAAATTGTGTTGCTAAATTCGTAGATAAGGTCAAATGTTGTATCTTGTTTTTAGTATTAGTCCATTTTTTCCCTTCTATGCTAGAATTTATTTCCATGTATATTTACCCCTGCTTTTATAATTTGTTTTTTTGGATGAAGAATCTCTATTATAAATTTATAATTAATTAATAAGCCGTTTCATTAAATTTCAAATTAGGAAAAAGAAGGGAGCTAAGTTTGAATTTTTCTCCACTCTCAGTCAGTCACCTGGACAGCAACAAACAAACAAATCATATAACGTTGGAGGCGACCAAACCAGACGTACCCAGAAAGATTTTATAAACAAAAAATAATTACAACAGCTGCAGAAAAGAAAAAAGATAGGAGAACGAGGGAAGGGAGGAAGAAGAAAGCATCAGAGGACAGAGAGTGAGAGAGAGAGAGAGAGAAAGAAACAAAAAACCAAAAAAATTCGTGAGAGAACTTGAAATTTTTGAACCGGAAGAACCTAACCAGTAACCAACCTCTTCTTCTTCGCTCTCTCTCTCCCGTTCTCTGTCGCCGGTAGCGGTGGAGGTCCGGCTTGCATTTCTGTTCCGCCTTTTTTTCTTCTTCTTTGTTTCTTCTTCCTTATCTCTTAAACAAACAGCCTTAACGGCTTCTTTCTTCCAAGCAATCTTCGACCCTACAACCCTGCCCTTTTGGTTCAGGAAACATTACTATATTCGAACATTTGTCCGCGTCGATGGGGAGCGACGCAAGAAACAAAGTTCCGGCGGGGTGGTGAACCATTTTTCCGCGTTCGTTTGTTGTTGGGTATCTCTGCGAATTTGCCTTTTTTTTTTGTTGCTGTTGTTCTTCAAGTCCTCTGGATTTCGTTGTCGTGGCCTTTATTCTGAATCTCGCGCCCCCTTCTTTCCCCCCCATCACCGGATATCGGCATTTCTCCGAGCTCTCACCCGAATTTTAGCGCCGTGGTTCGTCTTTCTCTCGATTCATTTCTCTTTTTAAACCTCTGGGTTTGGCCCAGGTGGCCGCTTATTCGGACCGGAGTTCCGAGTTTGCGGTGGCGGAAACTGTAAGTGCCCTTTCCTTTATCGCCATGTCAATTTTTGAATTGTGTTATCTCAGACTGAGCTCTCGGGGTTCTCAGTGGCTTTTGCCGGGATTTCATTTCTTTCTTCGTAGGGAGGTTTCGGATCAGTACTTTTGAAGTTTGCACTATTTTGTTGTTGTTTTAATCCAGACTAGGGTTCCAGGACTGATTGTTTCATTTTCCTTTTCGGTGAGAATGGCGCCACCTTCATGTTGAATCTCGATCTCTTTGAACTGTCCTTGAATTACATTTCATTTTCCACTTTTAGGGAAACTGCTGATTTGAAATATACGACGGGGGGATTTTGACTTGTGAAGCCCACATATGTTTTTGTGTCGGGACACAATCAATGTCTGGGTTCTTTCCATTCCATATAGATGATTGACTTGAGAGCATAGACTGAAAATGGTGTCCTTGCCCTTTCTGCATTTATGTTTTCAGGTGGTTTGAAGTTGGAATAGTGTAGTAGTCCCCACTCCCCACCCATAGCTTAAAATGATGTTATCAGCATCCTCTGCCCCAGTGACAAGAAGCTCCCTTGAGGAGATGCTGGAGTCGTTAAGGCAGCGAGATGAGGCATTGGAGAGAGCCAAGGACCTGCCCCCAGCTTTGCCCGCGCGCCCCACTTCTAGGGCAAGGCTTCCTTCTGCTCGCCTTTCGTTGCCCACAGACTTCAAAGTTGGTGCCAATGGTCGGTTAGAAGGCAAGGTAGAGAGTATATTAGAAAGCAAGGTAGAGAGTGTTGTTTTAGGGAGCAAATTATTAGTAAGTGTAGATGATATAAGAGTGGAGGAACCCAAGAGGAAGGAGCTGGAGTGCAGGATAGGAAGTTTTGGAAGCAGGAAAATGAGGAAAGTTATGGACTCTACGGACTCAAATCCCTACGTTCAAGAAATGAATCAGCAATGCAGGGGTTCTCCTATAGGTTCGATGCCCACTATTAACGAGGTGGAATGGGAAGACAGCATTGGCTACTTTATTAGGAAGGTAAGTTACAAACAGAGTTATTTCTAGAAATGCTGTGCACAGTTGATATTGTTCCTTTTTCATTTTGAAGTCTCTATAAGTAGGTTTCCTTTCGCTCATTGCAAGCGCCTGCTGTGTCTTCATATGTTGACTCATGGCTGAATGTGTTACAGATGCTGCTTGAGTCTTGCATCATTTTTTTTTGTTCAAGGTTTTTGCGGTTGGGTGCATGCAACGCTATTAAATTGGAATTTCACATGATATACTAGCTTTCCTCATGTTGATAGCTGATTTGAATTTCTATGTAGAATCATGAAGTTAATCTCATAGACAAATAGAACTTCATTAGGTGATCGGATGACGCTCGTGTTTTAGTTATGGGATGTCTAAGTTGTGCCATTTTTAGAATGGTAGGCCGTAGGTGATGTTTTTCACTCTAGTTTTCCCCTTGAGCTTTTCCTATTTTGTTCGTATACCACAACCGCTCTATGAAAAGGTTTTTTGTTCTTTGTTTATTGAGGATGAAAATGCTTAACATATGATATAATAATCTACATCCATGCAATTCCAATAACAATGACGCTATTTTGTCTCAGAAACTAAGTGTTTGGTGTCAACTGTCAAATGGGATGTGGGCTTCTGGAAAAATACAGTCAACTTCAGGAGATGAAACATATGTTGCACTTGCAAATGGGAATGTAAGTGCCTACTCATATATGCTCTTTATGCCTTCTTTTCCCCTTCTCTCAATTTTTGTCTTCAAAATGTAGGTTCATACTCATCTATGGTCATGTTTTCCCTTTTCTTGCTGAATGCGAAGGCGGAGTGTTTTGTTCCCCAAATTATTCAATACAGTCTGATATTCTGAATTGGATATTTGCAACAGGTTGTAAACGTGCCACCAGGACAGCTTTTACCTGCAAACCCAGAGATTCTTGATGGCGTGGACGATCTCATGCAACTTAGTTATTTGAATGACCCATCAGTTCTTCACAACCTTAAGTACCGATTTACTGAGGATATGATCTATGTATGTCTAATAGAAATCGTTTACTTTTGCGGCATCTTTGTGAGCCATTTTTAACCAGTTTAGTGTTTCTCAAACAGAGTAAAGCGGGGCCAGTTTTAATTGCTGTCAACCCATTCAAAGATGTCCCACTGTATGGAAATAATGCTATGGATGCTTACAGGCAGAAGGACATGGACTGGCCGCATGTTTATGCCTTAGCAAATACTGCTTACGAGCAGATGATGAGAGGTAAAAACATATAATTTCTCATTTACCTTCTCCAGTTGTGCTAGCTTCTGCGAAGGCCCTCTCCCTCATATTTTTCTCTTATATTTGGATTGTGTCCCCTCTCTTGCAGATGGAAAGAATCAATCCCTAATCATAAGGTTAGGGAACTTTACCAGCATCCGCATGCAATTGTTGTTTGAGGTTACTTTTTCACCATTGCTTAAAACTATTGTTATTGTGAAACATAATTTGGGATGTTGATTCTACAGTGGCGAAAGTGGAGCAGGTAAGACTGAGACAGCAAAATATGCGATGAAGTATTTGGCTGCCCTTGGTGGTGGTGGCGGTGGTATGGAGGTAGAAATGCTTCAAACTAACTGTCTTCTCGAAGCATTTGGGAATGCTAAGACCTTGCGAAATAAAAATTCCAGCAGATTCGTAAGTTTTTCTCCATGTAATTTTGTTTTAACTTTGGAGCCATCCTAGTTTTATTTTTGTCATTATGCATTTTATGTTTAACATAGTTCATTATGGATGCAGGGAAAGTTGATTGAAATTCATTTTACTTCATTAGGAAAGATATCTGGCGCTAAAATTCAAACATGTAAGCTTGTATTCGTTCAATAACTTTGTGCTCTTTCAATAAATTTGTGCTCTTCTTAAGGAAAGGTTTGGTGATTTTTGTGAGTAACTAACTTGATATATGGTTTTCCAATGTGAATTTCATGCTAATGTTGGTTGACTGCACATTTTCTCTTCAGTCCTGCTAGAAAAGGTAATTTTAATTTGTCTATCCTTATGTATTTAGCTTTGAACTTGAGTCATTATGCTGTACAGTTCTGATATTAGCATTTTTCTGTGAACAGTCAAGAGTGGTTCAGGTCGGCGATGGTGAAAGATCATATCATGTCTTTTATCAACTGTGTTCTGGTGCACCATCTCTCCTCAAAGGTACAGTTTTCAATTTTTGCGAAATGCATTTTCCAGTTGAATACATATTCAGTTATTTTGAAACTTCTTAAGATTTCTTAAACACTGATTATGAGTCATGTCTTCTCTTTTGGAGCTTCAATACTTCTGACAGTAGAGCTAGTTTCATTTGTTCTAATATGTTTGGTTGACTACTTGGGGTGGCAAAGTTTATATTGAGTTCTAAAATAAGGACTGTAGTCCTATTAACTTATTAAGCTAGTTGGCCATGATGTGCATTATGTGGCACTTCTGATTCAACATGTATAGTCTTCGATGCCTGGTGTGGCACGTAGAAGAGACAAAAATGATCTTCTTTTAGAAATATAGCTACTTACCAACTGGTACTCATACGCAACCTCATGAGTTATGGTAATCCTTCTTTTCAGAGAAACTAAATCTTAAAGCAGCCACAGAGTACAAGTATCTTAATCAGAGCGAGTGCTTTGAAATTGATGGCGTTGATGATGCTCTCAAGTTTCAGAAACTCCAGGTAATACAAGAAATTTGGTAGTGTACTATCTGCACTTTTAAACCCCCTTTTCTCTCTCCCTCTTTGATGGTGGGTGTGCTGCTGCCAGGAAGCGTTTGACCTGTTGAGAATTTGCAAAGAAGATCAAGCTCAAGTGTTTCAAATTCTTGCTGCAATATTGTGGCTCGGGAACATTAAATTCCAAACTATTGACAATGAGAATCATGTGGAGGTGTTGGCGGATGAAGGTAGGGAATGACAGTCTTGCGCTCTTCCACTTATTTGTTCATCCTCTGCCAACTTTATGTGGGGTAATTGTATGCTATCTGAGTCACTTTCCGGTACTTAAGTCTTCTATTTGGCTTTGTTGGCTGATTCCTTGGATATATTTCCAATCCGTATTTCATTAGGTTCCACTAGTTTATTTGTGGATTTGGTTGGTACCAATTAGTTTATGTACTATGTGGGTTCGTACACACACTGTTAGCACTTCCTCTAAAGCAGCCACTGTCAATACTACTTTCCTCTGTCTTGCTGTTTTATAGAACACATGAGCATTCTCATCACCCCTACAGTAACTTTTCCTATCTTGTGAAGGGTTCTTTCTCACATGAGCTACATGTGTGCACTAGGAAACAAGTAATTTATATGTGGAAGGTTTACAGGCCGATAATGAGTTCAAATTGCCAGTTGCTTTGAGCTCAACCCACTTTATATATAGCCAACCCTCAGTTTCCATCTCAGACTGTGTGGTTGTCTGGTGTCCAGTTACAGGAGCAACCTCATACAAAAGATCTATGACTCGGTGATGGCTTTAAAATTCAGACATACTCTATGCTACTGCTATTCAAGAGCTTAATGCACTTGCAGTTTTACTTAGAATAATTATCTAACATGAATTAAGGGTTTGAGTGGACCATGGTTGTTTTCTCTAATTCAGTGACGTGACATTTTTCTTCCACTGATACTGACTCCAAGCTTTTTCCTGTTTCAGCTCTAGCTAATGCTTCCAAGCTGATGAAATGCACAGCCCAGGGTCTGATGGTGGCATTATCAACCCATAAAATTCGAGCAGGGAGTGATAACATTTCCAAGATAAAAACATTGCAGCAGGCAAGTTCACTCCAAACGTTTACTTTCTCTACCTTCTATCTCAAGTCATCCGAACATTTTCCATTGGACTAACTGCATTATTACTTGATCATTTCTTTTCAGGCAATCGATGCAAGAGATGCATTGGCAAAGTTTATGTACGGGAACTTGTTTGATTGGCTTATGGAACAAATCAATAAGTTGCTTGATGGAAACCAAAATACTTGGGGGTCCATAAATATCCTTGATATCTATGGGTTTGAGTCGTTTAAGGTATAGGTTTGGGTTCCCCTGTTCTCAAAGTGATTTTTAGCCCTTTAATCATGTTGATGACGTTTGTCTTCCATTTTTCAGAAGAACAGCTTTGAACAATTTTGTATAAATTACGCAAATGAGAGGCTTCAACAACATTTCAACAGACACTTACTTAAACTAGAGCAAGAGGTAACTACTAATTATTTACCTGGATCAACCATTTTTTCCCAGCCATAGCAATTCACAGTGGATAGATTGGACACCTCAGGAAAAATGATCTAGAAATAACTTCTTTAGTATCTTGTCTGAGGGTTCTAACTCTGTTATCTCATCTCTTGCAACTGTGTGCAATCTTGTACAAACGGACAAGTATAGTTTCTTCTATGTAATTGATATTCTGTCAATGAGCATCACTCCACCTATCTTCGCAACTAAAACACACAGGGAATCTAGTAGGCGAATTTGTAAATTAGGCTAAAAAGTGGAAGTAAGGATTGTGGGTGAAGAGCAACAAGTTTAGGCTATGAACCATTTTAGTCGGGCTGCTTGATTGTGATGATTATTTTGATCCTTTATAAACTAAATAAATATCCTTTGTCTGTCTGTTTCTTTGTGTAAACTTCTCACTGGCATGATGGTCATTTGGGGATCACAATTTTATGCTTATTGGTTACAGGAGTACGAAGAAGATGGAATTGATTGGACTAAAGTTGATTTTGAAGATAACCAAGAGTGCTTGGATCTTTTTGAGAAGGTATTTTGTTAGGCCCTGTTTACTTTCATTTCTGTTTCCTGTTTTTGAGAAAACAGATGTTGAAAACAGGTGAAAACAACATTTCGTCGTTTCCGAAAACAGCAGGAAGTTGCCACTTTCTGTTTTCATAGTTGGAAACGAATAGAAAACAGAATGAAAAGTAAACAAGTTTTCTCGTTTCGGTTGCCAAATTTATGACATGAAAACAGAAAACAGGAAACGAAAATGGAAGTGAACAGGGCCTTACTGTATCCACCACCTGCTTGTTGCATCTAACGGTGCTTTTGAGTTATAAATGCCTTCTCCATCAACCATCCATCTGAATTGAGCTTATTTGGTGCATTTTGTGTCTGTTCAGTTAACAGTCCTTATTGTATCTAAGGTTGACAGAGTCAGGTTTAGTTAGATACTGTTATTTGGTTTCAGGGGTTAAATTTTGGTGCTCTATCCATTATTCAGTGACTATAAGTACGAGAGTTCACTGTTTGTCATTTTTGTTTGCAGAAACCTTTAGGGTTGTTATCTTTGCTTGACGAGGAATCAAATTTTCCAAATGCCACTGACTTGACGTTGGTCAATAAGCTCAATAAGCATTTGAATATCAACCCTTTCTTCAAAGGTCAAAGAGGTAGAGCTTTTGGCGTTCGTCACTATGCTGGGGAGGTCAGTATACCGTTCACCATTCTCTCTGTCTCTCTCTCGTGCTTGTGCGGGTGTGGAATAGGTGCAGTGTAGTCTCACTAATATCTCCTATGTATGATCAGTTCGTTTTATGTGGTAAACCGTTGAAGCGACACCTTAAGAATCACACAATAACCTAGGTGCAGAGTCACGAGTCTACTATCCAATGAGCCATTTTTTCATCCATAGTTGTTTTGGATATATACTGTAATTAACACTATTTTCACACTTAAGCAATGGCTGAATCTTTCTTTCTCCTTCACCGTGGCCTATTCTTCCCCCACACCAATTCTTCTCATTTTCCTCTTCAAGCTTCTTTGTTATATCTGCAGTTGAAGTTGGTATCACACATCTCACAGAAGCTAACCTGCTATTTTTGTTGCTCTGCAGTCTGCACTCCTTCTAACATCTAGATGTATTTCTCCATCTGTGAAGGTTCCCTAGTTCTTATTGTTATCCTAAATTTGTGAAATCTTGAATTTGTTCAGGTTGTGTATGATACGAATGGATTCCTAGAAAAGAACCGGGATCCACTGCACTCTGACTTCATCCAGCTACTATCGTCAAGCAACTGCAAGCTTCTGCAATCGTTTGCTTCCCAAAAGCCTGATCAAACTCTTAGATCACTAAAAAGTTCGTTATCACAACCAGGTGGACCGGAATCTTCAACACAAAGTGTTGGAACAAAGTTCAAGGTAAAGAAGTGTATCTTAAATTTTGGTCACTAATGCATGTATAGTCTTAACAATGTTTGCAATCGACATTAAAAAAAAAGTTTCAGTCATTAAATGTGGCGAAGTCTTAGGGCTATACTACTAAGAGCATGAAATGTAAGGGTGGTTATCTCTTCTAAGAAGGAAAGCATACTTGGTGAGAGCAGCACTTATATACGTGTTGTATGGTTCCCATTCGTCCACTTTTCTTATCTTTTTTCCTTTCATTGTTTTTTTTTAGTGGCTTTTCTGGATGGCAAATTGTTGTGGTTTTCCACATTAAATTCTGATACTGGGTGCAAGATTAAGTTCTTTTCTCTAATGTATGCAGGCTCAACTCTTTAAACTCATGCATCAATTGGAGAACACAACCCCTCACTTTATTCGCTGCTTAAAGCCAAACAAAAAGCAGCTTCCTGGTATGTACGAAGAGGATCTTGTTCTACAACAACTCCTATGTTGTGGAATTATGGAGGTGATGAGGATTGCAAGAGCTGGTTATCCTTCTCGAATGACACATCAAGAATTTGCTGCAAGGTATTAGAGTATAATTGACGGAGATGTAGTTTTTTAATGGTTCTATTTCTTTATTATTCTAAACTGTGCAATTATAAATCTGGAAAAAATTATATGCAGGTACGCATTGCTGCTTCCTGAGCCAAGTGAACATTTGGACCCATTGAGCATGTCTGTTGCTGTCCTTAAACAGCTCAATGTACTGCCCGAAATGTACCAAGTTGGCTACACCAAAGTTTATCTTCGCACTGCGCAGGTACATAATTTTTTTGATGTCAGTCTTATATATTCAATTACTTCATGTCATATATAACTAAGTTTACTCTCTGGTTATTTTTTAACATCTACGATGCAATTTGTAAAACTTTTGAAGTTGGACATTTTTGTAGGACCTTTCGGTTGCTTAAGAAACTATGTGAATAATCATCGTTGGGCTTTCCTCAAGAAAGTTCCGTTGTAGATTTGCTTTTTCTTTGGCTTCAAGTTGATTTTTTCTCGTTTCTGAACACTGACGACGTATAATTCTGTGGTTATGGTTGATGAGTGGGAAGGCAACATTTTGTTACAGCTTGTTGAACATGCAAGTTGTTACTGACCAGTTACCTTAAAGCTGAGCTACCGATAGAGGGGTGTTTGATGTTTCAGACCATATGGAGCTGAAAAAGTAATGTGAAGGTTCAACCAACACTAGTTGAAATTTTGTTTTTAGCTGGTTCGACCTGATTCACTTTGAACTTTATGCCTATTATTTTCTGGAAGGAAATAAATCCCCGGGTGTGAGTGCGCGTTTCTTTTAAGCAAATGGCTGTAACTGCCTGATAATAACGTATGTGAAGAAATGAGCTCTAAAAAGATTGGAGTTTACAGACACTAATACCGTGCTGAAAAAAACTAGTAAAATGTACCAGCAGTATACAGATGATATGTGCTTGCAAAGGATGTTGATTGGCGATTTGTTGATTAATTGATATAAGCATATGGGATGTTGATTGCAACTGTGGATGTTAGTGCCTCATTCGTATGTGTTACTGTTACTGCCTTTCAGATTGCCAGATTAGAGGAGCAAAGGACAAAAGCTCTGCGAGGTGTAATTTCTGTCCAGAATTGCTTTCGAGGTTCCAAGGCTCGTCGTCATTTCCATGAGTTGATAGATGGTGCAACAACCCTACAATCATGTAATCCAAATAGCTTTTATATGCTCATAGTTGAGAGTAGGGGATGCATATTCATTGTCTTGCCCTTTCACCTTCAGCTATTATTTTCCCAATAGTAATTTTATAATTGTGCTCTTTCTAGAGAACTTGAAGCTTTTGGAAACCAAGTTAATATGCAATTCTAGGGAGTTGGATAACTAACTAATAACTAGAAAATTCAATGATTGAGATTGCTGTTTCAAATTGCAGTTGTTCGTGGTGAGAATGCGAGAAGGAAATTTGATTCTATGCCAAAGACGTGCAATGTCAATACTCTCCCAGTAGTTAACGAGCAGTTGACTGCCATAATATGTTTGCAATCAGGTGAGACATCACAGTGCTCTTTGCTATTCCTGATGTATTCATTCTCTGTCCTTTTGCTGCATTCGTTATTCTTATCATCCTCATTTATCTACAGTAATCCGTGGATGGTTGACACGGAAGCAACTTAATGACAAGTATAAGTTGAGGCAGTCAAGCCAGGATAATACAAACTCAAGAAGAAAGCCAGGGAGAAAAATATCAGAAGTAAAGGTAATTTTTTGTTGAGATAATTTAATCTCTCTCACAAGAATCTTTCCTGAGCTGCAGTAGACACTAGCATAAGTGATCGAACCCATTGAAAGCTTGATTTGTCTTCTTATATACCCTTCAGTGCAGTGAAATTATTGATAGCCTCCACTTTTCTATTTTCCTTGTATATACCAACCTTTTGGCGCGAGGAAAAGCAAAATAGTTTGTTGATTGTGACTTTACCTTTGGATTCTGTGTTTCTGATGTTGCAGGTAATGCCACAAGAGCAGATTGAGGAGCTTCAGAGTACACTATTGGCAGAACTCCAGAAGAGGGTTGTGAAGGCAGAACAGAGTTTGGCACACAGAGATGAGGAAAATGCAGCACTAAGGGAGCAGGTAGAAGAGTACGAGAAAAGATGGTCTGAATACGAGTCAAAGATGAAAACCATGGAAGAGACATGGCAAATGCAAATGACATCATTGCAGGTAACCCTCTGGTTGCTTGTTCAGCAAAATACAATTGGGCTTTCCAATCAATATTAAATGACAGTTAACTATAGTCTCTGCTGTTGTTTATACTTTATATCATCCAGCTATTAGTATTCCCTTTATTTAAGATGAAGACTTCTGAGAATTGGATGCTAATGATTCATTCTGCCGTAACTAAAATCATCCTGCAATCTCAAACCCTGGCGTGATTGGTGGGTGACAATGTTAATAGTGGTTCTGTCAAGCATGCATGTAACTAGTGCCCATGTTTTGCAAGAAGTAGAACTAATTGTTTTCCAGCATATTTAAGGCCTAAAATATATCATGTTCAATGCTTATGCAGGCAAGTCTTGCTACAGCCAGAAAGAGTCTTGCTGCTGATAACCTGACTCTTCAGCAACAATCACCTCGCCACTACTATGATTCAGAGGATTATCCTTCCATTGGCTCTAGGACCCCTGGTGGAAGCACACCAAGAAAGATTCCTAATTCCATGCCGGATCTTCGAGTGGCGAAAGAACAGCCTACTAATGGTGCCAGAGCTCATCCTGTAACCACTTTACTAAGGGAATTCGAGCAGCAGACCCAGAATTTCGAAAGCAACTGTAAAGCCATCGTTGATGCGGGTTCAGGGAATTCTTCAGGTTCTATCTTAAATCCTGATGAAGCACTTCGAAGACTGAAAAATCAGTTCGAGATATGGACGAAGAACTACAAGGCCAAACTGCGGGAGGCAAAGCAACGACTCCATAAACTTAGCCATGGCGAGAACCATAAGGGCCGTAGGGGTTGGTGGGCCAAAATTGGTGCCAAAATGTTGACAAAATAAACAAACATGTTCCATGTCCAAGGCGGAAAACATAGAAGAAGAAGAAAGGTGTGCCCTCAAAGATGACTGCTTGCTCTGCCTCTTTGCATTCTGGATTAAGCAAGCAGCTTGCCATGATTGCTGAGAAGTATGTTTGTAGCATGTGGTTTAAACTACCTGGTGGTGGTGGAAGGATTCATCATAATCCTGTGAATAGATATAGGTTGTAGTAGACACCCCTTCTCCCTTTTTTTCTCTGAGTTATAAGCCGAGGTTATTCTCTGTATATCCTGTGTGCTAAATTGTAATGTAAAGAAAACATGGTACGGCTCTGAACTCTGTTGCTGAATGAAAGATGAAAAGTTCCCATATTCCGTCTGTCATCTTCCCATTTGGAATGCATCAATAATCAAAGCATATTAACTGTGACTTCTTGGACCTCTGATCCCTTTTGTTTGAGGATTCAGGGGCTTTTTTGGATCATGGATTGTGATTGTTCCAGAGTTCTTCATTTTGCAACAAGAAAAAATGGTACTTCACTGTCCAAACCATCTCTCAGTCTCCAAATTGGTATAAAATAGTGACACATAGAAGAAGGAAAGGAATTGGCAGAAAAGTTTTTCCAATTTACATCAAACCTCCATAGGCAAAGATTACGAACAAAAGGTGTTCAAAGTTCCTTTCCTTCCATTCTACAAGTGGCAGGGGAATCTAGGGCAAATTGGTTTTGCTGTATCTTTATGATCCAGGGACAAATTTGGTGGCAAAGACCCAAGCATTGTTGGCAACAGGGTCATCAAGATGGTCCAAGAGATTCTCCAAGGGACCTTTCCCTGTGACAATAGCCTGAACAAAGAAACCAAACATGGAGAACATGGCAAGCCTGCCATTCTTGATCTCCTTCACCTTGAGCTCAGCGAAAGTGACCGGATCGTCAGCGAGCCCCAGCGGGTCGAAGTACTGGCCACCAGGGTAAAGCTCATTGCCTTCTCCAACACCAGGCAAGCCATTGATGCGGAATCCTTCCACGAGTCCCATCAGGACGACCTGGAATCCTAGCACAGCAAGGATACTCTGAGCATGGACCAGGTTTGGGTTTCCCAGATAGTCCAGCCCACCTTCTGAGAAGATTTGGGCCCCTGCCTTGAACCAAACTGGCTCCTTGAAGTCCACACTCACCCATTTCTCAAGAACTTCTGGGGTGATGCAGCCCAAGGCTCCCAGCATAGCCCACCTTCCATGGATAACCTGCCAGCCAAGGTAAAAAAAAAAAAAAAAACCAAGCAGTAAGTCTCACATTAGTAAACATGATTAGAGCCCTGCTAAGTGATTTATTATTGATTAATTACCTCAAGAGCCCTGTTTCTGGCGAAGGCCTCAGGATCAGCAGACAAACCAGCAGTGTCCCAGCCATAATCACCAGGGAATTCCCCAGTTAGATAGGAAGGAGTCTGAGCTGAGAAGGGTCCCAAGTACTTCACTCTGTCTGGTCCATACCACAAATCATTTCCCTGTCAACACAATTAGCAGTTCATCAAAATCACCACAAACCCAATTGAGCTGTGCTCATAAGGGGAATTGATACGAAAGAGAAAAGTTAAAAGTACCATGATGTACTTGGGATTGCCCATGGCGACCACATCTCTAAGAGGGTTGGCATTTTGGCCCCTCTGTCCTAGAAATGGAGATGGCTTCAGCGCGGTATTGGAGGCAGCCATAATCGTGGAAGCAGCCATGGTTCAAACGAGGCTCTTGCTCTGGAAGGCTAGGCTATGCTGAGCTCTGTGTTTGCCACCAAGTGAGGTTTCGTTTGAGAGAGAGGGATTTGGAGCTGTGGAATGGAAGTGGGTAGAGACTCTGTTTTATATATGAGATGGGAAATGGAGAATCAAAGGTGGGGGAAAGAAAACAAGTGGCGGAGAGAAAGGAGGGGAAGAGAGAGAGGAGTGTGATGTTGAAGGGGGAAGTAGCCAATGAGGAGGCTGCAAAGGATTTTGAAGTATCTGCCATCTCATCTCCTTCTATCCACATATTTATCTACACTGTCTATTTCATACCACTTAGATTATGGAGATCAAGGGGGAAAGTGGAAACAATAAAAATCAGGATATTTTCCATTAATATTTGTTGGGAACTTGTAGAAAAATATCCATAACGGTGCATGTTTATCGAATCCGACGTAATCGAGTAGAGTAAAATTTGAACTTGAAAGATTTTAAGTGGGGATGATTAAAACTCGAATCTGAATATTGTTGGTAATAATATTCATGGTTTTCTTACTACCCAACTCAAACCTGCCCGATTATATACATGCATATGTATTTTATTAAGAAATTATCAATATTTTTCTCAATATATTTGGTATTCACTATACACATAATATTTTTCATGAAATTGTGTTATTTTTAACTAATTTTCTTCATTATAATGATTAATTGTCGTACTTTTTCACAAATGTAATATCAATTTACCAGTAAATGTTAATATGTTTGTTGAAATTATAAAGAAAAATTGGATAACCGCGAATATCCGAAACCCGGTCAGGTATGTACATAATTTTGATTTCCATCCATAGTAGTACTGGGCCTGGGGGAAGCCCAGTCCTTCACGGCCCAAAGGAAGCCGACACATCACAGTTCTCCCGCTTTTCAAACCTCCAATACCCGCAACGGTCGAATTTGTTAGCACCCCGAACGCTGCATTTCACATGAATCAATCCCGTCCGCACAATTCAATGGGTCCCGCCGGATCTCATTGAAACCACACAAATCCAACGGCCGCGGTTTCATCCTAACTAAGACGCAGCAAATTACCCAAAGCATAAGAATAAAACGGCGCCGTTTGATAGCTGTTTGACCGTCTCCCTCTCCCACCACCCAATTTCTGTACCGGGAATTCCCCCTAAATAGAAGGAACAGAAAACCAAGGTAAGGAGCCCATCGGCGAAGCGTCCAGAAGAAGAAGAAGAAATGGAGGGAGAAGGATGGACGATCCTGAATTCTGCATCTCCAGTTAGATAAGAGATACTTTTCTCCCGAGTTCACCAGTTTAGGTTGAAGAATTTTCTGGGATTCAGAAGGAAAGGAAGACGGAAATGGCTTCTAAGAATGCTAAAGATCACTGGGCGTTTCTGGTAATTAATTCCTCCTCGAAACTTCTCATGCGAGCAAGCATTCCATTTTCATCGAATACTTTTTCCTGTGATCGCGTCGCAATTTGATGTCTGTATCCGTAGATGGAAATTTTCCGGGCTTTGTTTGTGTTCTGTGTTGTGCAATAGGGCTTCTCTTAGGTCCTGTTCTCGTTTTCTGCTTGAATTAGGGTTAGACATTTGGACTGTGATATCACTGTTCGCTTGAATCCATAGGTGCTCTCTTGTTGAATCCGGACTTCTGATTCCAACTAGGATTAGTGGTTGTTAAAGTTCAATGACTTCAAATATTTGATTGTGCTTTCGTGGAATTTTTTACAGTCAAGCGTTTGTTTGCTTGCTAGTACTGGGAGCTGATTGTTCATTGCTGTAAAAATTAAAATCACTGATGGTGTTGGCATTGCTTAATGATATGTGTAGGAGGAGATTGAAGCTCCGATGTGGGTAGATCTTGCTCAAGAAGCTGATTATAGTGACAGGTGATCTTCACTGTGATTGTTCACACTCGAGTTTTCCAGATTCTCTGGTTGTTTGCAGTATTGGTGAGAGTGGTTCCAATTTCTGCTACTAACATGCCTCACTTTTGTTTTTCTGGGGACCATACTGCAGCGATGACCAATGGTTTCAAATCAGCCATCAGTGAGTATCTTCTTAGCTCTACTCCTTTGTTTATCTCGTCTTGCGAACTGAACTCTTTCTAATCCTAGATATCTACGGGACTTCCTCGTTACGTAATATGATGCACAGGTTTCACCAGCTGTCTTCTAAACAGTTGAAAGCAGCATTTAGACATTGCAGCAATGAAGAGTTTGGCTTAGTAGGACAGTCTTCACCACAGCTTCCCTCCTCGGTATCACGATCAAGGGGCAAACACCTTGCCGGAAAGAAATTTCAGAAGGGTAGTCATGACCTCGTAATGAACAAGCAACATCCAGTAAAAGCTTTAAGAGGGAAGTCTTCATTAGTGAACTCAGTTTTGGATGATGTGAGAAAGCCCAAAATAAGTGTTGTAAAGTCTGGAGGAACTTCAAATTCGCTAGTGAATTCGGCTTCGGAGAGTGCTTCAACTGGTTGCATCAAGGAAGGCAATACACTTCCTCTGGGTAATGGTCAGCATTCAAAAGATGGCTCAAGTTCTGGGGATAGAGCTGGTGAATCCAATACGAGTACCCTTACATCTGAGACTTTTCAGCAACCTCACAGAAGGCACCACGAGTCATTTAGTCAAGCATTAGGTAACAAAAGCAGTATTTTAGCTGAAGTAAGGATCAGCCTTCGGAAGAGTTGTGTTAGAAGACAAGCAGCAAGGGTGGAAACTAACAATGGTTCAATACAAACTACTAATCGTTGGTCGTTATCCAACAAGTCTGGTGTAGGGTCTTCTTTGAATCCTGGTTTCAATCTTAACAGTGAAAAAAGTTGCAGGCCTTCATCCGGAAAGTCTAGTTGGGGATCTTCTTCTAACTCTTCTAGTGATGTTATTGGCAACAGAGTTCGTAAGTCTTCGTCAGCCAAGTCTAGTGTGGGATCTTCTTCCGTTAACCCTGGTGATGATGTTAAGGACAGTGAAGTCTGCAAGTCTTCATCAGACAAGTCTACTGTGGGATCATCTTCAAACCCTTGTACTTACAATGAGAGTAAACCAAAGCGCAGGTCTTCATCTGGCATGTCTAGTACAGAATCTTCTTCAAAACCTTGTCCTTATGTTAAGAGTAAACCAAATTTTAGGTCTTTATCTAGCAAGCCTGGTATATCATCATCTTCAAACCCTGGTGCTGATGTTAAGTTTTCTGGTATCCCACTCCTGCGGGGCAAAGAATGGACTTCAGATAGCAGAAATGTGGCAAGTAACGGCATGGCAGCCATAAAAAAAGTACAAGGTTCTAGAATTTTGAGGGATTCTTCTAACATTCAGCTGAAGGATGGGCCTCGCAATACTAGATTGGTAAACAAAGTTAATCTAGAAAAGTCGTCAGCATACCCACAACATACCAAAGGCAAGGTTTGTGAATGACATGCAACATTATGCACCATTTACCGAATTCCTTGTTATTCTGTTCAGGTGCCTACAGGTGTAATATGGGATCTGTTTATGAGTGCTAACAGACTCCTTGCTGATTGGTGCTTGGATTCAAATTGTTGCTTCAATTCTATCAGCCTATCGACCAATTGGAGTTTATTTAATCATGCAGGCTCTTATTCAAACTGCACCTATGGAAACTCTGCAACTGCATCGAGTTAATGGAAAGGGCTTGTTAATTGGTGCTGCAGCAACACACCAGAAGCTTGGCATAGCTGGGGCAAATAGGCTGGTAGGCACTGGAAAAGAGAACGACAAAGCAAGAACCTGCAGAAAGCCGAAAGGCAGCGTTGTTGAATGTGGAGTTTTAATGACCGGCCAGTCAAAGAAACCACTCAACCCAACGAGAAAAGGAGACATAACAAGCTTGGATAATCCGAAGGTATGATGTTTTGTATATCAGTAGATGCAAATAAGGCTCGATTGTTCCCTGATGACTTGATTGGATTTGATCTCCATGTATAGTGAGAATTGCAAGAACTTCATCTGGTCCCCATACTGCACATAACAGAAAGTAGTTCTTTGTTCATGTGTTCTACAGTAGATGTAGGAAGTCTAAAATGTGTTATCTTAGCAACTACAAGGAAATTACTCATATTGAAGAAATCCATCATGGAGTCTACGAACTATAATTTCTGGACATAAGAACAGGAGCATTCGGAGCCTCCAACTTCCTGTTGCTCTGTTTCTTGTCTCACAATGCTGTAGGCTGTAGCTGTCTACAATACTGACTTGTTCGGTTCTTTCATTCCTTTTCCTGAACCTTTATTTTTATTTACCTGATGTGCGGTTTTTATCAGGGAAAACCTTGCAATCATCCAATAATGGGGAAACAACGTCCAGTTGCTACAACTCAGAAGCTCCACTTTCGGTAAAACAGGTCGAGGGACTGTGTGCTAGATAGAATTAACTAGCTTGTACATATACTACTCAATGTCGAATTTCTTCTAGGGTTTCAGTAGTCTTTTTTTCCCCCTGCACTTCATGGCTTAAGAAAAGGGTAGAAGAGTAGTTAACTGGGGAGATAACTGAGGATGAAGAGGTAGTAGTGGATAACTGGGGAGGTTGAACAGGCAGACGTCAGGAAATTTTTGGGTCCTGGGCTGGCTAATGATATTCGTTCATTGTGCCCTCTCTTTCTGTGCAAGTATTCTACTTAAAGAAACTCTATGCAACTCTAATGAAGTTCCAAAGAGTCTGAGGTGAAGACTGGTTTTAACCTTTCTGTCTAAGCTCTATCAAAGACGGCTCATGTCCTCTGTACAGAGCTTTCTAATAAAATAAAATCACAAGCAAGTTCGCAAATCATATGTGCAGATTTACGCCAAAGCTCGACATATGATATATCGAAGTTGTATTTCTAATATATGTTCATCGTTGATTTGCATCTAAGTTTATGTTAATTAACACTGCTTGGTGGAGACAAAATTTTGAGCATAATTTGTTTGGTTTCTGCCGGATACAACATTACTAGCATTAGCAAATGTTGGGCATCCTTGGTTTTTACCGTTGCTGGAATTCGAGCTTAACACTTAATAAAATCTGCTAACATTCGATTCCCACAGCCAGAATTTGCAACAGGAGTTCCTTCGTGCTTCTCGGATTTCACCTTCTTAAAGCGCCATAATTCCTCGTTACCTGCAAAGCAACCAGCCCAACGTGTATCATCTTAGTAACTTTTCCATTTTGCCAGAACTATGAATATCAGCAGATTGATTGTCCCTGTCAGACGACTAGTAAATTCTTAGACAGGAAGGCATGGAGAGCATGACTAACCCTTGTTTGGGACTTGTTCAATAGCTTAGCCCTGTCACCTTCATCATCATCGTCATCATCATCTTTGCTCATTAGCATTCTCTTGATCCCTGCAGGGCTGTCTGCTTTCCTTCCACGTTTTGATGTTGCAGTCCCTCTACCCCTTCCCCTTGGTGCTGCCGCTCTTTTCCGCCCTTTGCCTCTAACCGGTTCATCATCGTCCTTTGCAGACAAAAATAAGTCAGCACAAAATAATACAACGATTCCAAGAGAATTGGCTCAACCGCAAGATACCTAGTAGTGAAGTATGAAACTAGACCAATTCTAATGCTCCAATGCATAGAAATGACAGATGTTTGTCGCTTGTCGTACTACAAGTTTGAAGTAACAAGAACCTATCGGTATACCTCACTGTCGTTAATTTCATGCGCTTCTGCCTCTTCACTAGAAGCTTCATCCACATTAACAATGCTTCTCACTGCAGCGGCTGTGGCAGCTGATGCAGATCTGCAGCAAGTAAACAAAAAATTAAAGGTAAACTAAATGTTAGGATCTTTCTAGGTACCCCAAATGTAACTCTTAGAAAAGTATAGCAAAAATTAGGGAGCATGAACGAAAAATAAACCTTTGTGACTGCCGAAAACCTAGAGCAGAATCAAGAGTTGTCTGCTTCATACTACTTGTTGAGCCTCTGCCTCTCCCCCTTCCTCTAGTGGAAGTTTTGCTCTTGCTGGCTTCTGAAGCATTACGAGTAGTACTCCCTTTCCTACCCCTAGCTGTAGACCTTGCCCCAGACACCTGGGTTGTTTCTTCATCATCGCTAAAGGAAATAGCACTTCCCGTTCCTGGAGCAGTTGTACTTCTAAAATCCTGTATCAACAGGGAGTGAAGTTGACAGCCAAAATTGGATTTGGAAGAAAGAACTAAATCTGAAAAGGATCCTAGAACAGCAGAGTATAATTTTTCATTATTACCTCCGTTGACTGAGCGCTAGTTGTGGACATTAGATTGTCATGCGGCTGCTGAGACCTCGACTTTACACGTTCCTATGGCAAATATGTTCCAGCATCATCATGAGATAAAGAAAATAGAATCTTTTATAGCTTTATTAGTTAAGCCAGGGATATATAACAGCAGATCAGCGAGGACAGCAAAGTCACACAGTTACAATTGTACAGATATAACATCATGAACAAGTAGGGACATAATAAATGAGGACAAAGAGTAGGTGGTGAAACTTCCGTCAATGAAAAATGCTGAGCGAAGGACTCTAAGGAATGTCTGGAGTGCACCATGAATAACACAACCCCAAGGGATTAACCTACACACTCTGAGTTTCGTACCCCAAGAATACACGATGATTTTTTTTTTGAAATAATGACAAGACATCACGAGATATCACCCAGGTCAAACCACAAATACACAGTCGAGAGATGTGATCGGTGATAGCAAACCCAATTGATGAAGCCTCAAAACCCAACAGTGAACTAAAAGACCCCTGTGGGTTAAGTAAATTTATTCACAGAAACAGAGGGAGAACATCATGCTTAATTTAACAATACCAACTCGATCAGTATATAGGTTATAAAATTTATAGAGCTTCCTTGCCTCTAAGCATTCTCCAACTTTAAGAATGAGATCATCCTCTTCAAATTTTGCACCATCTGTATCCTTCGCAAGTTTACTCTGTGTAACCAGCAAAGCATATCATTGTAAGTATCTTATAAAGATAAGGATAACCTTGTGGATGAAGACTATACGGACAAATTTTACCATGACCATAGACTCTGAGCATTATGGCCTTAGAAATGATAAGAAAAAGATGTTAAGGGCCATATTTCCAAAATTGAAAAATGAGCAGGGATGATACATACACGTGTTTCTTGGATATTATGTTGCACGCATGTATAGAAAGCCATTTTGTCATCTTTATTAACAAAATTGTGCAGTGCAACATCCAAGTCATTGACAGGAAGAATCTCCATTTTCTGGGGAAGAAACGAAGATATAAGTCAGACTACCCAAACTACCAAATCTGTAATTCTTCACACTTCGCGTCATCGATCTCAACCCAACAGTGAAACCCTTATGGAATAAGAAGATTTTCATTAGCAGATGCTTGAAGTTACTTCTCATAAGTCTTGGAAATTTATGAGATTAGGAGAACAGATATGACCAGTACATTATAAACATGAAAGGAACCGTAATAAATGGTGGCTACTTACCAGATTACTTTCAGCTACTAGGGCCTCTATGTTTTGCTGATTTAATTCTTCTGGGCGAAGGCGCTCTGCATCGCTAATTACAGCTGCAGTAGGTAAATACAAATATGTTACACAACCAATAAAAACTCAATTTGATATAAAAATATATCTGAGAGAGAGATAGTGGCCCACAAAACTTTTTCTTCTTTTTTGCTTTTAATGTGAATGTACTAGCCAAGAAATCCAACACCAAAGAGCACAGGAGTAGCTGATCAAGTACCATAGACGCAACCACAAGAGGCCAGCAAGCCAAAACTGAACAATAAAAACAAGGAAATGAAGATAGTTACATTCATTTCGACCCTTCTTGGAAGCCTTTGAGAATATAAGAATATCTTGAGGATTAGCAACCTGAAAAATATTTAGACCAAAAGAAGTCAATGCTCAGATGCTTGCTGAATAATTGAGCAGCAGCTAAAAGGCTGTCGTTACCTTTCCAACATACTTTTGCCCAAATCGTTGAGGGTTTATTGTCATAAAGCCTGAGTAATCCACCTGCAAAAGTAGCAAAAGGCTCAAATGACTCATGCTGCTACCAGGCGTATCTTACTATGGCCTCATTTTCCCCTGATTTCTTTCAGAAGAATGGGGTGAGAGGCTGTTCAGTAAGGTGGTCAGAGAAAGAGAATTTTGCATTTAGCAGTAGATTATATCAACATTTGTCAGCAATTCCACTAAGCAATGGACTGTAAGGGAATCAAAAGTTCTGCAATGTGCTTTGATAAAAGATGGGGAGAAAAAATTGTTTCACATAAACATGTATGGCGGAACCCATATGTACGTACTGCTTAGTGGTTATGAGCTACACATAATGTAGATGTCTTCTAAACTTGGTTCAATGAAATGAACAACGTGACAACAGGCAAGCTTACTCATGCTGCATTATAAATTGTAAGGCAGGACCAAGAGAAACTAACAGCACCTGAAAGCTCTAGGTAAAGGTGCTGGAATTCATTGCATACTACAACACCTAGACTAGATACATGCAAATCTTCACCTTGACTCTGACCAGTGGGAGCTTGAGCTCAGATCTGCTAGTGGCATTTCGCCGAGACTTGTCTATCAGATTACTGACCTGGAAATTTTCGGAAGTCAGAGTAATGTAGTTAGCACAGTTACCCAAACACATTCACTGCAAGAACAAAAGAATCATTTGAAAATAAAAAGGAAAAGAGGGGAAAGATCACTGTTTCTTTGCAACGTTAGAAGACATGACATACCACTTTGTCCAGATGTTCCAGAATTGAGTTTTGGTCATTTGGGTCGATATCCGTTTCTTCTTTCAGCACGATCTGCATTACATGGAAGAGCAAATTGCAAAATGTTGTTTATGGGTAACCAGAAAGGGAAACCTTCATCACATTACCTCAGTGTACTCAAAAGGCCTCACTGATGTCAGAGGTATCTTGGTTGGACGATATTGATTTCCCTGAATGATAAAAAAAAAGGCAGTATGAAAAAACTTTAGAGATACAAATTCTGAATCTGCATATTGAAGAAAATGAAAACATTTTCCACTCTTAACACCACCTTAATTTCTAGAAGCAGAACATGCTTAGGCTTTGATTCTCCATCAATCAGTGATGTTGCAACAGAAGACCCCGGTTGTGTGATGTGAAATCCCATGCCTGGAACTTCCTTAAGAAAATAAAAAGTTTGTTTCCAGTCAGTTCGGAAATGAAAATACTTGAATTGAGTGGCATGAAGATCTGAGAATGCCACCTGTGGATCAACAAGACATTCATGTTCATGGCCCCATACAATGAAGTCCAGGAACCTGGGCAGAAAGTGCTCATTTATGGCATTCTTTGGGTTCGTCTTCACCCTACAGATAACAGCAGCTGCTAAGTTAGTTTCTGAGGAGGGTTTGAGCTAATATAGTTATCCTGACTTCAACCCAACAAAGATAGAGAACATGAATTTTTTATTTTTCAACTGTGAGCTCGACGAGATGTATATATGCAAGACTATATGCAAGAGAGAGAGATTTCTTCATTCAGGCATGACGAGTACAAATAGTGCACATAACCACACAGGGATTGACAAAACATGCAAACAGAAGCACGCCCTCATTAAGACAGAGCATCCTTATGAGCTTCAGTGCATGGAAGCTAACCTGTTCTGATGAAGTACAAGGATATTAAACCAGTCCGACACCTCGCAACCTTCTTGAACTTCAGGCCTCATCCATTGTACAGCATGTGGAGTCTGAAGGATTAAAAGAAGACCTAACACTTTATGGTAACCATACTATTGGAAACTGAAAAATAAGCCAAAGTTGTAATATGACTCACCTGAAACATCCTATTCAGCCGCTCGTCCCTAATATTACCAAGCCCATACAAAGCAACATTTGTCGAACCCTATCAACGGATATCACATTTAATTGATGCTATAAGGATGAGAAAAGGAATACCACTCTTGTAGGCAGCAATAAACACATATTGACCTTTTTCATTAGGATTGGATACAGTGTGATTTGACCAACCCCAGAACCCTCAAGAATCATTTTCCCAAAGTAGTTCACGAGATTGCAGGCTGACAGGATATCAATTGCAGATAGGTTGTCCTGTCACGGTGACCAAGAAAGCTAAATAAACAATACTTTCAGACAATAAATTTATACAAACATAACATGTAATCATTTAGAGAGATAACGATAGACTAAATTAGCTTAAGCTTCACAACCAATATGTAATGTTCATTTGACCGTTGAGATCAAAGTAGCAGCGGCACAAGTACATCTAGAGAAAAAAAATAAGGCACACCATAATGCGTCATATACAGCCAACTAATTAGAACAAACTAAAAGTAGATGCCTAGGGCCAAAAGCAACATGAATAGATAAACAAGATTTTTTTTACAAAGAACAGATAAACAAGATGATGATGCAAAAGTTAACATCCAACTTGCAGTTTTGGTTCATCAAAAACAAAAAATGCATCAAGAAAGGTACATACCACACCAGCAGGGTCATCATGATTTCCGTGAATGCTAAACACTGGAAGACCAATATTGAAGTGTGGATCTTCATAGTTTACGTGGCCAAATCTGTCAAAAAATCTCAAGTTACCAGTAGTTGTAGTTTGGCAAGTTTGAAATCAAGGTTACAAGAGCAATATGCATGAGTATGAACTCCAGAGGTTAAGCTAGACCTATATTCACCTCCCTTAGCAAATGATGGGCATAAAATTCCATTTCAAATGAAACAAACAAGAGGAGGTATGAGCAAAATATATTCATTAAGAGTTCAAGGGAACTAAAGAGTAAATAGGTTCTCACAGATTCGCAAAATTTACGGTCTGATCGCTGACAACTTGAAACTGCACTGGTCGATCATTCAAACAATGCCGACGGAGGATCTCAATGGCCTTAACTAATGTTGTTCTTGAGGGCTTGTTCTCATGAAAAAGGTCCCCACCAAGGAGCACGAGGTCAACCTGTTATCAGGTACAACATGCAGAAGTAGCACTCTCAGCATCTATATTCAACTAGAGGATGGCCAAACAAATCAAAAGACACATTTCTTTCGCATGAACTCCGGAATATGCATCTTCTTCTTATTCTCAAACTTAAACCGGTAACATTAAGGTTCAAGAGTACATAATTTTAAGCCTTCCATATATTTTTTTTCAACTCCTGCCATTGACAGTGCTTGTAGGACAAGCGTTTACAGGACAATACAAGTATCTCATGGCCAAGCATTGAAAGAGGACATGCGCTTCATCAGCAACACAAAAAAAGATGTATAGCCATTGTGGTGTTAAGCAAAAGATGAATACCAAGCAATCAAAGTGCCAACCTGCTTTTCGTCCGCTATTTTACATATCTCCTCAAATGCTAGGAAAGAATCGTGCCTCCTTACTTCATCCTTCTCCATGTAACCGAGATGGCAGTCTGTCGCGACAAGCACCCGTAGTGTATTCGAATTATCCTCCCTGGAAAATACATCCATCACCATTCACCACTAGCTGACACACACTCACTTTTGCTCAAACATGAACCTAAACTAGGGAGTAATTTCTATCAATAAGAATATCATTTTTAACCGAAACAGCTTCACTGTGCAGCCGGGATAGTAGAAAGAGGAACAAAGAGAATAACTCACCTTGGCAGGTCTCCCATGTTGTCCAAAAGCAGCTACGCAGCAAACTGCAATAAATCACCAAAGAAGAAGGCTGAAGAGACTCATTCGCTGGAGTCGGGGTGAAAGATGGAATAAAAAGAAGACTGAAAAGGCTCAATCGCTGGAATCGTTCCATGCCTTACTGGTTACTGCTAAGTGGCAAGATGGTAGAATCAGACAAACTGCTTGGAAATCAATCAGGGTAGCAGGTCGGGCAGAAAGCTGAAAAACAAGTAAGAATAAGGTTCAGAGCTTCTGATTGCTGGCGAAGTAGAAACCCCCCATTCAATTCCGTAGATACAGTTCAATTTCTCTAAGCAAACAAACAGCAAAAAGGATTGGGTTCCTTGCTAGCGGAGAAGAAATGCGAACATACGCGGATGTAGTACAGTAGAACTTACCTCTTTGATTGGCTGCGACGGAAGCAAACGCTTGGAGAGTGAAGGGGAGAGGGGTTTTGTGATGGCGGGGAATTTCAAAGACCCTGAAGCCCTGACAGTGAAAGAATGAAGGATGTCTGGGATTTTCTCCCGTCTCCCTTTACCAATGTGATTAACCCGACCGATCGGTTGAACCCATCAAGGTTGGCTCGGTAACTAACAAATCCAACACAAACATTTAAATTGTAACAAAACGATCACCTATATATTTTTTAAATTGTAACCAACATTTAGTATACAAGTCATGTGATCTCTAAAACACCTAACTAGATCCCAACTCATCAAAACCAAACATCATTATTCGAATTTCCAATTTTCTTTCGGAACATCCGATAAAATTTTGAACGATCCAGATGATTCGAATCTCCAATCCACACAGCCCAACTCACATTTAGCATTTTGTTAATTTACAACATTGTAATTGTTATGATTGTTATCCAATGAGTGTTTGTTAAATTACCTCTAAACTTAAACTTAAATCTAACGTTTAGAGGTGGCAAATGGATTGGATCCATGGATTGGTGGATTCATGGATTGGTGGATTATCCATGAATCCAAATAACATCCTCAACCTTGGACTAATATGTAAAATGTGAAACGTTTATGTACTAAAATGTCATAATGAAAAATTTTAGGTACCAAAACGTAGTTTTCCAATGATATTTTTTGTATAAAATTTAGGAACTAAAATGTAAAATATAGGTACCAAACCTTAATTTGCCATTTGGATCCATGGATCAATCCATGAATCCACCAATCCAAATGGATTTGGATCAAATGGATTGGATTTAAATGAATTGGATTGTGTTGATATTTTTCATGGATTGGATTGGTAATTGCCACCTCTAATTACGTTCATATTATTCCATCGCCATTGTGTATTGACAAAAACAGTCAATTAGAAAGACTTTACACAATTTGAAAGTTAGTCATCTTCAAATTTCATAAACAAATATACATATCACACTCGTAAAAAACATTCATAAACAAAGAAAAACAAACAAATAAAATCATTATGTCAAATTATCGTTTAAGAGGGACGGGGAGAGACCCCGATACCACTTGCAACATCTTCAACATTTTTTTTTTATCAAGATATTTGTCCATTTTGGAGTCTATCCCACACGATTTTGCTTTTGGGTGCATACCAGAGTGACTTCCCATGAGTCATGCACCCATCCTTGCACTGCTCGCAATCACATCGAGCACTTTAACTTCAGAGCTCTTACAGTAACTCTTTCAATTCACTGAATAATGTATCGTATAAGTTAAAGTTGGATTTTTCATTATCAACCACAGCTATTTTGGATGAGTGATTTGCCTAGGTGATACAATAATGCATGTCAATCAAGGATCTCCATCCATGGGGAGGTATTGCATGCCAATCAGGTGGTTATTGAAACGTGTCGCGATTACATTGATGCCGTATCATGAAATTATTGAAGCTAGCTAATGGAAATATGGAATATATCAGTATAAAATTAACAAAAACATTGGCGAAACCTTTGGTTGCGCGCTCGCTAATTAGGTAGGGTTCAATCAGCCATGCGTACGGAGCGGAATGACAAGTAGTACAAACTACACATGATGTGGGGACTATATATACACATAGAATAGAATCGAGAGAGAGAGAGAGAGAGAGATGCTGAAAATGAAAGGGCGAAGGGAATGACAAGAAAGAGAGAGTCGATCGATCGGGAAGGTGCCAACATGGAGCCAAACGGTGTAATTACTAATTATACAGTAGATGAGAAATTTGAGATGGTTAGCATCTTCGACTGGAGGATAATATGCTGCTGAGATATTAGTTGATAGAGTGAAGTCTCTTGTGTACATAACGTATATAATCGATTCTTGTATGTACGTAATTTTGCAAAATTATTTGTGTAAGTTCACCTATAATATTCATGAATTTAGCTTAATTAATTTTCCATCGTAATGTTATAAATGTGGACAATAACTAAATGAAGTCAATATGAAGAATTGCCGAGGTAACAAGAAGTGTAAACTTGTAGGACAATAAATGTAACATCCCGAACATTTTTTTGACGAAGAAATTGTCCGCTTTGGGTCTCGACCCTCACGGTTTTCGATTTGGGGTGTAATTCAAGGTGTGACTTCTCATAAGGTCATTCATCCTTGTTGTACTCCACAAGGAGCACGTTCAACTTCGGAGTTCTCATAAGAATTCTTCTATTTCACTCCAAAACGCGTCTTGTGAGTTAAAATCGGTTTCTTACTTATGAACAATGGATCAGTCTTCACTCTTGACTCTTGTGCTTTGTCGATGTGGGATTCACCTAAAGTGTTACATTAAACTAGAAAAAACCATTTATACCCTTCAAGTTCAAACGAGGGAAGAACCCTTAGAAAGATGCAAGCTAGGGGACATATATAGATCAATGTCTTATAAAATCCTATGGTAGGAAATATCAGAAACCGAAAACAAATTGAAGGTGAGTTTAGCGATAAAAAATTGTTAAATATAAAATAGATTTTTATTTATTTTTTGGTACGATCTTACAATTATAGATATAGATCACAGATATAAAAAAAATGTAATAAGTAGTGTTTGTAAAACCATACCATACTAGCCGGCCGACCTATGAAATCGCCTACCATCCTTTGGTATAAGAGATTTTTATCAATATGGAATAGGGATGGCAATTGTGCCCATACCCATGGATATTTTACTATCCAACCCAATTGGGTTGGGTATGAAATCCAAATAGATGGATATGGGTAAAGTTTGATGGGTTTGTACCCATACCCATTTACTTTGGGTTGGGTTGGGTTTATAACAAATGGATTTGGGTTTGTACCCATGCCCAAATACAAATTACAGTTTGGTACCTAAACTTAATAGATATGCATATTTAGTACCTAAATTTAATTTTTTTGCATATAAGTCCTCAAAATATCGATGGAAAATTACGTTTTGGTACCTAAATTTTTTTGTTCTTACATTTTGGTACCTAAAATTTTCAAGTTTTACAAATAAGTCCAATTTTTGCATGTGTAGTTAAGACACCCTCAAGTAAATGGATATCCATATCCAACCCATACCCATTAAGATAATATCCATATCTACCCCAAACCCATATACAAACCTCAAACCCATACACACATCACCCAAACCCTACCCATAATAGATGGGTCTACTTGGGCTTGGGAAAAATTACCCATGGGTGGGTAAATTGCCATCCCTAATATGGAACGATAGAATCAAGATTAAAATAAACCGCAATTAAAAGTATCCTATTACTGACTTTTTTCTATACGATTTTACAATCCTCGCTAACAAGGGACAAAAAGAAGTGAAGAAACTGGGGCCTAGGGGGCAAAACCGTAAGATTGGGGGCGAAGGATAGCTAAGGATGGAGAAGTCGTCTAGTTGCGGCTTAGCTTGCTTGCTCATATCTATTCTTGTCTATCCCCCTCCACGTTATAATCTGATTTCCCCCCCTTCTCTTCACTTATTCTGCATATGCTTCTTTAATTTCCCTTCCCTCCAATAATATCTATTAATAATCTCCTCCAGTTCCTCTCACCAACCAAACACACCCTTACCCTTCCCACAATCTCACTCTTCACCTCAACATGGCCGCTCCCAGCGACGACGATCACCGGTACGAAACCTCCGACGACGACGACGACACCGAGGACGAAACCTCCTCCTCCGACGAACTAGGCCGCCACGCGTCCGCCGCCGCCGAGGAGGACGCGGCGTTGGGGTCGAGGAGGAGCGGCAGCTTGTTCATGGCCTGCTGCGGCGGCGGCGGCGTGGGGTGGCCGGCGAGGAGTACGGCTACCACCAGCAGTACGAAGCTCCGGCGGCGGAGGGTGGCGGGGGAGTGGAACCGGATCTACCTCTTAGCCTGCGCGATGGGGCTGTTCGTGGACCCGCTCTTCTTCTACGCGCTCTCCGTCAGCGACGCCTACATGTGTTTGTTCGTCGACGGATGGTTCGCTCTCACCGTCACCGCACTCCGCTGCATGAACGACCTCCTCCACCTCTTCAACCTCTTCCTCCGCTTCACCGCCGCCAACCACCGCTGGAGGACCACCACTACTACTACTGCTCCTGCTGCTGCCCCGACGCCCGGCCGGCGGTACTACTTGAAGGACAAGAAGGGGTTCTTCCTCGACCTCTTCGTCATCCTCCCGATACCACAGGTTCAGTAAAAATTAAACTCTTTTTGAATTTCACTTCAACAGAAAATCCTACCGTACCAATCGGTGGGGTCGAAAATACGGAATACTGGAACCTCTGAAACAATAGGTGATTTTAGTGGTACGAAGGATCGAAATACAATAAGGGGCAATAGCCGGGATTTTTATTCAAAGTGAGTTAATTTAGGAAAAATACGCATGGTATAAACAGTTTTTATCGATTTTTTAATCATTCATTATATAATCTTATATTAGGGGCAATTTTGATAAATTTAAAAATACATTAGTAGTCGAAAGTATAAAAGTATTACTATCTGTGTATAAAAATAATTGTTCATGATTTAGTTAGTTGTTTACTTTTAAAAAGTGTTATTTTTAACCAGTATCAATCACTATAGTTAATGGAGAGGTTTAATAATGAAATTTATATAATTTACTAACATACCTGCTCAAAAGAAAGTCAACTTAATTATACGAGTTTGAATTTTTCACAAATTTGAAGATCATGTGCTTAACAGAAGGTATCACTAAAAATCAGACTTAAAACCTCTCGATGTACTAATCTCAATCAGACACACTCTAATTTTCATTTTCGATTAATCATTATATACCTAATTTACTCATTTTCCTCTCAAACCCAGGATTCATCCTATCATGACTCAACCACAATTTTAATACAAAATACTCGAGAAATTAAACAACTTTTTCCGGTACTATGTCACAGTTATTTTTACTGCGTCTACTATTCCTTTCCCATGAATGAAATAGTTTGTTAGGAGAGCAATAATGAGTTGTGGTGGTAATGAATGAGAGACGACGTAGCGTTGTAGGCTACTGCTCTCGTGTATGGACATTTGGGGTATGGAAATTTGGCGGTTTATGGAAGGGATGACGGAAAGGGATCGGTGGTGACAAATGCATGGAATCACAAGTTAGCTTTCCGGTAGGGCATGGAGTTTTGCGTTTGTGCAGAGAGAGAGAGAGAGAGAGCCATGTGAAAGAAGTATGTCGTTTCCTTCATTATTCCTGCAAAAACCCAACAAAACTCGGTACGTACTAGAGAACAAAGCACTGGACATTGACAGAAGAAGAAGAAAGAAAGGTTTCTGCGGCTTTGCTTCGTTGGCGGATCAGTTTTGTACAGTACGATTCGGTTTGGTTTTGTTGTGGGTCTTCTTTTTTTCCCCCCCACTGTCTACGTACGTTTCTCTTCTCCTATGTGTAGTAATTCAACGACGTCGCTTTCTTGCTATGTAGTTTTCAGTGGGGATTTTTTGTTATCATTTTTCTAGAAGAAAATTCATTTTCGGTTTTCAAAAATAAATGTATCGTCCTTAAAATATAGAGAGGGGGGGGGGGGGATTTAAACTAATTATTGATAAGGACCACAAGAGGAATATGCTCTTCAAATCTGGTCTGATGGGTGGATAATGAAATTCCCTTAGGGTGCGTTTGGATAAGTGCATTTTAAATGTAAGGAATTTGAAATACTAGAATTTGAAATGGATGTATTTGGAGTATTAGCATTTGAAATACATGTAATTCAAATTCATTGTTTGGATACTCATTTGTAATTTGTTTGTATTTTTGTATTTATGATTTTCAATTTCAATTTTTAATTTTCTGGTCACTTACTACAAATTTTGGTAAATTACAGTTTGGTACCCAAAATTATTTTTTCTTACAATTTAGTACCTAAACTTTTAAAATTTTACAAAAAGGTCCTGAAATTTTGATGGTAAAATTATATTTTGGTACCTTTATATGTTTTGCCTCACACTATAGTACCTAAACTTTTCATATTTTACAAATAGGTCCATTCTTTTGTTAGGAGGTATTTCAAATCACTAGTTGTTGAAATATATTTGAAGTTGACAAAAAATACACTAGACATGTATTTGGAAATCACCCCATGAATTTGACACAAATCTAAATACCAAATGTAATTAATATCCAAACACATGATTTGGTATTTGAAAATCCAAATCACAAATACCAAATCCAAATCCTTGTATCCAAACGCACCCTTAGAAATTTCAGTGGTTGATTTGAGTGATTTTTATGCTAAAATTTAGTTTTGGTAGGGGGTGAAAAATGATTTTCATTTACCCATTTTTATAATCAGTGCCGGAGTCACCTTCTTTTAAGAGGGTGAGTGCCGGAATCCACCTCACGGTTAGGACAAGGGGAAAAAATATTTGTATAAAATTCGTAAGACTCAAACCCAACATCTCAAGTTCTCAACATATTATAAAGAATTTTGTCACATATTAATATGACATATTATGTTGATAACTCTAAATTTTACATAAAATTGTATTATGATTATTTATAAGGGGTTGATTAATTAGTAAGTTTCTTATATTTCGCCTGCCTTTTTTCTTATGTGTGTAGATTGTATTGTGGGTGGCAATCCCTTCAGTACTGAAAGCCGGCTCCGTCACGGCGATAATGACACTATTTCTGGTGACGTTCCTCGTCCAGTACCTGCCGAAGATCTACCACTCCGTCCGCGTCCTCCGCCGCATGCAAGATCACTCCGGCTACATTTTTGGGACCGTTTGGTGGGGCATTTTCCTCAACTTGATCGCTTACTTCGTCGCTTCCCACGTAAGTTCCTCGAACTTTCGCTAACCCTAGCTAGCTAGTTGAGTTGAAACTTCCTTTTCCTATAGCCCTATTTAATTTCCTCCAGGTGAAAATTCACGTACTCTTTTTCCCCCCTTTTTCTGCATGTTAGTATGTTACAGTCGTACTAGTTAGTTGAATGTTTTCTGAAGTAAGACCTCAGTAATTATCCCATGTTTACTTTTCCCTTTCTAACCCTTGACCTCGTTGAGTTGAAGTGTTAAGATCAACGGGGTTTTAGATGGTTAATGATCCAACGTTTAAGCATAGGCTGATATGTATGTTATCATCCCTCGTAACTACTAAATAGTGGTCACAAATGGATTTACATTTGTAGAATCATGAATTCGTGGGGTATAGATTATAGTTATATTTAGCTTCTGGTCCACTTTATAAATAAAAAATATATAAAGCTTACGGACTAGGGTCTCACTTAAAAAATCAGGTACTAAAAATATAATTTTTGGGTCAAATTTTCTATTCATTATAAAATAAATCAAAAACTTTTATTAAAAAATCAAAGTTTAAGAATTAAAATGGAAGATATGAAAAAATTAGGGTAATGTCTATTTTTTATCCAAATCTTTTTTAGATTCTTTTATATTATCCAAACCTATTAAAATTCTATTAATTATCCAAATCTTTCATAATGCATCAAAATATTAGCCACTTTTACGTTATCGTTAATAATTTTGTAACTATTTTCTTAGTTAAAATAATAAAATTTTGAATGTTGACCTTCATGAGTCTCTTTCAAGTCAGTATCATTTTGTCAAGTCAATAAAACTAGCAAAATTGCTAACTGAAAGTTAACATTTGGTTAATTCTTAGTATTTTGATAGGTTTGGATAATATAAAAGAATTTGAAAAAAGTTTGGATAAAAAATAGACATTACCCAAAAAATTATGAATTAAATTATAATTTTATACAAATCCATAAACTCAAACCGTTAAACTAAAAAGCCGACGAGATTTTATCAAAATGAGTTTGAAAATACTGAAATAAATCAGGTGACTGTATTATCGATTGTCACCTCTAAGAACTGTCGTTCTGATAGATATTAAGATTGATCTTGCTTAAAATCTTTTTTTTTTTTTGTTGCCCATAATGTTTGGTCCGAATAAAGAAATTAGGTATCTAACTCATATATGTGTCTCTCTAGTTATGGGATTCCATGTAAACTAGATAAAGAGTCATGGTGGGGAAGCGATGATCTGTAACGAATATATGTTGGGTCTCCAATGATACAAACCTGCAATGATGCACGAACAATATACACATGGCAATACTACTCAATCAATCGACCCAAAATAATTCACCCATCCTCAGCCATATATTCTCTTCTATTGGGTCCCCATCATATATGAACAAATTTCAATTCTGGATGCAGGCAGCCGGAGGTTGCTGGTACTTACTAGGCATCCAAAGGGCAGCCAAATGCCTTGAAGACCAATGCAAATCCACAACCCACTGCATCCCCCAGATCCTCTCCTGCAGACAGCCCATCTACTACGGATCCACCACCAGGCCCATCGCGAGCCCAAGAGTCATCTGGGCCCACAACAACCACACCAGGTAACAGAGTGGTATATGATTTATAATTAACTTTCTTTCAATAACTCAATAACTCTGAGTTATTGAAACCAGCTGGTTTGTAATAGGTACACATGTCTGTCCTCTCCGGACCATTACAGCTACGGCGCGTACAAGTGGACCGTCCAGCTCGTGGCCAACGAGAACCGGCTCGAGAAGGTCCTACTTCCGATCTTCTGGGGGCTCATGACCCTCAGCACGTTCGGCAACCTCGAGAGCACGACCGAGTGGGTCGAGGTCGTGTTCAACATCATCAGCCTGACCGGAGGAGTGTTGTTGGTGACGATGTTGATAGGGAACATCAAGGTTTTCTTGAACGCGACGACGTCGAAGAAGCAGGCGATGCAGCTGAGGATGAGGAACCTGGAGTGGTGGATGAGGCGGCGGCAGCTGCCCGTGGGGTTCCGGCAGAGGGTGCGGAACTACGAGCGGCAGAAGTGGGCGGCGATGAGAGGGGTGGATGAGTACGATATGATCAGGAATTTGCCGGAGGGGATAAGGCGGGATATTAAGTATCATCTCTGCTTGGATTTGGTCAGGCAGGTGCCGTTGTTTCAGCACATGGATGATCTGGTGCTGGAGAACATTTGTGACCGGGTCAAGTCGCTCATATTCACCCGAGGTGAAATGGTAAGTTTATCTTTCTTACCGTTGTTATGGAAAGACAAAATTCAGAAATTTTCTCAATACTAGACTTCCTATAAATAAATAAATAAATAAATTCTCATACTAGAGAACTAATTACTAGTTCGTTGGAGACTGAACGTGAACTACTCTAGATTATGGCCAAATAGAGCGAACATTCCTCAAACCAGTATCGATCGCGAGAAAAAAGGAGCGATCAACCTATATTGCTGATAACAACAATGATGTAGCACACCTAAAATGGCTAGAGTTTTCAGCGATCTACATCTAACACACTTAAAAAATTTGAAGGGTCATAACTTTGTGCTCGATTATTTTATCGTAGAAATTGTTTCCGCATGAGTCGGCTAATCGAGCGTAAAGTTACAACCCTTTAAAGTTTTTAAGTGTGTTAGGTGTAGATTTCTAGTTTATTCATCTATTTTTTTGGGGGCATGATTCGTTGGAGTCATCAGCGATCTTGGTGGATCGCTTTGGTAGGCCGGGACCAAAATTGGATCTCTTCGGTTGGGCGGGATCATGGCTATATTGCTCAGGTGTCCAACGAACCACTATCTAAATCGCTCAACACTCTAGTGAATATCTAAACTTTAGTATTAGATTTTCCCCCCGGTAGAATGAGAAATTTTATGCAAGTATTGTATTGCGGAAATTTTTAAGTATCAAGTGTAGTATTTTAGTGTGAGTCTAGTATTTTGGGTGGAAACCCAAAAATCAAGTTTCTAAGGTAAAATATTGAATGTTCTTTTTCAGATAACAAGAGAAGGGGATCCGGTGCAAAGAATGCTGTTCATAGTGAGAGGCCATCTCCAGAGCAGCCAGGTCCTGCGCGACGGCGTGAAGAGCTGCTGCATGCTGGGGCCGGGCAACTTCTGCGGCGACGAGCTCCTCTCCTGGTGCCTCCGCCGCCCGTTCGTGGAGCGGTTGCCGCCGTCCTCCTCCAGCCTCATCACGCTGGAGACGACGGAGGCCTTCGGCCTGGAGGCGGAGGACGTCAAGTACGTCACGCAGCACTTCCGCTACACGTTCGTGAAGGAAAAGGTGAAGCGGAGCGCCCGGTACTATTCTCCCGGGTGGCGGACTTGGGCGGCGGTGGCGATACAGCTGGCGTGGCGGCGGTACAAGCACCGCCTCACGCTGACGTCGTTGTCGTTCATCCGGCCGAGGCGGCCGCTTTCCAGGTGTTCCTCGCTCGGGGAGGATCGGCTCCGGCTCTACACGGCGCTGTTGACCTCGCCCAAGCCGAATCAAGATGATTTTGACTTCTGAATTCATTCCTTCGTTTCAAAATGATTGGATGTGCCGTACCCGTAAGTTTGTTTGGTAATGTAATTATCATGTAATGGTGGTGGGCTGGTGGGCTTTCCATTTATTGATACGCGACTTCATTCCGGCCCAATGGATCCTCTAAGCCTTATGGGCTTTAAGTATTACCCAGTAAAACCTCTTAAATATGTTATTTGGGCCTAACGTGGTGGCCTGATGGGCACTCCACTTATATGGTTGTCAAACATTTGTATGTAGACCGGTATAACTGGGTTCAAATCAATTAGTATTAAACAAAAAAAGACTGAAAGATTACTGGTATAATGCGATTGTCAAAATCGAGTAAAGAATAGTACAAAATGACATTATCTTCATAGAATTAACTAACAAAGAGATGTAATTTTAAATATGAACATTTAGATGTTATCTATTGAATTCAAATATGAACTTTGAGAGGTTGACGTGAAATGTTGTAATATATAAATATGAAGATTTGTCAAATATGCAGGTAGATTGTGTTAGGACTTAGGACATATTATATCATGCACAATTCCTTTAGTGTTAACGGTTTTCCACTTTCTCGTATAATTTGTTAAAACCGGCATATAAACCAAATGTATCCCGCTCATTACCAAACTGACTTAACGATACAAGCCGATATGACAACTTAGCTAACGTGTGTGGCTCATGAAGCTAGACCAAGTTCATGAATCCTCTGGTGCATATGATAAATGCTTCTGTGTTTGATTTCTTGATAGCCATGAATTCTTTTCCAGTGCTTTTTCTGTTTGAATTGCATCCGCCGACAACGTTACTACAAGGTTCCCGATCTCCATTTCGTACGAAGACAAATGCACATTCCTGGCCGGATTCAGTACTATCCCATTAATGGATCGTCACAGGGGAAATCAGAACTGAAGAAGGGTATATATAATCAGGACTTGACTGCAAAGTCATGGTCTTTATCGGCGGCGGGGTTTTCAGGGCCGGCGGATCCCCTGAAGAGCAGAATGGCGAGGCTGCCGATCTGGAAATGGATGAAACACCCGAAGCAATGCGTCACGAAAGACCCGAAATCGGTTCCGACTATGCACTGCCACCCTGGTCCATATACTCTGTCGAATTCCTGCCAATCGAACGAGAAAAGAAACCAATTGGTCAAAATTGCACCAGAACCCAAAACAGAGCATCTGGGTTTAGTCTAGATACAGTACCTTCTTGATGAAACGGGCGATTTCAGTGGGCTCGGTGACGTCGAAGGAATCCAGGGCCTCTGCGGCGAGATGGAGAGCATCCTGTTGCATCTTCTGGAGCATGTCGGTCTCCCCAACCACTGCTTTGCCTTCCAGCATCGTCCAAGTTTAGTTAATGTCGCCGCGCGCGTCAACAACTGAGGAAACGATTGATTAGGAATGAAAGCAAATATCTCGAGTCAGAAAAAAGTGTGAAGGAAGGAAGGTGCAGAGGAGAGAAGATTGAGAGTGGTAAGGAGGATTTTATAGGGTTCAGGTTGTGCTAAGGTCATCCATTCCATCCACGTAGCAGATCCCCATACCTTTGTGGCCAATAACTCACCCCAGTGATGAGGCAGGGGAATCCATCCCCTGATTTGGAAATTGGAATCTTGGCAAATAACAGCCATTCGAATTAATAGCGTATTCTTTTTAAAAAATCATGCATTAGTAATGATTTACAGTGGTATTAGTCCTAATTATTATATCTATCAGCCTGGCTGATTTTGTGAGGCCTGAAATTGATGGTGGAAGAAATGGCTCTTCAGAGTCGTGGAGAGATTGCCATGTGTCGGCCGGCAAGATGTCACCCTAGCTAGCTAATCATTTGTCAATTTGTGTACTGCTAGCTAGTCGACTGGGACTGGGAATTGGGAAAGATGGAGAATGGAGAGCTTTTTCAGCCTTTGGTTCGTAATTTTTGGAGACAAATTCCCCCTCCTCGTCGTCGTTTTGCTGTATATGGCAGCCCTAAGTTCTTGGGTTAGCCGCGGTCGGCATGACGCGTGAGCTGTGAGCAAGAGAGTCTTTTCCTTTTTGCCTGCTCACAGTCACAGACCTACTGGGGGGGGAGTATGTGGCCATTAGTTTAGTTTATTTAGGGCACGAGTTTTGTGTTATAGTTGCTTGGATTGTGCTTTCTAATTTCAAAACGGGAGGCATTGGAAAATGGTTAGTACTTCTTCAACTAACCTCGTAGTCTATAACGGGTTGTGATTTGTGAAAGAGGATGAGGGGCGCCTGTTGATTTAGAAAGATAGTGTAACATTATGTAATGGTATAATTAGCCGTGTTAGTAGTAAGATTTAGTAGGTTTAGGGCTGATCAAAGGTTATATACCGTTAACAGTGTAACCGATAACCGAATCAAAATTGGAGTTTAACGATTATACTGATAACCGATTAAATAGTAAACGGTCGGTTCCCGGTAGTCAAATTTAGCTAATAACTAACCGATGGTTAAACAGTTAATCGACTAACCGATTACGACCATTCTCATAGTCAGGGCGGAAAATAATATACCTCTAATTGATCCTGGAGACCTTATGGGCTTGAAGCATTTCGCAGTAAAACCTCTTAATCATGTTATTTGAGCATAACATGGTGGCCTGGTGGGCACTCCACTAATATGGTTGTCAAGCATGGATATGTTGGTTGGTTGGTATAACTGGGTTCAACTAGTATTGAACAAAAAATGGCTGAAAAGTCGTCGGTATAAAGCGGTAGTCAAAATCGGTAATAAAAAGTCAAAATCAAGAAGAATAGTACGAAAATGATATCGTTTTGATGGAATTAACTAATAAAGAGAAATAAATTTATCGGATTCAAATACGAACATTTAGATGTTGATGTTATTAACTGGATTTAAGTACGAAATTGTGGATGTTGACGCCAAATGTTGTAACATTTAGATATATGATGATGTGCCATCGTGTTTTTATATAATATTTTATTTAAATATGGAAAAATTGTATGTAGATTGTGTTAAGACAGATTATAAAGATATGCACATTTTATTTGGTGATACTGATTTTTCACTTTTTTTCCCGTATAGTTTGTTAAAACCTACATATAAACTAGTTGTATCCTGATTATTAGTTATTACTAAACTAATACAAACCGATGTGACAACTTGCTAACAAACGTGTGGCTCATAAAGCTAGAACAGGTTCATGAATCCTCTGGTCTGGTGCATATGAAAATGTTATCTGTATTGATGTCTTGATAACAATTAATTCTTTTATTACAGTGCTTTTTCTGGTCGAATTGCATCCGCCGACGACGTTACTACAAGGCTCTCTCCATTTCTTACTGTAAAAAATTCACATTCCTGGCCGGATTCAGTACTATCCCATCAATGGATCATGACAGGGGAAATCAGAACTGAACAAGAGTATAGAAGCTATCAGGACTTGACTGCAAAAATATGGTCCTTAACGGCGGCGGTCTTTTCTGGGACGGCGGATCCCCTGAAGAGCAGAATGGCGAGGCTGCCGATCTGGAAATGGATGAAACACCCGAAGCAATGCGTCACGAACGACCCAAAATCGGTTCCCACTATGCACTGCCACCCTGGTCCATACACTCTGTCGAATTCCTGCAAAATCGAACAAGAAAGATACCAAATTGGTGTCTAGCCCAAAAATTGCACCAGAACCCAGAACAGAGCATCTGAGTCTAGTCTCGATGTAGTAGCTTACCTTCTTGATGAAACGGGCGATTTCAGTGGGCTCGGTGACGTCGAAGGAATCCAGGGCCTTGGCGGCGAGATGGAGAGCGTCCTGTTGCATTTTCTGTAGCATGTCAGTCTCGCCAACCACTGCCTTGCCTTCCAGCATCGTTGAAGTTTAACTAATGTCGCGCGTTAACAACTGATGAGGAACCTATTGAGGATCGATTTTCATTAGGACTGAGGAAGGTGCAGTGGAGGGAAGTTTGTGAGTAGCGAGAAGGATTTTATAGCTAGGGTTCAGGGAGTGCTTATTGCTAAGGTCATCCATCCTCCATGCCTTTGTGGCCAATAACTCACCCCAGGGATGAGGCAGGGGAATCCATCCCCTAATTTGGAATTTGGTTTCAACCCTTAAATTATTATTAGTAATCAAGAAACTGTAATAATTCACAATATTGATTATGATTCTTGAAGTTTGACTATGATTTCTTTAAGACCTTACTCTCATAATATTATTCCGTAGCTATTCTATTAATTTTATGCTTAGAAGTGTTCAATTTGAATTAATATTGTTTTGGATTTTGCTAAAAGTTTTAGGTACCAAAAGGTAATTAAAAGTAAGGAAATTTTTGGGTTGTAGCCTATCCCCCACGGGCGACTGAGTCTATTAAGCACCGATTTGGGCGAATTTGTTCCGGGTCAAATTTAGGCAGATTCCAAAGGGGTACCATCACCGATTTCGGGCGATTTTATGGAATGGCCATTTTTGCTGGATTTTGGAGGCTACGGGTCACGGATTCGGCCTGAGGCGAACTGTGGCTATAAACCACCGATGATGAAGTCAATTAATCGGCGATTTGGGCGAAAAAAAATTCCGGGGGCATTTTCGTAATTTACGAGCGCTTTTTTCGGAAGGCCATTTTCCTTGGATTTTGAAGGCTGCGGATCAAAGTTTCGGCGTGAGCCTATCCCCCACGGACGACTGAGTCTATTAAGCACCGATTTGGGCGAATTTGTTCCGGGTCAAATTTAGGCAGATTCCAAAGGGGTACCATCACCGATTTCGGGCGATTTTATGGAATGGCCATTTTTGCTGGATTTTGGAGGCTACGGGTCACGGATTCGGCCTGAGGCGAACTGTGGCTATAAACCACAGATGATGAAGTCAATTAATCGGCGATTTGGGCGGAAAAAAATTCCGGGGGCATTTTCGTAATTTACGAGCGCTTTTTTCGGAAGGCCATTTTCCTTGGATTTTGAAGGCTACGGATCAAAGTTTCGGCGTGAGCCTATCCCCCACGGACGACTGAGTCTATTAAGCACCGATTTGGGCGAATTTGTTCCGGGTCAAATTTAGGCAGATTCCAAAGGGGTACCATCACCGATTTCGGGCGATTTTATGGAATGGCCATTTTTGCTGGATTTTGGAGGCTACGGGTCACGGATTCGGCCTGAGGCGAACTGTGGCTATAAACCACCGATGATGAAGTCAATTAATCGGCGATTTGGGCGAAAAAAAATTCCGGGGGCATTTTCGTAATTTACGAGCGCTTTTTTCGGAAGGCCATTTTCCTTGGATTTTGAAGGCTGCGGATCAAAGTTTCGGCGTGAGCCTATCCCCCACGGACGACTGAGTCTATTAAGCACCGATTTGGGCGAATTTGTTCCGGGTCAAATTTAGGCAGATTCCAAAGGGGTACCATCACCGATTTCGGGCGATTTTATGGAATGGCCATTTTTGCTGGATTTTGGAGGCTACGGGTCACGGATTCGGCCTGAGGCGAACTGTGGCTATAAACCACAGATGATGAAGTCAATAATCGGC